AGCTTGATCGGTTAAGTAGTTGCTTATCTGACATCAGGGTCAACTGTCAGGCATCGCTCAAGATGGTATTGTTACGTTGTTGACCGTTACGATCGATTGAGAAACGACTTTTCCTCTGGGGTTTCCTGATTCTTTGCGCGTCCTATAGACAAGTGAAAATAGGCTGGAATAATGCTACAAGTGCTGTATGGTGTGACAAATCAATGAAGTAAAGCCAAATGCAAAGAATTCAAGAAAATCTTGAACATGAGCAAAGACTATCGATCAACTGATCACAAATCCAGACTCACTTCTCACTCTGCATCTTCCTCGTCCCACATAGATTCGTCATCATCTTGAGCTGGCTGTGAAGACTAACGTCTCAGGCACCTTGGAACTTCGCGACACGCCGTCTCTTCTTCCTCGGTCCGGCGTCGGACGCGATTGAGAACCGAATCAAACTGGTCATAGTTTGCGCCGTCCATGGCATTAAGAAATTCTCGTTCTCCTAAAACTGACGAGTGACTTGGAAACCGACGACCATCATCTTAAAAGCAGGGACTCACACTTCGTCAGGGCAGGAATATGAACGGGACGCATGACTGATAGGACACCTCCGACTGCAACAAAGATGTCTATCGTCATGGTCCAAACCTCACGGGTGTCTCGAGCGGTTCAGAATTGTCCAAACTTTGATTGTAATCTTCTGAAATGCGCAAAAAGATAGCAATCAAATATCGCGAGAGGAGCAACATCACGAGCGAGAAGAGGGGTGTGAACTCATCAGTGAAATCAGACCAGGGATTATTAATCATCGTCATTTGAGGTGGGCGAGATTCATGAAAACAACTTTGAGCCACTCCGCAGCGCCTGCAATGAATGAGCTTTGGGCTGACGTGGGGGACTTGCCATAAGCTGTGTAACGAGGCTGCATCCAATAGTATATCAAAAGGTCAGCGTGAAGTTATCCATAGGTTCACAGAACATGTAATCTTACTTTCCATGCTGGTCATCTCGAGGCCTCGAACCATTATACGAAGGGTACAAGTATGCCCAGAGGGGGCCATTGTGAATTAATCATTCGCCATTTGAGGCGAGCGAGAGAGAAATTTGTTCGGATTTTTCCGTTGTTTGTTCATGTAGATAACCTTCATGTATGACCCTGCAAGCAAGCTTGTGAAAGTCTGCAGTGATGATGCATCGAGCTCTACTTGTACCCGATGTTCTTCTAGAGATATTTGGATTCCTCCGATTTGAATTCTCCCGATTTCCTGATCGCAGAGCATCTTCGAGATGCTTTGCAGCACTTGCAACGACATGCAAAGCCTTTCACGAGTCTGCAATGAATGAGCTTTGGGCCGACATAGTGGACCTGGATCAACTACTAGGTTGTGTGACGAGGCTGCATCCAATAGTATATCAAAAGGTCAGTGTATCGTGCCCTTCTCATCCATAGGTTCACAGAGCATTTAAACACAGTATACTTACTACCGCTGCTGGTCCTCTCAAGGCCTCGAACCATTATCTGAGCTTGAGACCCATCAATTCTTGCGTCACGCCACCCGTGTGCGCTCTATTCGTATAGAATCCGACACCCATTTTCACCTGCTCTCAGTCTTCCCCAACGAGACATGCTTGTTCCCTAGACTGACATCAATATCCTTCATGCTTCTACCTCCAACTAGCTACTCGCATCTCTTTTTGTCCCCCATGCTGCGTAGTTGCTACCAAGAGTACATCCAACCAGATTTCATATTAATGGTGACTCGTTGCACTACTTTGGAGCACTTAGTCGTAGAATCCTTTGATGGGGACATAACGGATAAGCTGTCCATACTGTCTGACAGCGTCCGTTCGTGCAAGCGACTTGTAACTCTGACTTGTCTACCCCTCAACTTGGCTGCATGGGAGCACCTGTCCAACCTCCATACCCTTCTCGAAGTCGTAATTGGCAGGAGGAGGAGAAAAATTCCGTCCCCCAAGTTAGATCTCGTTAATAATCATAATCTCAATTTCACACCTTTCCTCAACCTCACGTCTCTCTTTTTCCGCTCAGACACAGCCACATACATCACAACACTCATGCGACACTCAGAATTCCCCTCATTGAAAGAATTCCGCATGGATGTCGATGTATTGCCGCGGATGGAGGCTGAGCAGCTTTTTCGTGCACTATCCCAGTGCAAAGCATGCCACACCCTCGAAACCATTATCATGGTTTGTTCGGGCCCAGAGGTTCACGAACCTCCAGGCAACTCTTTGGCAGCAGTTACACACCTCCTTTGTTTCACGCAGCTCCGATACCTGCAGCTCAGTCTTCATTACTCCATTATCATTAACAACGACCTTCTTTTCGAAGCCATGTCAGCGTGGCCGCACATAGTCTGGCTGGAATTAGTGGACCAGCAGATAACACCCGTTACATTCCGCGGGTTATTTGCAGCGCTCCGTCATTGTCCCCACTTGCATTGGCTGCAGATATCAACGGACACCGTGAACATCGATATCGATCCTGACACAGAGTCATTTCAACATACCGCTCTACAGCAACTGATTTTGAGACCATCTGATTTAGCAGATGGCGAAGCTGTTGCTCGCATCATCTTCTCCATGCTCCCTTGCGTCGACAGGGTTCTATACTCGGTATACCCCGAATTATACTCGTGGCATGAGGTCAATCGGCATCTTGAATCTTTCAGATCTTCTCCGGTCACTGGTCACTATATCACAGGAGTACCGTCAGAGATCTGATTTTGGGATATACTCATGTTCGAGCAACTATCTACATGCCTTCGTTTGTAGCCTGATTTTGCTGCCGTTGACCATGGCTCCAATTATTTCTCTCGTCTCGCCGTGACTTGAAGTTGCTGTACCACAAGACCAATAAGGACCAATACCATTTTTTAATATGGGGCCTTCCAGCAAATCTCTCATGTTTCAGAATTACATGTAACGATCTGCAAACCGCATCGTAACTGATTCTCCACTTGCAGCCCCGTAATATTACAGTGACGGAAAAGCTTTCTACAACTGTAACTACGAGCACTGCAGTCAGGCAAGGTCAGGCACCTGATCAGTCTCTTCCGTCATAGCTCGTTGACCAGTAGTTCCAGCCCGAACGTCGCATTCCGGTGCAGGGACCCGACGGTGGCACATCTAATTCCACAAACAATCTGCGCCGCTGGGAGGGTAAATTGAACATCCCTCCAGGACTCCCGCACCCTTGTGAGTAATTTGAACCTTGAAATGACCATTCAATAGCTGAAAAATAAACGGTCTCCCAAACTGTCAAAGAATTCTGAATCAGCTGGTCATGAATCCTCGGAGAAATCATTGTCCTATACGTGAGTGATTCCATCGTTGTATACTTGTAAGTAAATCGAACCTTTAAACGTGACGATTCCATAGTCACAACAGTCAGCTTCCTGACTATCAACAGGATTCTGAGTCCCAAATACGACGACTCTTCCTAGATATATTCAACAATAAGATCTACTACGATAGGATTGTCTCTTAAACCATGCGAACTACTTAAAGGTGAGTCCCTCGAGATATTATCCTCCCATTCCTCCCCCCTCTCTCACCCGACTTCGCTCTGAGCAGCACACATCCTGTCAGGTTGATATTGCCCATAAGCTGGCAGTTACACCTGCGCCATGCTACTCCATTTCTCATCACCATCACCTTGGAAGCACTCATTGGATTTCAGATGAAGCCCACCGCACCACCAGTATTAGAGATTCCACCAGGCAGTAGACACCGAGAGAGATCCCGCGGTCTACTGTTTCCTCACAGAATACTAATCTTTATTTTACGTTGACGAAAAATTATTTTACTGTGCTGATCATTGCGGAATTTGAGATGCCCCTCATATGCAGGTGTTTGCCGTGTTCTGGGTCAAGACACCGAGGTATGGATGTTTACTCGTAGCATGCATGAGCTCACGCACCTTGCATAGATCGATACAAAGGACAATACGTATGCGTATGCATTCAATTTCCGGATATTCGACACGCCATACATCGCGATAGCAGGTCCCTATTTTCTATATCATCACTATGCGTACCTCGATGCCGTTGCGAAAGTTCACCCATCATTTATTTAGTACCCAGTGTCTATTGCACCAAGCGCCAGTTCTACTTCCTCGCTGGTAAATCTTCTCTTCATATCAGAGCTAGTGATATCAGATTACAGGATATTGGCACTAGTAGTAGTAACGGCACAGACAGCGAGAAGGCTGGTGAACCTCTACCAGCTTTCCCATTTTTCACAGCGAGTCCAAGTCTTGCTGCTTCAAGGTGCTTTACGTGGAGGTCGAGCTTGAAGTTGGCACTGGCAGCTTTCATGATCTCATTGATAGAACATACAACTTGTTTGTTGGTGTTCATCGATGAGATCAGGAGAGCTTCATGATAGGGTCCGGGTCGATTCTGAGGGTGAGTACCAGGATTCTGGATTCGCGGCCAGATATCAGTACTTAGAATTGTTGATCTCTAGACTTTTTCTGATTGGTTTTTGTTCGTGGCGTCTCCTTCATAGCCAATCCTCCCGGTGTTTGAGGTGGGGGAGCGTTACAATGGCAAGTTATTAACTCCCATGATCTCATGTATGAATTATGCTACTTTTCATGCATGAGATCAAGGGAGCTAACAAGATGTCCAATATAGAACGACAGCGCAACGCTTGATCGAACCAGTATCACATCCATTGATATTCCAAATATCCAGTTGAAACGAGAGGAATGACCTTTCGAACTTACACTATGTTCAAACTTCGATGGTCGACGTCAAGGATATATCTCAGCCTACATGATTTCCCATATGTATACACCACTGCACGACTAACAGCCCTCTGCAAACGCCTTGAACCAATCCCTCATAGCCTCGAACGAAATCCCAGTAGCTTCAACTCCATCGATCGCATGCGATTCTCCGGAGAAGGATAACATCTCTACTATCCCTTTTTTTTCCTTCTCGGTCCCTGTCTCATCACCAGTCCCGGTTGCATTCCCAGTTCCATCTTCAGTCCCAGCCGCGGTCCCATCCTCGCCCCCCTCCCCTTAGTCGCATGATAAAACCAAACCCCTGCCCTGGAGCGACCCTCATGACATCTTTGTCTATCAACATCAGTACTGGCGCTGTTATATTATCGACGTACGCGATTGGGGATGCGGTGAATAGGGTGTTGTATGTTTTGGGTGTCATTAGTGGAGGTGGAGGTGTGGCCAGGGGCATCGTTTGGGAAGGTGCGGACGTGAGGGGCGTTGGTGTGGGTGATGTGAGGGAGTTGGAGTTGGATGGGGGTGACGTATAGGAGTCATAATCAGAGTCGGTGGATAGAACCCCGAATTCAGAATAAACCTAATCAGGGATATCAGTCCCTGGTGCGAGTTCGCCCGCTGAGATGTCGGGGTTGCGGAGTGACACTGCATTAAATAAGGTTGGGTATTGGCATATCACTGTATAGATGAACGTCAGCGTCATCGTCATCGAACATGTATATCGAGTGTGAATGAAAAAGGTCATTTCGGACGAAAGAGGACGTACGATGGGCAGTGATAAACCCGCTATGACTCCTCCCATCACGACTTGTCTTCCTTCCTCCGAAATGCCCTTTCTAAGAGGTTCCCTGACACTCTCTGCGATATCTTCAACGTCAATGCTCTCACAGTGCCCGAGGAGCTTTTGAATATATGTTTGGCCGAATCCCATGGAGCCTGTGTAGTTGAAGAGGTTGAGGGTGTCTGTGATGTGAGTGGGTGAGCAAGTGATTAGGGTTGTAGTTTGGGAGTCGCGGTTTGGTAGGAGAAAGAGGGATGCAAATCCTTCAAGTGTTAATATGACGACAACCGGAAACAAACGCAGTAGTCGAGGTTGTATGGGGTCCTCTGTACGGGATAGTAACGCACACTGGTTTTGGGCCACCACTCGTAGAAGCTTTCTTGGATTGGATGAGGAATATTTGTGTTGGTGTGCGGGTGGTGATGAGTATGATGGATAGTGTTAAGTCATCCAGGGCTTCTTTGACTGGAAGCGAGTTAGTGAGTGGGACGGGGGTAGGAGGATTTGGATTTGGATGGGACGTACTCGTAGAAGACAAGTCGGTTTATCAAGGACTCACCATTCAAGGGTATCATTTTGATTAAAAGGTCCTAATAAGACCTTCTAAGGGGTGTACTTCTCGAGCAAATAGTAAACTGACCCTCGTTATCGGCAGCGTGTACAGTCCAGCTAGCATCTATGATCGCTCCTGATTGGGATTCGATGAAGAAAACAGTTGTGCGCGAGTACCACATGGACTGGACAAATGTCTCTTTGATGAGTCACTAGGAGTGAATGTTGAGACCCAGACGGAGAAACAAAATTCAAAAGGCAAAGGAAAACGTGTAAGGTAGGGTTCTTGGACAACCAACTAACGTCACATGACCATGAGTGACTTTTGCATGACACTCAGACTTTGGAACAGTTGGCACCTTTTATCATACGTTCTAGCAGATTTATATGACGAACAAATATTTAATCAAGTTGGTCAAGTTCACAACCTCATGATACAGTATGACGCGGCGAGACACTTGGCTGGATATGGTGATATCTGGGGTCTAAAGAAGTCAACCGCGGGAGAGACTACTCCATATCCGATATCTTCAGGTTCCTGTCCAAATGTTGCTTACGCCATGGGCTAGCGCTGATCCCTCTCATTCTCCGAACAAAACACACAATATATAAGGTGGTTTTTGGTCTGTGCTTACTAGACGACATATATTCGACAAATTCTATCTTCAATCCCAGCTGCGAGCTTATCATGGTTTTCCAAGGAGATGTGTTCAGTTACTGGGGTCGAAACATTATCGAAGATTATGATGATGTTCTCCTCAAAAACATTCCCTCACTCACCGCGATTCCTCTCGAAGAGACCTCGCAGCTACCTGTGCTCCCTAAGCATGGTTATGGTCCGCCGGGTGCAGTAGGAATCCTAGGCGCAGGAGTTGGTGGTCTATACACTGCCCTCATCCTAAATTCGCTGAACATCGACTACGAGATCCTGGAGGCGTCTGACCGCACCGGCGGACGTCTCCTTACCTACAACTTTCCGAATGGTGGCAAATACGACTACTACGTATGTCGTTCATTTGATGCTGCGCCAAAGATGCTGACCATGTAAACTCTTGGCTTTCCCGCTAACTAGGATGTTGGCGCCATGAGGTTTCCCCTGCCAAAGAAGGATGCTCAAGGCAATTACAAGCCTGGCATCATGAGGCGCTTGGGCGAGTTAATCAACTACTCGAAGCTCAACGAGGGTTTATCCAAGGCACCTCTAAGCTCCAAACTGATCGATTATTATTTTACGTCACAGAGACAAGGGCATTTCCTCTACTTCAACAATCAACGTTATCAAGTCTCTCAGACATCGCGCCCTCCTGACTTCCGTGCCCAAGAAATGGGTGTGAATTCTCAGTACGTCGTCGCGGGAGTTGAGAATATTGTCGAGGATGTCATCCAGCCATTCGCTAAGGACCTCATGAAAGACTTAGAGCAAAATGTCCATTCGGGCTGGCACAACATGATGAAGCACGATGCATACTCGCTTCGTTCATTCATGTCATTCAAGTACATTCCCAGCGCCAGCCTTCAAATTCCGCGCACGCATCTTTCTACCAACGTTATCAATTGGTGCGAGACATTCTACGACAGCACAGGCCCATTTAACCGTGCTTTAACCGAGTCGGTTCTTGATGCACTGGCATTCGTCAGTGTCGAGTCGCAGACCTTTGGAGAAGTAGAATGGAAGTGTTTCGAGTAAGTGCACCTCTGTCTTGGACCTCATGCGGAGTCTCACACGTACCATTACTGTACCCCAGAGGCGGTTCTCAAGTGCTTACCGACTACATGGCGGCATACATTACTAGTACTACTATCGGCACCAAGCCTGTCATCCAGTTCAATAAGAAGGTCACGAGTATCATTCAGAGTGGGGACATAGCGATGAATGTTTATGTGAGGGGTGAATCTAGCCCGCGCACATATTCACACGTTATATCGACCATCCCTCTGCCGGGCCTGCGGATGATTGAACTCGGAGGTGCTGGTTTAAATGTGATGCAGAAAAATGCATTGCGTAAACTGCAGTACGGTCCTTCAGTCAAGGTTGGCATGCGCTTTCAATCAGCGTGGTGGACCGAACTTTTCGATATAATAGGAGGCCAATCATCCACAGACCTTCCTATTCGAACTATCATCTACCCGTCTTATGGGGTTGAATCTAGCACACCGTCCACAGTGCTGATTGCAAGTTACTGTTTGACAAATGATGCAGAACGCTTGGGAGCGCTCATCAACACCAGTAAGATAGAGTATGAGGAGCAATTGAAGGAACTCGTGCTGCGCAATCTCGCGGAAGTACACAATATGGATTATAGTTTCTTGTTGGGTCAGTACGTAGATATGCATGCATGGGACTGGAGCGACGAACCACTCGTCATGGGTGAGTCTTTGAATATTGGTGTGAGCTAATCCATTTTCACTCTCTGCTACAGGTGCCTTCGCGTTCTTTGGCCCCGGAGATTTTCAAGATTTATACACATCTCTCACCGTACCCAATGCCAACAAGAGGCTTCATTTCGCTGGAGAGGCCATCAGCACCCGTCACGCGTAAGTGAAAAGCGGTCGGATCATTTTGATGACTACAACTTAAAGGTAATGTAACCTGCAGGTGGGTTGTCGGTGCATTGGACAGTGCATGGCGCGCAGTGTATGAATACCTGCTTGCATCTGGACAGCATGATAAGATTCAAAGATTCTTCGAGCTGTGGGGCCGGAATGAAGAGTGGACGGGCCAATCCAAACATGGAAAGCACGATCCAGCTGATCCGAACACCATGTTGCGAGTTCACATGGGATTCACATATGCTAGTGAACTCACTGGGGAGCAAGCTGTCCTTTCTATTTGACAGTGTCCGTTCGTGCAAGCAACTTGTAACTTTGGCTTGTCCACCCCTCGACCTGGCTGCATGGGAGTACCTATCCAATCTCCGTGCCCTTCTCGAAGTTGCAATTAGCAAGAGCGGGAGAAGATTTCCGTCCCTCCAGTTGGATCTCAATAACCATCATTTCGATTTTACTCCTTTCCTCAACCTCGCGATTCTTTACTTCCCTCAGGCACAGCCGCATACATCAAAACACTCATGCAATACTCAGAATTCCTCTCATTGAAAGAGTTTCACATCGATGTCGTTGCATTTCCGTGGATGGAGGTTGAGCAGCTTTTTCGTGCACTATCCCAGTGCAAGGCATGCCACACCCTCGAAAGCACCATTATCATGGTCTCTTCGGGTCTAGAAGTTCACGCACGAGCCCTCAGGAAACTCTTTGACAGCGGTTTCACACCTCCTTTGTTTCACGTAGCTCCGATACCTGCAGCTCAGTCTTCATCACTCCATCATCATCATCATCATCATCATCATCACCGACCTTCTTTTCGAAGCCATGTCAGCGTAGTCGCACATAGGCTGGCTGGAATTAGTGGACCAGCGGATAACACCCGTTACATTCCGCGAGTTATTTGCAGCGCTCCGTCAATGTCCCCACTTGCATTGGCCGGAGACATCAATGGACACTGTAGATACCAATATCGATCCTGACACAGTCATTAGGGTTACTCATGTTCGGGTGATTATCTACATTCCTTCTTCCTTTGTACGTGCCTAATTTTGCTGCTGTTGATCATCGCTCCAATCATTTCTCCCGTCTTGCTGTATCTTAAGATTGTTGTACTGGAAGATCAATGAGGACCAATACCATTTTTTTAAGTGGGGCCTTCCAGCAAATCCCTCATGATTCAGAATTACACGTAACGATCCGCAAACCGCACCGTGACTGATTCTCCATTTTCAGCCCTGTAATATTATGGCGACGGAAGAGCTGTAACGGCGAGCACTGTAGTCAGGCATCTAATCAGTCTCTTTCGCCATAGCTCGTTGACCAGCAGCTTCAGCCTGAACGTCGCATTCCGGTGCGGGGACCCGACGGTGGCACATCTAATTCCATAAACAATATTAGTCTGCGCAGGAAGTCTGAATTCGACTTTCCTCTTGGATCCTCGTGTTCTTGTGAGTGATTTGAACCTTGAAATGACATTTCAATAACTGAAAAAAACCGTCTCCCAAACCGTCAGAGAATCCTGAATCAGCTGGTCATGAATCCTCGGAGAAATCGATGTCCTATACGTGAGTGATTCCATCGTTGTATACTTCGAACTTCTAAACATGACAACTCCATAGTCACAGCAGTCAGCTTCCTGACCATCAACAACATTCCGAGTCCCAAATACGACGACTCTTTCCAGTTATATTCAACAATAAGATCTACTATGATTGGATCGTCCCTTAAACCATGCAAACTACTTAAGGTGAGTCCCTCGAGACACTAACCGGCCATTCCTCCTCCTTCTCTCACCCGACTTCGCTCTGAGCAACACACATCCTGTCGGATTGATGTCGCCTATGACTTGGCAGTCACCTGTGCCATCGATGAGCAGCTCGTGATGCATCACTGTCACCTTGGAAGCACCCGTTCCGAAGCCCATCACACTACCAGTGTTGGAGATTCCGTTCGGCGATGACGACTAAGTAGTCTACCATCTCCTAACGGATGATCTGCACCCATTAGTAGTAAGTACTTCACGTCGACGAAAAACTCTTACTGTGCTGATCGTTGCGGAATTTGAGACGCCCCTCACGTCTGCCGGGCTCTGGATCAAGACGCCGAGGTATGAATGTTTACTCGTAGCATGTATGAGTTCATATACCTCATATAGGTCGATACTAAGGATAAGATGCACACAATGTACATTCCGTTCGATCCGATCCCAGTGGATATCATGCCAACTTGGCATTGCGCGTACCTCGACGCCATTGCGAAAGTTCACCCATCATTTACCTAGCACTCAGTGTCTATCGCACCAAGCGCCAGTTCTGCACCCTCGCTGGTAAATCTTTTATCCATATCACGCAGAGCTCGCTGATATCTGATTGTAGGATATGTACTAGTACTGGTAGCTGCGCGGACAGTGAGGAGGCTGGTAAACCTCTGCCAGCTTTCTCATTTTCCACGGCGAGTCCGAGTCTCCCCGCTTCAAGGTCCTCCACGTGGAGGTGGAGCTTGAAGTTGGCACTGGCAGCTACCATGATCTCGTTGATAGGGTCCGGGTCAGTTCTGAGGGTGTGGGTTCCAGGGTTCTGGATTCGTGGTCAGAGATGAGTACTTCGAATCGTTGATCTCTAGATTTTTTCTAATTGGTTTTTTTTGTGGTGTCCTCTATGTAGCCAGTTCTCCCGGTGCTCGAGGTGGGGAGTGTTACACCGGCAGGTTGTTAGCTCCCATGATTCCATGCACAATGATATCAATTTAAATCTTTATGCATGAGATCAAGGTAGCTAACAGGATGTCCAGATAGAACGACACCATGATGCAGCGCAATGCTTGATCGAGCCATACATCCATTGATATTCCGAACACCTAGTTGACACGAGAAGATCTTTCGAATTTACACCATGTTCAAATTTCAACGGTCGACGTCAAGGGTATATCCCAACCTACATGATTTCCCGTATGTATACACCACCGCATGAACTAACAGCCCTCTGCAAACGCCTTGAACCAATCCCTCGTAGCTTCGAACAAAACCCTAGCAACTTCAACTCCATCGATTGCATGCGATTCTCCGAGAAAGGGTAATATCCAGTCGGGCATCTGATCAGTCTCTCCCGTTGTACAGTGAAATGAAGAAACGAGTGCAAAGGTACGAAATCTCAAGTTATAGAGACCTCCGAGAGCCATCGTTTCTAGACCACTGCCTTGGGACCCCTGGTCCAACGATTCAGAGCGATCGAGATGCGGTGTAAGCATGCAGTATGCTGATAGGGTATGATATTACTTACCGCAAATGCACCTCAAATATGGCGAACAAGTCTCACGAAGCTAGGCACCGATATGAATGAACACGGTCTGCTGTTCCAAGGGAATCTTATTGCGCAACGTCTTCATAGCCGTGTGCAATGATACCGCAGCACGTGTATTGGGCGTATAGTACAGAACAAGTTGGAAGCTGGCGCGCTACAGACTCCCACAAGATCACAGATTCCCAGGTACAAAGGTGTGCGCTGTAAACAAGCGCTTAGCATATGTATCAACCAGTACTATTTACATACTTATAAGCATCACTGAATTTGCAAGTTCGCAGATAGACCCCCTTCACTCCCCGGATGCGCACAGTTCCCTGATCAGATTCTCATCGATTCTCGTCTCCAAACATATCTGAAACGGAGCAGCATGTATACTCGGAGTATCCGAGAAGGCAAGTGTGTCAATCTTTGCTGCAGGATTTTCGGACAGGTGGAAAGCCCAAAGAATAAGAGCCGTGTTGATGAAGATAGACCGATTTGCGACATGTTGACCAGGACATACTCTGACGTTTTCAAGCAAGTCATGAGAACGGGTCAAGAAATGAGCGATGCCACTCACCGGCGGCCAAACCCAAAAGTGAAAAACCGGAGATCATCGCGCACACGACCCGCATTGTCAATCCAACGCTGAGGATTGAACTTGTGCGGTTCTGGGAAGACCTCAGGATCGTTTGCAATAGCCCTGAAAGACCAGTGTCAGAGATAAAGGTGAGACAACGAAAATGATTGCCTACTGACCAATGGTTGCCAATAACAGTCGCACCCGCAGGAATGAGGTAGTTATTCCAAATTATGTCCTTGGTCGCGCGATGCGCGAAGCCTGTAGTGCAACACCGTCGTTCACGATCGCGTCATCACGTCTCAAATGAGACCTACCTCCAAAGCTGACAGGTCTCCACCTCAGAGTCTCGAGCATGAATGCAGTAACCTGTGGCAGCATTTCCTGATCATCAAATTTCGGCACTAATCAGGAGCTATCTCAGCCAGTAGATGAACAAAGAAAGGCGTAACCTACGTCGCTTATGCCCCACGACGTTATCAAGTTCCTCTTGCACGCGAGCTTGTGCGTCCGTGTGAATGGTAGCAGCCATCATCATAATTGTGATTGCAGATGCAGTCTACAACAATCGTCAAGTTAAGACGTGATGCAATGTAAGAGCTTACCGTATCAGAACCAGCCTCAAACATTCCTCCTGCGATGTATCCTAGTTCCTTGTCTTTGAGCTGGTACTGTTTCTGATGCTCCAAAATGAACTTCGTAAATGATGGCTTTGCAGTTCCCTCACACTTCACAGTGGTGAACGAAGACGTCTATCAGAACAACAAAATCACGAACCATCTGTCTTTGCACCGCATTCAACTGCCCATTAAAGAGAGCAAGTTCATCTTGGTGCCATGCCTTCAGCTCGCTCAGGTACCCTGGGACGAAACGCAGGATTGGATATGTATCCACAAGGTATGCTCCCGGCCTCACGGCTCGACCAAAACGCGCAAGAGATTTGTTGACGGCAACAACTTCAGGGTCTGTGTATGAAGTCGGAGTAGTTTTTCCATAGGTAAAAGACATGACCACAGAAGCGGCATAACTAAAATGCACGCGTTATAACCTGTACTGCGTGAGCAATAGCTAGTGTTCGTACCGCATAGCATGACTTTGGTGGTTCTTTGGATCATTTAAAATATCCAGAACCAGGTTCTTCGAATTCCTCGTCTGAATGGGCTCGTATGTCTCTGCAGCGCTGGGTTGCAAGCCTGCATGCAAGACCCTGTGTTACATTCAGTACCACTGATTGCACCTGGTAGACAAAGTGTATACCTGCGCACCCGGCGCAATTTCTCACCACTGCGCTCAAGGAGTATTCTCATCCCGCCAGATAATGTCTCTTGAACTGCAATAGAACGTGGGCGGTCTGCGAGGTTTGCTCCCTCTTTTTCCATGATATCCACCGCAGCCTATGACGAGACCCACTTCGTGCCTGGCTAGACAATGGTCTGCTTGATACTTACCTGATGACGTCCTATAATGACAAAAATCCTATGGCCTTGTTTGAGCGAGAACACGGGTCCGTATTGTTCTGTCCACCTCGCGAATTGAAACGGTGCACTGCGTGAGGGATTAGAGATCATATTGATGTCCCTTGATAAAGACTCACTATGACTTTGGCATTGTATTTCCTAAAAGCCAGCGTCCAGGCGGTCCAGGCGGTAATGACAGTCGCCTTGTGGCCTGATATTGTTGTTTCATGATCCAGATGCTGGCCAAGACAATAAGAGTGCATGCAACAGTGATAAACGCCATTGCAACAGTCGGGCTTGCTGATAGTCACAGCACCCCATGCCATGGGCACAGGTTAAGTACTCCAGAAGCACCGCACTTTCAAATGGGACCTAGTATGATTACGAAAATCTCATGTGAATAGTCCCGGTGCAGGATGCGCAGCACCTCACGTTTTCGAGTGGATAACTCCCTTGTGTTTGTCCTCACCTAGGTTTTGGATTTGAAATGCCAAGTTCGTACTAGTCGACTCAAGAGGTGTGGGAAAGTGCAATTCTGGACATCGAGCTGGCGTAAGTTGACACATACCCCCTCCTACCGTGACAACGTTACGGTCACCTTAATTTAACCATATATAGTAGCTTACTAATGTAACTTCGAATACTTCTAAGACGCAAAATTCAATGACATTGATTGTAGAACATACGGAACCAGCAGCGTGAAATAGAAACGAGGACATGCAAAGCATAAGAAGTACGTAGGTCCATAGCGAGTCAAGCAGGTAACAGACTACATGAAAACAATTTCAAAGTGTCAAGTTCAGACTGAGTGTGAAACAAATGAGAAGCTGCGTGAAGTTATCGATCAACGGATCAGAAGAAGTTGATGGCGGAGACATTGAAATGGACGGAATAATGAATTAAAAGTATGCCAATGTTGTGAATCCATGAATGAGATTATGAGACACGTCAATAACACATATCAAGACACGAACGACGCGCATATATTCATTGATTTTGGTCACATGATATCACTCATGACATCCAAAATACTGCATTTAGTGAGCAGCGCCCTTCAACACACTTTTTTCATTGATCCGACTATCTAGATATGTTCTAAAGTAGTATAAACCACCCCCTTCTCAGTATTCAGCAAACGATTTCATTAACTTTTGACGCCGCTATCTGGTAACTCAGATCACGCGTCTGGTAAGTTCATGTGGCTGTATATTTAAGGTTTACATGATGACTAATTTTGGGCTCTTTGTACGGGATTTCCCTTTCGCACACCTCTTGAGTCGACTGCGTGCTCGCAGTGTGTCATGGGCGTTCTTCATATTCTCTCACGATGATGGCGGACACAACCATCATCAGTGAACCGGTGAACTCTTCGAGGGATGGCCGCAACGCCTCCAACTGATTCTGAAAAGCGTGACATTATGTAATCAAAGCTATAGCCCTACTAATATGTGAACCTCTACTAGCATTTCTATTTTTCGCAGCGAGTCCAAGTCTCACCGCTTCAAGGTCCTCTGCGTGGAGGTCGAGCTTGAAGTTGGCACTGGTAGCTTTCATGATCTCGTTGATAGAACATACAACTTATTTGTCGATGAGATCAGGGGAGTTTGATAGGGTCCGGGTCGATTCTGAGGGTGAGTACCAGGATTCTGGATTCACGGCCAGAGATGAGTACTTCGAATCGTTGATCTCTAGATTTTTTCTTATTTGGTTTTTTTGTGGTGTCCTCTATGCAGCCAGTTCTCCCGGTGCTCGAGGTGGGGAGCGTTATACTGGCAGGTTGTTAGCTCCCATGATTCCATGCACAATGATATCAATTCAAATCTTTATGCGTGAGATCAAGGTAGCTAACAGGATGTCCAAATAGAACGACACCATGATACAGTGCAATGCTTGATTGAGCCATACATCCATTGATATTCCGAACACCTAGTTGACACAAGAAGAACGAATCGATCTGTCGAATTTACACCATGTTCAAATTTCAACGGTCGACGTCAAGGGTATATCCCAGCCTACATGATTTCCCGTATGTATACACCACCACACGAACTAACGGCCCTCTGCAAACGCCTTGAACCAATCCCTCGTAGCCTCAAACGAAACCCTAGCAGCTTCAACTCCATCGATCGCATGCGATTCTCCGGGGAAGGATAACATTTCTACTATCCCTTTCTTTTTGTCCTTCTCGGTCCCTGTCTCATCCACAGCTCCAGTTCCATCTTCAGTCGCATTCCCAGTCCGCACCGCACCTCCACCTGCCCTGCCCTTAATCGCATGATAAAAACCAATCCCCTGCCCCGGAGCGACCCTCAAATCATCCTCGCCTATCAATATCAGCACTGGCGCTGTTACATTATCGACATGCGCGATTGGGGATGCGGCGTAGAGGGTGTTATATGTGTCGGGTGTCATTAGTGGAGTTGGGGGTGTTGGTGGGAGCAGGAGCGCCATTTCAGAAGGTGCGGACGTGAGAGGCGTCGGTGTGGGTGATGTGGATGGTGGTGGTATGAGGGAGTTGAAGATGGTCATGGATGACGTGTAGGAGCCAGGGTCGTTGGACGGAACACCGAATTCAGAATAAACCCAATCAGGGATATCAGTCCCCGATGCGAGTTCGCCTGCTGAGATGACGGGATTGCGGAGTGATGCTGCGTTGAATAGGGTTGGGTGTTGACCTATCACTGTATGCGCGCAAAGGTGAACGTCAGTGTCATCGTCATCAAACGTGTATATCAAGTGTGAATGAAAAAGCCATTTTGGATGAAAGAGGACGTACGATGAGCAGCGATAAACCCGCCATGACTGCCACCCATCACGACCTGTCTTCCTTCCTCTGAAACGCCCCTTTTAATAAGCTCCCTAACGCTTTCTGCGACGTCTTCGACGTCCATGCTCCCGCAGTGTCCGAGGAGCTTTTGGATGTATACTTGGCCGAATCCCATGGAGCCTGTGTAGTTGGGCAGGTTGAGGGTGTCTGTGGTGTGAGTGAGTGATCGAGGATTGCAGTTTGGAAGTTAGAGAGAGGGACGTACATCCTTCAAGTGCTAATGCGACAACACTTGGAACAAACGCAGTAGTCGATGTCGCATGGGGTCCTCCGTGCGGGATAGTGACGCACACTGGTTTGGGGCCATTACTCGTAGAAGCTTTCTTGGACTGGATGAGGAGCGTTTCTGTTGGTGCGCGGGTGGTGATGGGTATGATGGATGGTGTTAAGTCGTCAAGGGCTTCTTTGACTGAAAACAAGCGAGTGAGTGAGTGGGACGCGCAGGACTTGGATGGGACGTACTTGTAGAAGATATCATCGGTTTGTCAAGGAATTTCCATTGGAGGGTATCATTTTGATCAAAAGATCCTGATACGACCTCCCAAGGGGTAGTAGGCGTACTCCTTGAGCAAATAAACCGACTCTTATTATCCGTAGCGTGTACAGTCCAGCTATACAACGGTCCGTCGCCTAATGTGGTCGCATTTATGATCGCTCCGGATTGGGTATCGATGAAGAGAACAGTTGTGCGTGAGTGCCATATAGACTGGAGCACAATGTATACGCGGTCTGCGCGGCGTAGAAATGGGCTTGAAGGCATGTTGTATTCTGTGTAGAGGCCTGGAAAGTCGTTTGAGGGGGTAGGTTCGAATACGCTGTTTACGAGGATAGTGTTAATGCCTGTGAGAAGGTCGCGGAATTCGAGAGAGACGCAGGATGCGTGAGGGCCACCTACGGGGTTTGAGAACCAGAAGAGTTTGATGGGCTGGTTGTCGTGGTATAAGACGCGAGGGGAACGACAAGATCTGTTTGGGAGAGTGAGTCTTGATGCGGATGGGGAGCGGAACGAGCCTTTGGGGGAAGTGAGTTGCCATATGCCCATGGGACGGTTGAAGCATCCTTTTGCGCCGAGGAGACGGCCGTCTATAGTGTATTCGTGACCTGTTGCGAAGATTGTGTCTTCTGTTGCAAATGTGGCTTGGGCGAATAAAATTGGTGTTTTGGTGGACTGACACGGAATTACAACAAGGGCCAAGTCTTGTGTAGTTGCTCTTGCGAAGGCAGGGGATCTAGTCCAGTTGAATAGAAAGATGGTAGGATGTTTCTTTGCGCGAGAGGTATCACCAAAGTGAGGTGCGTATCTAAATTTGAAGTATGGATCATCATCGGTGTTGAGAGATGCTTCGGCAGTGTATAGTAGGGACGTTTCAGAGGGGGAAAAGGAGAGAGAGTATAGGAAATCTGGGATTCGATTAGCGGGTGTTCGTAGTTTTTGTTCTGCTCACCATCTGTGAGGAAAGCTTGATGGTAGTTTGATACATCCAAAGAAGCTTCTAATTGGGTGCCAGCCCAGATCTCGACGAATCGTTTGTTATTAGCTACCTCTCTCAGGATCGCTTGACGAGCTTTGAGAAGGTGATGTCTTGAACGCCTTTACTTCGGATGAATCATGAGAGGTTGTGCACTGATTGTCGAATGTCTTGGTGAGATATCGTTTGATGTTTCAATCGTGATCGCGAATGGAATATGTAACCCGTGCAACATCGCCGTCAATGAATTCAGCAGATACAGGAAGTGGAATTTCAGCTAGTTCAGTATAGAATGTCGACGGACCAGTATGTTGGAGTGACATCGGGTATAGGGTCAACGCGCAACCTTGAACCGACCTTCTAATTTCGACTCTCGCTTCTATCCATCACAAAATTATATTCACAGGCGCCTACACCCTAAGGCCTAAGCTCATCAACCCGTGCATAACATGTCAAGGTACAAATATGCGAAGAGAGATAGCTGCATCGCTACTGAAGTAGTAGTGCGGAACTCACCCCACCGCCCAGAAATCATCATCACAACAATCCATCATCATGACACTACGCTCATTTCAAATGTCGTGGCAATCTCATCGAAACCCTTTGCATGAACGAAGGTCCTCAGGCTGCTAATATATCTCGAGCCTGTACAGCTTGACTTCGACTTGATCAATTGACCTGCAACTAAGACTCAGACGGCAACACTCGTCAGTAGTACGATCCCAAAGGTGAGTGTCGTCTGTTCTCAACTCGTACTGCAGTTTGATATGCAACGGACTGTAAAGTTCAACGCAGCTTTCATAGGGTCCTTAGTATTACTCAACCCGAGTCAACTAGCACATAATCTGTCCTCACTGCTTAATTCTTGCCTGCTTCTCCATCGAATCTCGCATCCAAAACCAAGTTCTGACTAGGTGTGATGCCCCGACGAGTTAGAGGATGGCTATTTCCCTGACAACGGGGGTTGTATATCATAACATTGGCGACCACTGTCCTCAACAATAGTCGTCCCAAGTGTGTTTGCAGACCATCCAAGCAAGGGTTTACTAACATCACATGTACAGACTAGGTATTGATGAGAACAAGTGAATGCAAGCGATCGGTCGTGGTTATCAGTGCAATGGTATGCGAATAACGGCACTCTAATGTTCAAAACAAGCTCGACATAGAATCTTAATATTACGGACGTTTGCTGATGAGAAACAAATTTATAACGCCTGGAATCCATCAATTGACCAATTTGACGTGTTCTCATCAAGGTGAGTATATTTAAAATTGCATTTGCGCAATTTGCTTATATGCAGTCTATTTGTGGAGGATATCGCTGCTACTTTCTGATGTTCCACACCTTCAAACTCCTTTGATTGCTGATCTTGTTTCTCACTGGCCTGACTTAATTGGCAGACAACGGCCGGTCTGTGCATCCTGCACGGATACGTGTACAGTATAAGGATAGGCTCGACTGACTTTCGACGATCAACATCCTAATATGTGCACTTTTAGTATTTCCGCGTTGCGATGCGACGTCAATCAACAGTGCACTGGAGTCACTTGTGCCAGAGGCTATGCTCATAAGCGAAATATATTTAATCTGCTTGTCCATAATGTGCCAGCCTTCTGTCTGTGCCTCCCATGACCACTTCTTCCAAACTGACAGATGAAAGTTCGCATCCGTCCGGTCTTCTTGCGTATGACGCACTCCCGAATCACCAGGACTTTGACCTGATGATATCTGATGTGAAGTTCACTACTGATGATAGAACCGACTTCTACGACCATGGTCTGACGGGTCGCAGATGTGCCCTTGTCGGAGTGGCATGCTCAAGTATCTTCAGCTGCTCGTGCATCGTTGCAGGCGTCGTCACTTTAGCCAATTACGGAGTCTCCGGACAAATCATCATCAACATGATCACCAATGATTCTCCTATTCTGTTAAGCCTGCATGCGGTGATATTGGCCCTGACACTTAACTTAATCGTCACGTTATGCACTGAGTCCCTAGGCTTCATACACGGCATCTCATTGCGCTCTGCACTAGCCTCAGAGTCTCGGCTTCGTTTCAACACCAACCTGCGCCTTCTGACTGCAGCTCGTGGATGGTATAACCCTAACGGCGCCCTGCTTAACGGTATCTCGGCTGTCCTCCTCATGGTATCCTACAGCTCGGCCTCACTCGTCGTATGGCGCAGCCGTCCAACGATGCCACTCAACAACGAGTTGAGTGTTTCCATCGCAGCGCTACCTCTCCTCATTTTGGGTGTCGCACTCCTCCTCCAGGTGTTGATTGCATTGTCAGGGATGCGGGCTGTCAAAATATTGACGTGGAGCTCCTCACCTTTCGACTTGACCGCCGCACTGGTCCGCCACACGCAATTGATCCCTGCTCCTTTCCGATGCATGCGTTGTGTGTCTGACCCAGACACGTATGGAGGTCCAGCGAAGCCAGTAGAGACACAGCCTCTGCGTGGCATGCTCACCCTAGCATCCGGAAAGTTGTCATTTCTCTTTGGGGGATCTTTGCAGCGTGCGCTGGATGGGCCGGACTTGTCATGTATATATGGGATAAGTCTGACAGCGAGAAAGCATCTTTCCCTGATGCGCTGACCCCACATACATGGTCGTTCTTGCCAAACGGGTTCAATTCCATTGTGTATCTTATGCCGGGTGCCAATTTTGTGGGGTGGATTTTACTCTTTGTCAACATCGCAGTTATTCAGGGACCGTTGACACTTGGGTTGCATTGCTCGGAGCTCATCGCAAATGTCATTCGAGACGAAAGACAATGGAGGTGTGCTACTGGGATGAAAGGACTTGTAACTGCGACAAACCCGGTGAAGACGATTTTCACTCATCCGATCTGTCCTTGTACTTTTCATTGCCAAGCCTTTCCTGCGTGAGTCATTCATGCCTTGATTGGTGTTATTGAACACCATCGTCAACAATTACAGACTGGATGTTTGGGCTTGCATTCAACATACATAACAACTCCCAAGACGAGAAACTGGTATTATTGGTATACATGTACACCGCTCAGGTTCGTACGGTTACTGCCTATGTAAAGTTGCTACGACATCTTCACACCCTCGTGCAGATATGGAACTTATGCATTGCGCTTTTTATATTTGCCTGTTTCTTCACTTTCGTCGCACTGCGCCGACCGCGTGGCCCCCAGCCGGCTGCGTACGGCCACGTCCAGACACTCGCCAACCTTGTAGACGAGTGGTCGCCTGTGATGTGGTGGGGACATAAAGAGGACGGAATCCCGTACTGTCATGCTGGTAGGGTACTTATGTGTTCACGATGTTACCTCTCTGACGTGACGATTACACAAGGGACGAGTGATCATCCACTCCCGGATGTGAAGATGGACCGCGTGTATGCTGGTTCCGGTGCTGGATCTCCGGTGCCTCTCTCGTGAGAGGTACTTGCTTTACTTTTGAATGGGAATTTCTTGATTTCTATATTTAAATGTAGGAGCATCCATGTCAACGCATTGATAGGCGCACAATCAGCCATGCCGTTGAACGATATACAAAAAAAGTCTTGCTGCTTGCTGCATTGTAGGTAGTTCTCTTATACCATTCATATCTGGGTCAACTTTTAGAGGAGACACGTATCAGTTCGAGCTTCCGAATCGTTGTGATTTTGATTAATGACTCGGACACGCCGTATAGTTGACTTGCAAGGTTATACCTTGGACTGTTCCGCCCCGAGGTGAGGGAGTCCTATCGATTACCCCAAATCTACATGGCATCAATTCGAACTTTTATTAATGATAAGAGGTCCAGCTGGCATATCAGTACTAGTTCCTGGCCACGATAGCTAACTTGTGCGTAATGAATAAATCATGCCTCTGCAAATCCGAGAGGTATAGCTCCGTCACTACTGAAGTAGTGCGGGACTCACCCCACCGCGTGGAAATCACGGCACCCATCATTGTAAATCAATTCTCCTCAAGCCCTTTGCATGAACGAAGGTCCTCAGGCTGCTAGTATATCTCAGGCCTGTACAGCTTGACTCCGACTTGATCGATTGACCTGCAACTTAGAAATGGCGACACTCGTCAGTACGATCCCAGATGTGAGTGTGGTCTATTCTCAAATCCGTACTGCAACAGTTTAATATACAACATCGTGCTGTAAAAGTCAACGCAGCTTTCACAGGGTCAATCTGAGTGAGCCAGCACACAATTTGTCAGTACTGTTTTGCTTCTCCATCCAATGTCTCATCCAAAACCAAGTTCTAACTAGGTATAATACTCCGACCCGTTCGATTTCTCCGACAACGGGGGTCGCATACATTCCATTGGCGACCACTGTCCTCATGACACGCCTGTGATGCGGCACAAGTCCTACACCAGAAAAGAGGTAAACTATGGTTAGCAAAGTGCTCGGCCAATGGCGACTGTAGAATAACAACAAATGAGTGTAGTTAGGAGGTTTGACAGAATCGGAAAGAATAGGCGCCAGTCCGACTGCTCCACCATTACAATCAGACAAGTATACAAGAAAAGTCAACTAGCAACAGTCCCAAAAATCACACAAGCGTCTAAATTCTTACAAACTTCTTCTCCTCCACACCATGATCGTTCTTGAACTCATGCAGCTGCACCTTCACGTCCTCGTTCGCAATAATCCCATCCTTGGAGAAACCGTTGAGTTTCAGATCCATGGCAGCGGATGCCATAATGAGATGGAGGATGTTTGAAGGATCGAATGTGGCCCTAACGATACCGTCCCTCTTTGAAGATACTGTACAAAGCACAAGCGAGTGTGAAGATGGCGGTGATGGTGATGGGAAGGATAGCAAGAAGATATGTCACCGAACGCCGAGTCCAACCTATTGTCGATATGTACATTGTTCCGTTCACTGGGGAGGAGAGGTTGTTGGGGATCGTATTATCAGGGAAGCTACCCACAACCATAAACCCGGAGCGAAGGAACTGCAAAGCGATGTCAAGTCAATTTGGATTGGACCACAGGGGATCAGAACCCTCACTGTGGCAGAAAACTCGATAACGCCACGCCAGTACTCCTCCTAAGAAAGGCATAAACCTAAGGTGGCCAAAGACCCTGCAACATGAAGCTCACCAGCTCTTTGTAAACCTGCGTCTGATTTCCAAGATTGTTATCGATAGATGTGTTAGTTGTCGAGGAATAGATGGAGTACAGAGTATCTCCGATCACGCTGCTCGAAAGCCCCTGCGAGTTCATCGACTGGAACTTGACAACTCCAGCGATGAATGACAGTAGCTGAACATTCTCTGGCCGGAAAGGGGTAGATGAATTGACCTCGGAAGAAATTAGGTCGTTGGAATAATTGGCGCGGACTGTGGTCAGCAGTGGGGTCACTTCACATATGCTTGCGTCGAGGAACCTATACTTATAAAATCCTTGTGAAAGAATTGCTATAGGAACGGAATCGGTCAATGACTACAAACATATATTTCAATGGCTCACTAAGGCTTGAATAAGTTTGATTCATATTCATGGGCCCCGGGCACACAACTGAAGGAAGAAAGCCACTCCCTGACAGGCTCGCATTTCCACTTGCATCCACCAAGGTCACGTATTGTTGCGCCATGGGCATGTCTAGGAGCTGATAGTAAATTCGATGCAAGATATATGTAGTCAAACTTACTGGCGACGCAGTTTGCAGATACATTCCACAGGCGAAGACCTATTGATGGAATTGTTCGAAGGAGCTGGGTTGATATAGATAATACTGGAGTTAGTCGTGTTCCAAACACACTGCGTTTGACTCGCGTCAATGGGCTGGCAGCTGACATAGGCTGTTAACCCTTGCTGCCACATGGAATAATTCCTGCTGAAGCCTTGAGGATAGTCACGCTAGGTATGTTTTCCCAGTATTGGTCCTGTGTTGACTACAACTTTCCCACCAGAAAACCCGAGACGGGTTCCGTTGGCACCTGGAACTCCATCCGAGCCAGAATAACCCTCGATGATGGGCACAATCCCCTCTAGGTACACAATACATCATCGCAAAAGAGCTTCAAGTGACCTGAGAATCTGAACCTACGAGTCGATGCATTATATTTTGCGCCATTGAAATTAAATGTTCCAGGAAGACCATAGGTATACCCTGCAGCAGAGCCTCCGCTTAGCATTGCGCCAATATCAAGAATCTCGAAAGCATTGTCCTGGACTTGAGTCATTCGTTTTAGAAGAAACGGACGAAACAGTAGGGAAGTAGAGATACGCACTGTCAACAAAACCCTGCTTTTGAAATTCTCTGGAGAGCAAGGTTGCAAATGCGGTTCCAGTAATGTCAAGTTCGGATCCTTGCATCTGAATTGGCCATAGGAAGTCAATTGGCGTCAGGAGAGTCGTCCACCTATATCCGCACTTAAATCAGACAATACCGCAATAGTACAATGATCCCATTGACGAGTTACCCTGCTGTCAAGAGTTTCAGCACACCAAAGACAAACAGCGTAAGGGTGGTCAGTCGCAAGTACTCAGGTCTCAATATGAATGAGCCCTTCACCAAAGCGATACCGGCGCTTATCTGAACGAGAGACATGGGATCCGACATCCGATGTTTCAATGCCTTCTTCATTGAAATCGTGAAAAGACTGGGGGAATGTTCATCTCTGTGAGTGGTAAGCTAGGGAGAGTAAAAGGGTATACAGACATAGTGGTAGTCACTGAAAGCGCAGTGGCTATCAGTGCGACTACCATTGTCAAGTCTTCGGGGTAATGCTTCCATAAATTGCCGACTCGATCGGGTGGAGCGAGGTAACCATAATAGAGAACTGCACCAAGAAATCCATACCCAAATGCCAGGATAATAACCTGGCTACCGATGATAACAGTATGGAATAGAAGGTTCGCAGGCACACGAGACGTCATGGAACCAGGGTAGGTCGTACAAAATCAATTCTAGTAAAGATCGAACCGACAAAGCTGCTGCAGTCAACAAGGGAGTGAAGGGAAGGAAGGGAAAGGAAAGGACTGGGAGTGAGGATATGATGTCTACGACATTTATAAGCTGAAGCGAAGATTTTGAGCAATCAACTGGGGTCTGAATGACATCAGGGATGTCCGAACTTTTTGTGGTCGTTCGAAGGAATCGAGAAATGCCGTTAGAGTCACCTAGCACAGCGTTGACCACGCACGGGAAGCGACTTCTGTTTCATCTTTCCTTTCCCGACACCCACTCCAGCTATAGTGGGAGAGGGTTCTGTAGAAAATAAATATCAATGATTGGCCGGCATCTGTCGTTTGATGGGTGAAAAATGCTGCGGTAATCACCGATGAAGCTGTCCTGCACCATGTCGTGTATGGGCCCATCTGCCGTTCATCCTACGGTGCGAATCAGTTATAAGAGTCCGTTCGGGAACTCGGATTTGGCTAAACTTCGACCATGTATGCAAATGACTAGTACTGTAACTGATTCTGCAACGATTAGTAAGTTCGGAGCTCAAATCCAATGTCTACTGCACACTGTACACACTGTATTAACACCATAGTTTCTCGTCTTTAACACCACCAGGACCCTTCTTCTGATTTAAATAATGATTATAGCTCTGGTGACGAGTCGGATGCACGGAATTTACAAGATGACAGAGATGGAGACTTGGAGGGAGGATCCCTAAAACTGTTAGCGCTCGTGTGTGAGGTGAGTCCTTTACATAACCTACGTATCCTTGCAATTGTTTCTGACTCAGGTCAGTCGATTACCGCTTACTGCAGCTAGACTCAGATCTCTCTCTAACCCTCTGCCCCACATTTCAAAATCTCAAAGAAGCTTATTTTTTGCGCTTCGTTTCAGATAGCACTCAGTCCGAGGAAGCGGAAGTGCAGATGTCTTTCTGGGCCGATGCAGAGAAATTCTCCGAGCGAGCTGCAATGGAAGGATATTGAAGAGATGATCAAACAAGCGGAGTCGCTCAATAACGCGCGTGCGAACGGACGGTACAAGCCATGCATGGAGACATGCCTGAGCTCCGATCTTCTGTAGGACCATGCATTGACTCCGCGAGCTTTCTTTTATATGCAAAACTGTCACATCCTCAACACACATCATATTCGCTATTATCTGACTGAATGACCATCCTATCGTCATTTGTGTAAGCACGCTATCTTGCGCGCCGTAAGCTCTTTCATCTGACGTTTTGCATTATCAATAGACCGACGATGCACTCCCTTTCAGAACGTCTTGTCTTGGAGAGTACTCTTTGCTTCTGGCGCAGCCTCCGTTAGGCTTTGGCTAGAGCCACGCAGATGGGCATGGGTGCTGCATTTTAAATAATACCTCGTAATTGAACTAAATTTCAGTCTCGAGTACGACGTCGAATTTAGATGGGATGGACCCTGACTCTAGAATGCTGGTCGTATTGCAAAGCAGGACGGCCGATAGCCCCACCTGTGAGGAAGAAAAGCACCCTGTGCGACACCGTGTCACCTGTGAAATCGAACAGAAGTACCACCGGTCTTTTACTTTCAATTTCTAGAGGACTTTGCTTCACCAGGTGATATCGCCGATGGACCTATCATTTCCCTCGGTGTGCTCATCAGTACGAGAAGCAAAATTGATACGTTTAATGCACGATCGCTCCACTCGTGAGTTGTTTGAAGTTTCGATATCCTAGCAATGAAAAAATATCGGAAAATAATACAACTGCGCAGGAGATAGTTGTCATGCGATATTAGATTCCTCGTCTGCTCAGTCACCTCCAGCATATGGTCAGTCACATACGACGCAAGCGGTGAGGCAAGGCTGAACGGACCATCAGTTAGCTCTTGAAGGTGCTGGGATAGAGACTGATCAAAACGTACAAAAGTATGCCTGCGGCTACCTTGTCAGCGGTGGCAGCTCTGCGGGCGAATATCCACGAAAGTATCAACATTCCAAGCAGCAGCGCGCTGCTTTCAATGTTCCAGGAATGCCCAGTGCAACCTTCTGACCGTCAATCTCAATGGTTACACCATCCTCTTTTGCCGCGGTCGACTTGCACCCTGTCAAGTGCAATAGGTTATGTTAGGTTGTCCTTTCCCACAGAGGAGGTAGCTATGAAGGTACTGGTTGCTGTTTTCGTATTTGTCGTCATTGTCATTGTTGATGAGGGGTTTGCGTGCTTGAGACCAAGTATATTAGAGCTCTAGACGCGCTATCTAGTGTGGTAGACGACGACTGCCAGTGGGGGCACCAGGTTTTGGTGCGATGATGGGGGTACAAGTCACAAGATATTGTCCAACAGCCGACCGAAGGGGTGTCCTTGTAGTGCATATGGCTCGAAGACAACGGCACAATAGAGAAGAGTAGTTCGAACGAAAAATGAGGTCAAAGCGTCCAATTCGGGGCTTCAAAATACACTAGTGTAACTCTACAACTAACGACTGTATTTGAGGCCACAAAACAGTGAGTATCAGGCAGACGTGGGGACAGGGAAAAAGGTAAAGAATGATAGTAAAATACTCGGTCGATGGCGACTGTAGAATAACAAATGAGCGTACTTAGGAGGTTTGACAGTATAGGCGCGCTGTTTGACAGTGCCATGCGACCATTACCATCAAACGGGTCAAGATGGGTATACCGATAAGAAAAGACAACCGTCATGGTGGGATGGCACCAGAAATCATACCAGGTTCTCCTGCGACGCCACTAAATCCGATGGATCAGCTATCACAAACATCTTCTTCACACCATAGTCGTCCTTGGACTCCTCCAGTCGCACCCTCACGCCTTCATTGTCGATAATTCCATTCTCGTTGAAATCTTTGAGTGTCAGATTCCCAGCAGCAGATGCCATAATGAGATGAAGGGTATTTGACGGATCGAATGTGGTCCTATGGCCACTGTTCTCTTTCCGAGCCTGTAAGATACTATACAACGCGCAAGCGAATGTGAGGATGGTGGTGATGGTGATGGGAAGAATAGCAAGAAGATATGTCACCGAACGCCGAGTCCAACCTATCGTTGATATGTACATTGTCCCATTGACTGGAGAGACGAGGTCGTCTGGGATCGTATTGCCGGGGAAGCTACCCACAGCCATGAACCCGGAGCGAAGGAACTGTCAAACGATGTTGAGTCAATCTGGATTTGACCCAAGGGATCAGAACTCTCACTGTAGCAGAAAATTCAACAACGCCACGCCAATACTCCTCCTAAGAGAGGCATAAACTTAAGGTGGTCAAAGACATTGCAACATGAAACCCACCAGTTCTTGGTAAATCTGCGTCTGATTTCTAAGATTTTCATCTATGGATGTGTTGGTTGTTGAGGAATAGATGGAGTACAGAGTGTCTCCAATCACGCTGCTCAAGAGCCCCTGCGAGTTCATCGACTGAAACTTGGCAACTCCAGCAACGAATGACAGTAGCGGAGCATTTTCTGGCCGGAAAGGGGTGGATGAATTAACCTCGGAGGAAATTAGGTCATAGGAGTATTTGGCGCGGACTGTGGTCAACAGTGGGGTCACTTCGCACACGCTTGCATTGAGGAACCCATACTTGTAAAACCCTTGTGAAAGAATCGCTATAGGAACAAAATCGGTCAATGACTACAACCCATATTTCAATGGCTCACTGAAGCTTGTATAAGTCTGATTTATATTCGTAGGCCCTGGGCACACAACTGAAGGAAGAAAACCGCTCCCTGACAGGCTCGCATTTCCACTTGCAGTCCACCATGGTCACATATTCTTGCGATGTGGGTGTACCTAAGAGCTGACAGTAAATCCGAGGCAAGATATATGCGGTCGGAACTCACCGGCTCCGCAGTTTGCAGTTATATTCCACAGGCGAAGACCAGCGATAGACTTGTTCGAAGCAGCTGCGTTGGCATAGATAACGGAGGAATTATCCGTGTTCCAAAGGTACTGCGTTTGACTCGCGTCAATGGGCCGGCAGCTGACATTGGCTGTCAACCCTTGCTGCCACATGGAATAGTTCCTACTGAAGCCTTGAGGAATAGTCACGCTGGTATGTTCTCCCGGTATCTGTCTTGTGTTGACTGTGACGTTTCCACCAGAAAACCCAAGACGAGTACTATTGGCATCCGGAACTCCATCCGAGCCGGAATAATCCTCGATAACGGGCACAATCCCCTCTAGGTACACAATACATCATCGCAAAAGAACTTCAAGTGACCTGAGAATCTGAACCTACGAGTTGATACGTTATATTTTGCGCCATTGAAATTAAATGTCCCAGGAAGACCATAGGTATACCCAGCAGCGGAGACTCCGCTTAGCATTGCGCCGATGTCGAGTACCTCAAAAGCATTGTCCTGGACTTGGGTCATTCGTTTTAGAAGAAACGGACAAAACGCTGGGAAAGTACTAGTAGAGATACGCACTATCAACAAGACCCTGCATTTGAAATTCTCCGGAGAGCAAGGTGGCAAACGCGGTTCCAGTAATGTCAAGTTCGCATCCTTGCATCTGAATTGGCCATAGGAAGTAGGTTGGCGTCAGGAGAGTCGTCCATCTATATCCGCACTTAAATTAGACAATACTGCAACAATACAATGTTCTCGGTAATGAGTTACCCAGCTGTCAAGAGTCTTAGGATACCAAACACGAACAGTGTGAGGGTAGTCAGTCGCAAGTACTCGGGTCTCAATATGTATGAGCCCTTCGACAGAGCAACACCAGCGCTTAGCTGAACGAGAGACATGGGATCCGACATCCGATGTTTTAATGCCTTCTTCATTGAAATCGTGAAAAGACTAGGGGAATGTTCATCTCTGTGAGCGGTAAGCTAGAGAGAGTAAAGGCGTGTACAGACATAGCAGTAGTCACCGAAAGTGCAGTTGCTATTAATGTGACTACCATTGTCAACTTTTGGGGGTAATGCTTCCATAAATTGCCGACTCGATCAGGTGGAGCGAGGTAACCATAATAGAGAACTGCGCCAAGAAATCCATACCCAAATGCCAGTATAATAACCTGGCTGCTGATGATAGCAGTGAATAGAAGGTTCGCGGGCACACGAAACATTGTAGAAGGAGTGTGAGTGGTATAGAACCGATGCTGGTAAAGATCGAACCGACAAAGTCAACAAAGGAGTGAAGGAAAGGGAAGGGAGCGGGAGCGACAATATGCTGAAACCGTTATATATATGATGACTACAACATTTACAAGCTGAAGCGAAGATGTTGAGCAGTCTGGGGTCTGAATGATGTCAGGGCGTCTGGGTTGTTCGAAGGAACCGAGAAATACCATTGGACTAGCGCATTGTTGATCACGCGCTAGAAGCGACTTTGTTTCATCTTTCCTTCCACGAAATCCACTTTAGCTATAGTGGGAGAGGGTTCTGTAAAAAAAGATTGTCAATGATGCCGTGGCTATCATTTGATGCATGAAAAACGCTTTCCGGCTGCGGTAATCACGGATGAAGCTGTCCTGCACCATATGGTGCATAGTGGGCATCTGCCGTTCCTCCTAAAACTGTTAGCACTCATGTGAGGTAAGTCACACGTACATTCGAATTTTCTGTGCTGCAAGATTGAAATTAGGTTGTGTTCAACGTACGCAGTCAATATAAACCCTTTATAATGTTAGCCTATATATCCTCGCAATTGTGTCTGACTCAGATAAGTCTGTTACTGCTTACTGTTGCTCATGCACATGTCCAGTCCAAGTCAGAATACTCGAGTCAACTGTGAATCCTCACAGTCATTGGCACAGCCACACACTGCCCCGAATGATTCAGGGAGCTTTTTCGACCAATTTCCACGCAAGTGGGTTACTCCAGAATCCTTTATTCTGCGGCATATCTTCAAAATATGCTGCCTCATATTCACCTGGCACGACGATCTGCACTGGCTGCATGACCTCTTGAAAGAAGGAAACACCTGGGAAGAGCTGCATCGTCAATATCTGACCCAGCTCAATCAAGTGAGCATCGTGGTAAGTCGATGATGGGCATCATTCATTCAAATTGATCGCATTAATGTGTTCTAACTTCTTGCGCAGCAAGGACTAGTGCTTACCACTGCGGCGGTTTTTATCTCCTCAAACCCACCGCTTGCGAAACAAGTCAACTACGCATCTTCTGCATCTTATGCCTGTATGGCAGAGTCGCTCGTCTTTTCGTTGTTTGGGCTATTGTTCCAGCTGAAGGCATCTGCCTCTGGATTCCTTTTCAAAAGCGTAGTGCTGCAGAAGTACGGATTTTATTGTCAGAGTGGAAGGCCAGCGTTGACCTCATCACAGATCATAATTGAGAGACGCTGGAGAATTTTCTGGCACCTCCTAGGTTTGGCAGTACCAATCATTATCTTTAGCATATCAGTTGTGCTTTTGCTCATAGGTGAGCAGTTTACCTCGTAATGCGTGATCGCAACTTACACAGTCCATTGTCAGCCATCGTGCTCACGGGGTTCGTATCTCACTCCGAAACTGTTCGACTTTATATGAGCATAACATTTGCTTTCCTTGGCGCTTGTCATTTGGTGTCGATTCTGGGTTCACCATTCTACCATTATTTATCGGACCTATGCATCCGCGCTGTTTACGACACGAGTGGTAAACGGGATTAGTGCTGGGTCCAGAAGTTCTGTAAGTGTTCTAGTAAGTGTTTTAGTAGCCATTGATTACTCCTCTGATCGCGCATGCAGTGGTATCATTCCTTCTAGATAACTTAGATTCAGCCGACCAACCTGGCGCCGTTACGTTGTTAATTTAACCGCTAGTAATAGCGCATGGATTTCTCAGAGGATCATTTGCATCAGTACTTTAGTGGTGGTATGCTGTGATCAGTAAGTATAATCAACCCTCGACACAGGATGCCAAGGCCGCGGCCTCAAACAGAGCACTCCGTGTTCCTTTTTGGTTTCCTGGTACACACTGAGAGTGGGACACGGCCGCGGCACCATCAGCGTCAGGTAAGTAGGTCAAAGGCAAGATCATAGCTGTGGTACGATCAGCATCGGTTAAGCAACTCAACAGACAAGGTCATGCACAACCTGGAAGCGGTAGATATATTGAGCTTTCAGTTCAAGACTGCTAGCGTACTTTCATGGTAACATACAGTCTGCTGGATGTAAAAATTGCGAATAAGGTGCATTTCTGCTTCGGCTCTGGGAACGGAGTCGGGCTAGATGATTGTATGCTCCGATTTGCATCGGGGCTCCCGCGGGTGATAAAATAAGCTCTCACATCTATGGTTTGAAGAATTGATAATAATCCACTAATAGTAGCTTGCATCGGAGGACCGGCAAATGGGATTGCACATGCAACGCCCTTGACACAAGGCAAAAATATCTGAGCCATGTCAGAAGCTTTGCGGGTAGAAGAATCGCCATGAGAGGATCTGGCGAAGGAAATATCGATGGAGACCTCGGGACCTGGATCCCTCGCCAGAGAACCAGGGTACACTAGTAGTGATGAATTCGAATGGAGAGTGGATGAAGGAATGGAAAACTCACTAAGGATTTCTGCAAAGATGGAGTTATCACCTTTATGGTGGGTGGTCGTCGAGCTGCGTTGCGTGCGTCCGTTCTTTGCAAGGCGCCTCAATCGAACTGCGAATACTTTGCCCAGATCGAAATTCTTGATGAAATCCCTGACCTGCGAAGAGGGTATTCTGATCAGATGGGTAAGAAGATGGGCAAGACGGGATATGAGACGTAGGGAAGCGAAGGGGTCAAGATACTTGACAGGCAGCCCAAGACTGCGTAAACTCACAACACCTGCGGAACAAGGTTACTGCCGGCGATTCTCTACTGCATCACTTGTGCAAACGAGAACAATACTTCATCATTGGATTGGTACTTCAAGCCTCACACCTCAAGTGTACATCTTATTTATTCTACCGATTGTGCTGCCTCTTCCCGCTGGCTCCTGCGGCGCAAACTTGTCAGCAAATCTCATGAAAACCATGACCAATAGACATACCTTTCAGCATCATCAACACAATGACATCGTCTTCCACCAGTCTTATTCGTGAGATGGTGATTGAACTTGGGGCCGCTGGAACGACGCGCAGGTATGTTATTGAGTGGAGGCCGACTCGGAAGTTGCGTGGTTTGATCATCGCGAACAGAACCAGGAAGATGCAGCTTCAGAGTCAGAAACTGAACAGACTTGTTCCTCTCATCGTCATCAATGTCCCGTACGTCTAGTGACTCCACAATGAATGACGTCCCTGGAGCGAATGTATACTCATTCTTCTCAGGATCGTCCGAGAGCGGTGTGATATAGCTTGCCGCATCCCAAACCCACGAGTCGTTGTCAGGAGGATTGACAACCAATACAAGGCCATTTTGGTAATGTTTTGCGATGTCGATCGAATCCGCAAAGCTCCATACCATCTTGGTTGTGATAATGCTGCCCACCTTGACGAAAGTCGCCATCGCTGCCGTAAAAGACACGACAAGCGACTCGCTAGTCGGCCCAGCATTGAGGGGGCACTCTAGCATCTCGATGCCAAAGTAATCGAGGCTGAGCTGAGATATATCAAGCTGCCCGCTGAATAATTGTGGCGCATAAAAGACGGATGTGCGGGGCATCGCCGCAAAAGCAGCACCGAGTAACCGGTTTTGAATGATGCTGAACTTCTGCAGACGAGCCTCGACGTCGCAAAGCTGATCCTGAACATCTTGCAATGTAGACGCGGGCTTCATCATAAAAGAATTCATGTAGAATTTATTGCTCGGAACATACGAGCCCCAGTTTGACTTCCAGATTGCGTTTGCGATATTTGGAGAGTCAAGAGGATACGGCGTTGGTGGGATGCTAGTGTACTCGAATATTTTCATCAGCACCATGCGCGCAAACGACGCAGTCGTCCAGTCATACACCGCCATTGCCAGCTGAAAGCTGTGTGGTGAGAATGGAAAAAGGCGTAGCCCTAAAGCTTTGATCTCCTCCACATCCTTGCCTGGTGCGTCTGGTATGTCTTGGTATGGCACGTAGCACGAGTCCACCATCTCGTTGAAAAACGATACATCACCATCCAACACCTCCGGCAGCGGCTTTAACGTCCCCATAAAGGTAGATTTGTGAACAGGTATAGATGGAGTGATCGAGAACGAGAAAGTACCATCCCCGGGGATTGCGAGGTTAATGCTCACTTGTTGGAGTTCTGGGCAGATGGCGACCGTGTTGTTCAGGTCGATCGCAGACAGAGGTACTGCATAGGGTACAGTGATATCGATGAAACCTTGTTTGTCGATGATCAGCCTGTGGCTCTCTTTGCCACGGACTGCTCCGATGGGCTTGCCATCGCTGAACCACAGCTTGGCGCCAGTGCTGTTCTCTACGATTACCAAAACCCACTCCATATGCCACTGGACTGCAAAAGATTGGAGCTTCAGTAGCATTCATACAAGACGGTGGTCCCAACACCCACATAAGTACGTGTCGCTGGACTTCAAAAATAATGGTTGTGCTAGAGTTCACGCGAGACTTATTCCTATTAATATATTTGAAGAGTAAGTTATAGTCGCGTTCAATGTCGGGGAAGGAGATATTGCAACTCACAGTGAAACTCAAAGTCTCGGGGGGAAATTCGTGATAACCTTTGAATTCAAGAGAAGGATGGTTCGGGCTGTGGGTGGCTCGTCGCCCTATTAAAAGCATTGAGTATGGAGAAACCCGAAGAAGCGCAGCTGCATATGTTGGGGTCACCGGTGTATACCAATCTCCTATCGATTACCCCAGATCTACATGGCGCCAATTCGAGCTTGATAAGAGGCTCCGCTGGCATACCCGGCCCCGGTGATGGCTAACCTGTGCATAATGAATGAAGCGTGCCTTTGCAAATTCGAGCTGGCATCACCGTTTGATGAAATCTTCTTCAGCTGCACGATTTTGGAGGTAACGCTGACAATTTGAAACCTACGTGTCGATGACAGACGGTGAGGATGAGTTCAACAAAGCGAGGGACGCGAGCCGCAGCTACCTTTCGACACAATCCTCTTCGCATGTATACTTTAATTATATAACAATTGGCGCTAAAGTTGCCGCAGTTTGGTTCGGGTTCGGTTTTCTATCAATCGCCGTCGATGAAATCAGCAGATACACCTGACACATCGGGGTTATCATTGATATTGATAACCCTGATGTGTGAGGAAGGGGTTGAACGTTCGAACTTCAGCTAGTACTGTTGTTTAGTAAGAATGTCGACGGACCGGAGTGACAGGGAGTGAGTGACTTGGTGTAGCAACGTCACCGTCGTCACAGCGCAGCTCCCTTCGAAACTTTCTGATGAGTCCATTCTCGCTTCCATCATTCATAGGCGCCTACGCCCTAAACTCATCGACCGTGGATAATATGGTATATGTGTAGAGAGACTGCGTCGCTATCAAAGCAATACAGGACTCACCCCACCGCCTAGAAATCATCATAGCAATCGTTAGCATTGCAAACCAATTCACATGGCGCTTCTCCTCTGTGACCCACACGGCGACCCCATCTGCCTTCGATTGAGCGGCTATCTGTCCTTTGTGTGAACGAAGGTCCTCAGGCTACTGGTATATCTCGGACCTGTACAGCACGATTTCGACTCTATCGATTGACCTGCAACTGAGAGATGACAACCCTCATCAGCTTACGATTTGGTGCCGTCTGTTCTCAATTCATACTACAGTTTGATATGCAACACACTTTCAAAGTCGACGCAGCTTTCACAGGGTCCTTATTCGCTCTGAGTCAGCCAATACATGATCTTTCCTTACTGCTTAATTCTTGTCTGCTTCTCCATCGAATGTCGCATCCAAAACCAAGTTCTGACTAGGTGTAATACTCTGACGTGTCAAAGGAGGGCTACCTCTCCGACAACGGGGGTCGCATACATTTAGCTTTCCAACATTGGCGACCACCGTCCTCAACAGTCACAATTGCACCGTGCGATGTTCGTGGAGGAAAGCGAGAGCGATAAGGAGATAAACATATCGGGGAATCCTGTACTAGCTCAGGCACTTTGAAGCTCATTGAATGCCAGTAGTCGTCCCATGTGAGTTTCCAGACCATCCAAGCAAGGCTTTGCTAACATCACATAAGCATTAGTGAATGCGAGCGATCTGCCGCGGTATCAGTGCACTGGCATGCGGGTGATGGAACCTTGTAATGTTCAAAGCAAGCTCGACATGGTGTCTTAATATTACGGACGTTTGCTGAAGAGAATCAAATTTATCACGCCTGGGATCCATCAAGTGATCGATTTGATAGTGAGTATCTTTGAAGTTGCATTTGCGCAATTTACTTATGTACAGTCTGAGACTAGAACCGATTTCTACGACCGCAATCTGACGAGTCGCAGATATGCTCTTGTCGGAGTGGCATGCTCAAGTATCTTCAGCTGCCCATGCATCATTGCAGGCATTGTCACTTTAGCCAATCACGGAGTTGCCGGAGATCAACACGATTCCCAATAATCCTTATGCTCAGTTGCCGCTGGATATGGAGATATTGGCCCTGACCCTTAACTTAATCGTCACGTTATGCACCGAGTCCATAGGATTCGTACACTGTATCTCATTGCGCTCTGCGCTAACCTCAGAGTCTCGGCTTTGGCTCAACACCAACCTGCGCCTTCTGACTGCAGTTCGTGGATGGTATAGCCCTAACGGTGCCCTGCTTAATGGTATCTCGGGTGTCCTCCTCGTTATATCCTATAGCTCAGCCTCACTCGTCGTATGTTTAGACTATCAAATACCGTCACACACGCCAATTATATTTCCGGCGCGCATTGCCTTTGCAGGGTTACCTCTCATCATTTTGGGCGTCGCACTCTCTCTCCAGGTGATGATCGCATTATCAGGGATGTGGGCTGTCAAAATATTGACGTGGAGCTCCTCACCTTTCGACTTGACCGCCGCTCTGGTCCACCACACACAATTGACCCCCGCTACTCTCCGGTGCATGTGTCGTGTGTCTGACCTAGACACGTATGGAGGTCCAACGAAGCCACCGGAGATACAACCCTCTGCGTGGCGTGCTCACCCTAGCATCCGGAAAGCTGTCTTTTCTCTTTGGGGGATCGTTGCAGCATGCGCTGGATGGGCCGCACTTGTCATGTATATCTGGGGCAAGTTTTTAGGCGGGTGGGTATCTTCCTCTGATGCGCTGACCCTGCAAACGGGGTCGTTCTTGCCCAACGGGGTCGGTTCCATTCGGTATCTTATGCCGGGTGGATTCTGCTCTTTGTCAACATGGCAGTTATCCAGGGACCGTTGACGCTTGGGCTGCATTGCTCGGACCTCATCGCAAATTGCATTCGAGACGAAAGACAATGGAGGTGTGCTACAGGGAGGAAAGGACTTAGAACAGCGACGAACCCGGTGAAGACGATTTTCACTCATCCGACCTGTCTTATAGTTTTCGTCGCGAAGCCTTTCCTACGTGAGTCATTCATGCCTTTATCGGTGTTATTGAATACCATCGTCGACGATCACAGACTGGATGTTTGGGCTTGCATTCAACACGAATGCCGTCGTCCAAGATGAGAAACTGGAGGTATTGCCGGTAGCCATGTATGCTGCCCAGGTTCGCACTTACTGCCTATGTAAAGCTGCTACGATATCCTCACACCCTCGTGCAGATCTGGAACCTATGCATTGCGCTTTTCATATTTGCTTGTTTCTTCACTTTCATCGCACTGCGCCGACTGCGTGGCCCCCAGCCGGCTGCATATGGCCACATCCAGACATTTGCCAACCTCATAGACGAGTGGTCGCCTGTGATGTGGTGAGGACACAAAGAGGATGGAATCCCGTACTGTCATGCTGGTAGGGTACTTATGTGTTCACGATGCTACCGCTCTGACATGACAATTACACAAGGGACGAGCGATCATCCGCTCCTAGATGTGAAGATGGACTGCGTTTATGCTGGTCCCGGTACTGGGTCCCTGGTGCCCCTCTCGTGAGAGGTACTTGCCTTACTTTTTAATGGGAATTTCTTGATTTCTATATTTAAATATAGAAGCATCCATGTCAGGCTGGCGACGCATTGATAGGCGCACAATCAGCCATGCCGTTGAACGATACACATACAATTTTTTTGCTGCTTGTTGCGTTGTAGGTAGTTCTCTTATTCCATTCATATTCGAGACAACTTTTAGTGGCCAAAATACGTTCAATTCGAGTATCTGAATCGCTGTAATTTTGATCGACGACACGTCGTATAGTTGACTCGCAAGGTTATACCTTACACTGTTCCGCCCCGAAGTGAGGGAATCCTATCGATTACCACAAATCTACATGCGCCAATTCGAACTTTTATTGATAAGAGGCCCTGCTGGCATATCAGTACTAGTTCCTGGCCCTGATAGCTAACTTGTGCATAATGAATGAAGCGTGCCTCTGCAAATTCAAGCTGGCGTCACTATTTGATGAAATCTTCAACTGCACGATTCTGGAAGCAATGCTGACAATTTGAAACCTTTGTGTCGATGACGATATCCAGACGATGATGATGAGTTCAACAAAGCGGGCGATGCAAAACTTATGAGCTGCGCCACCCTTCGAGTCGGTTCCCGCCTGTCATCGGTAAGCTTATGGCGCTGCGCAAGGAGGCTAGGCAAATATGACGAGCTCCCCGTGTGTCCGCGTATACGTATCCTGTATCAGCTCATAAAAATAAAAATCAATCCAAAGCCATAACCATATACGCTCCCACCACCTCGAAAAAATTAGCGATGCACTTGCACTCACCGTATTCGCCTTCTCACTCGATCGCGCCCTCCAGAGTCCAGCCCCTCCTTCGCTCCCTCCACAGCCGTCAATGGGTAGGCGCACTTCACCAAAGACGACGAGGACTAAAAGCCTGCCAATGCAAATGGTTTATTTCAGAAGATGTTAGTGTAGGCGAATAAGCCACCCGCCTTTCTTTCCAGAAATACAATTCCCGCGTGCAGGGCACTAATCTCTGAGCAATAGAGACGGACGCTGCACGTCGCAAAGTAAACTGTCTCCGTCAATTGGGAATCCTGCTATCGCTCATCAGTTGTCTGTTTCATCAACCGCAGCGTACCCAACAGCCCTATTTCACTGCGAGGTTTGTTGACGGCTAAGTTTAAACAAGACTTGTTTGTTCGCACTATGCCACATGTCTCGGTTAAAAGAGATAAGATAAAAGTGGACGACCACAGTGTATGACGTCTAATTCTGTTAGGACGAAAGGAGACCTAAGGTGACAATGTAAGAAAATCAATTATTATGAGAGATCGAAAATATACGCAAGTCAGACTGACAGTCAAAGTGCTGACGGGCAGGGTGGGCTTTGACGTGGTATAGGTAAGTATGGAGATTAGCACCACTGCACCAGTGCGGAGGCTGCGAAGATGATGAGGGAGACGTGTTGTGATATAAGTGGTCCTTGACCCAGCCTGAACGAGGCATGACACGGCACGGTTGGGGCTTGACATGCTAGTAGTACAGAGGCTGTGACAAGGTGGGGTCGAGGTTTGACACGGCGAGACAATACTTCGCACTGCATCTGAAGAGGCAATACAAGATACACACTACTCATTGATGCATTCCATATTCTGAGTAGTACAAACGCAGAGCACCGTAAGTGTGGTGAGAGGTGAATGCGACACTCCGAGGAGATGGACATTGATCATATGTTGATCATTAACGAGGACTCAAGATATTTTGTAAGGCTGATGCGCATGAGTTCGATGGGGAATGCGTTCGAAACAAGTTGAAAGGAATTCGTTAAAAGGGATATTTGAATTATTGAGACGGTTAAAGGACGTTTGCTTCTGTGGGATTGAAACGCGCTGGATTCGACAGCGTATACATGAATATAGGGAGAAGTGAGTCATAAGAAGCGCATATGAGAAGCGGAACGTTAGTGACAAAGGGATGTTCGACGATGAAAGGGAGCCCTGCACAATGTGACTATGTTCAAGAGATAGGAGAAAAACGAGGCGTTTGTAGAATACAAGGGTAAAAGACGTAAAAGGAAATAAAAAGTACCCGGGTAAAGAGTAAGCTCTTCGCATCCCATCTGATAAGACACGCGGACGACTAACCAAGTTCGAACACATCGGGATTTGTGACTGACCCGGCCTTGACGGGTCCGAGACTTTTGCTTGCATCAGATTTACAAAGTTCTATTCGCAGGTGCCCATATCGTGAACTCATCAACCGACTCCCGAGATTTGGCGTGGCTAACATATCAAAGTACAGATCTACGAAAGATAGCTGCGTCATTCCTATGCTACTAATCAACGTACTTACAGTATGTTGCGCAGATTTCCAAAAATTGGCCTTGCTACTTATGCACCCAGAATTGCATCCGTCACGTCAAACGTCCCAGTAAAGGTATGTTTGAAAAACGAGGCGTACTGCAAGTTTTCATGCAACACGTTGTATTACGTGCGGGACTGGCTTCTTCTTTCATGATCCGCACGGACCGCAGTAATCCCTATTTCTGCCGCTGATTCAAAATACTCGTGATGCACACCCCGGTAATTTTGTTTCCCGTCGAGCGGCTACTGTCCGTGAATAAAATGTCTGGTTCTCAGACTGTTAGCATCTCTCCAGCCTGTACAACTTGATCGATTGATTTGCGACGGAAGGATGACTAGTACGATTCCAAAGGTAAGTTCGGTCTGTTCAACACTCGTTGTATGATCTAAGTCAGCGGTGAAGATTAGAGATGCTCTTCATGCGACATTCCGTAGCGGATTGACGCGTCCTTTACCGTGGCGTCAGCACCAGCTATACCAGCTTGCACGCATGGCGCAGAATGAACGGGAGCTCATTTACGATGCCCTACAAATAGACCTCGGAAAGCCGAAAACAGAGGTCTTGGTGAACGAAGTGGGCAGCATCATCGCAAGAGCTGTGAAGAGTGCAAAACAACTCCCAGAGTGGGCCAAGACTGAATATCCTGACGTGGCTGATCGGCAGAAGTTATGGAAGCCAGCGTGAGTGATCGTTTGATCCATCAATGTCACTCATAATTATACATCTACCAGGATCTACAAGGCTCCGAAGGGCAATGTGTTGATAATCTCGTGAGGCAGAAGATACTGTCTCAATTCCGTTTCCTGACATCGCACTTAAACAGACCGTGGAACTACCCTATGGTCCTCAGTTTCCAACCTCTCATTGGAGCAATTGCAGCAGGCTGCACCGCCGTACTAAAACCCTCTGAGCTTCTCCCCACCTTCTCACAGCTCTTGGAGGAAATTGTGCCAAAGTACCTCGACCCAAATGCGTACCGTGTTGTCAATGGTGCTGTGCCTGAAACTACAGAGCTTCTCGAGCTTCAATGGGACCATATTTTCTACACGGGGAATGGCAAGGTCGCCAGGATCGTCGCCAGCGCTGCCGCTAAGCACCTGTCACCACTGACACTGGAATTAGGTGGAAAGAGTCCTGTCATTATCGACTCGGCATACGATATCGATCTTGCCGCCAAGAGGATCTTGTGGGGCAAGTGCAACAATGCAGGACAGGTAAGTTAATATTGACCAATTTGGGGCCACTCCCCGATGTGACAAGTTATAACATACTGAACGGGAATTCTGGCAGATCTGTGTGGCACCTGACTATGTCCTCATACAGCGGGACAAGCAGGACGAGCTGGTCAAGGCATTCCAAAAGCATTATAACGCATTCTTCCCCAAGGGTGCGCTGGATTCGCCATCGTTCGGAAGTATCGTGTCAGATTCGCACTATAAACGCCTCATTTCACTTCTTTCCCGCACAAAGGGTGAAGTCGTTCTTCGGGGTCGCGCTGATGCCGCAAGGAGGAGACTTGAGCCCACCATTGTTAAGGATGTCGTAGATGGCGACTCCTTGCTCGAAGAGTCAGTATTCCCTGTTGTTGGAAATGTATTTCTGATAGCATGGTATTTACAGAGAAATCTTTGGTCCGATATTACCTATCGTGCCCGTAGATTCTCTCCAACAGGCAATCAACTTTGTTAATGCACGGTAAGCTCTCCTCCCAAAATCCAACTCATCGACTGATTTATCGCACAAAGATCTCATCCGCTAGTTCTGTACACTTTTAGTGACAACGAGAGCCTGAAGCAACAGCGTATGTTTTCACTTGGCTGATGACGGTTCATACTAAAACATTGTAATCAATTTTTTTTACAACAGTTGTCTCGGAAACACAGAGCGGTGGTATTGTTTTCAATGACACCTTCCAACAGCTCGCCGGTACGTCCTAACATCATGCTCGTATTAGCGCTCACACAGATCCACTGGCCAGTGAGCGAACTACCATTTGCAGGGGTGGGCGAGTCGGGCTGTGAGATTTCCACTCTACCTAGGAAGGAAGGCCACTGACGCTGACGCTGGACCCTGACAGATGGATACCAGTTTATGAAACATACGTATGATACGTTCACGCAGCTTCGTAGTTCTATTGATATGCCGAAGGAGTGAGTTCTGTTTTTGGTTATCTTTTCATCTCTCGGAAGGCTGATCTGAATCTGGGTAGGGCTGAGGCACAACTAGCGATGAGGTATCTGCCTCATTCGGAGGAGGCGGTGAAAGCGCTCACTGCTGCGGTGTATACGCCTATTCCACCAAATCGCCTATGAGAAGAGTCGACGGGATGATGTAGTGTCGTTGCATGGGTAAGATGTTGGGAGGTATGCTTCTACCAGCATTGATATTGCGAAGACTGTATCCGGGGCGCACGGTGGATAGGGGCGCATGCATTCAGTATTAGATTTGCTGAAGGACTAATAGTAGTCTGGGAACTCGCAGACTTACTGTATTATATATTGCCATGATCATGGGTTGGTACTATGTACAGCTGGGACGTCAGTGATAGTGCGGACCTGGAATGTAGATATGAGGGTAAAGCAGAAAATTGATAGGTCCATACACTCAACTTACATCGAGTCATTTTTGAAACTATGCTCGCACCCATTTCGAGCAAAGGAAGTACAAAAGTCGACACAAAGGATCTCGGTGCACATCAGTAACTCAGTGCGATAAACTCGGCGCGAACTCAGTACAAAGATTTCGTTGCAACAAACCTCGGTACGCAGAACTCGATGCAAAGATTCAAACTCTGACTCGAAATGAAAGAAACATGTCCGGCAGCTCGTCAACGAATTCTATACAAAGTTTTCCTTGTTTTTTTTCTTCTGTGCAGGGAGAGTAGGCAGCCATCGAGCCCACTTCAAGTTCGTTGAGAATGGTTGTACGTGTAACACACCCTCGTTTTCTTTATCTAGCAACCTGGAAGAGCCGATGATGATTTGGGGAGGGTACTAGAGTCTAGCATACTCTGGAAAGTTGCTCATGGATGCTTGGACTGCAGAGGATCTCGGTATGATAAGTCTTGGTGTACGTTGAACTTGACGTTATCAAACCAAAATATCATCGACGAGTACTCGGATCTCGTTATAAAACTTGGTGTAATCGGAACACGGGGTAAGAATCAAGAATAAACTCGGTCCGAAGTGCAAAAAACTCGGTGCAGTAGAATTCGGTGGCGAGATGTCATCGTCATCTTCGAATCTTAGCTGTGAATGTAAAGATAGCGCATGACGGAGTATAAATGGGAGAATCTTCGATAGCGATAATGGTTTGCACAGCGCCAACACATTAATTTGCACGGGTGCTGCAAGTGCAGTTAGTTGTGATATGCTGAGCAAGCAGCCTCGGCTCGATATTTAAAAGTCGATCAAAGTATAGGTGAAGAGGCTTCAGGGTAAGTAGAGGTTTCCGAAGTTGAAGGAGTTAGAAATGAGTACAGTGAGGCCCAAGAATATTGATAAGTACTATCATTGATCCCGAGGTCCAAGGAGCGAACAGGGTGACATTCAAACTCCGCTGCTCAAGCATCTCGGTGTGGTTCATTGGTTTGCAAATTCATCATGATCATTTAGGGTAAGTAGCGCTAAGATTCATGCTGAACGTTTCAGCTGCAGGATCAGCCAGGCCTAATCGATTAATCCTTAAGCTTGAGCTTGCACCTAGTTAATACCAGCAGAGATGGACTTGGCCAAAGGGCATGTGACTTCGCCTTCGCCTTCACGTCCATCTCAGTCAAAATCGATGAGATGCATATTGTCGTCCTTCGTGATCATGTTGTTCGACTTTTGAAGATCACCAAACATATATCCCTGTTTGTGACAGTACTCAATTGCTTTCATGAGTTGGCCGTGGAGGTTTCAAAGGCAGTTTCGGTGTGCTGTAGGCTGTCGTTTCATCCATGATTACGATCGACCTTGCCATACAATGACATGTCCGGCGCGATATTGATTTGTCCGTACAATAACTATACGTGCGCCTTACATCACCGTTATTTTATTTGAGTTGATTATCCACACAGGCTTTGCTCAAGTTTTTATTACCGCAGCAGTTGCAACGTGGCGCAGCGTTTTTCTAGTGCCCGGGTGGTGCCTTCTGCTCGCCTTTCCGTGCTGTATGCCTACGACTGTGATGTCGACGTCCCCGCCCTCGAATGAAAAATCCGATACCACAGTAGAGCACTCGCATCACCCGCATCATGTTCACCGCCATAAAACAAATGCGGGGACAAGGGCCGCGTGCGAATGAGATAACCCTTGTATTATGTACCCACGACTGACGCAAAGTTTTCTGTCAGTAACGTCAATGCCAAGTTATCAAACCCCCTGCGCGGCATACCTCATGATCGTCTTATGGCGGATGTCGAAATCTTTGCCCAGGAGAGAGGAATGACCCATCTGTTGCCTGAGCTCAAGAAAGGGGCGCTTGTTGCCCAGGATCCCACATGTGTGTTAACTTGTTGAGACACATTTTCCTCAGCCGACTTGAGATGTTTGATGTGCAGGCTACAATCGTCTAGCCATATTTTCAGATGAAGACAAACGCATTTTTACGGAAGAGGTTACACACAAGTGGCGACAAACGCCCACGCTGTATTATGTTGGAGCTGCCCTCTTTTAGACTGGTTGTCATAGCTCACACCGTTAAAATAGATGGTCATAATGTCATCACTTGCAGCGGCTGTTCAGGGAATGGACGAGGCTGTTATCAATGGCGCTCAAATCCTTTATCCCAAGCAGTTTGGTATCGGCGATCCGAATAGTCGTGCGTAAAAGCCCTTCTATCATTCCAATCATCATCATTCATAAATTGTGTGCAGAACGCGATTCATGGTTGGTCGGTCTTATCAACTCTGCACCCTACTTGTGTGTGCTTTTTTTATTGCAGAATATCGTTCCTCATCACTTCGCAGATGCTGCGCCACCATTTCTTGCTGGATGACGCATCCACTCAACCACTATTTTGGGCGTAAAAAGACCATTTTCATCACTTGCTTGATCTCGTTCTTGACATGTATCTGGTCTGGATTCACCAATACTTGGTGGCACCTTTTCATCTCACGGTTCTTTCTTGGTTTTGGTATTGGTCCCAAATCTGCCACTGTCCCAGTGTATACTGCCGAGTGTTCGCCTGCGCCGATACGTGGTGCTCTCGTCATGATGTGGCAGATGTGGACCGCTTTCGGCATTGCTCTGGGAGACCTTATCGACTCTGTATTCTACTTCATTGAGGACACCCCCGGTGTGACTGGTCTGAACTGGCGACTCATGCTAGGTTCTGCTGGTATTCCCGGTCTTATTGTCTGCCTGCAAGTCTTATTTGTGCCCGAGTCGCCTCGTTGGTTGATCTCTGGGGGTCGCTACGAGGATGCTTTCAATGAGCTTTGTCGGCTTCGTTTCTCGCGTGTTCAGGCTGCTCGTGATTTGTACTACATTCACGTATTGCTCGAGGCGGAAGACGAGATAAAGAAGGATCGCAACCGTGTTATTGAGATGTTCACGATTCCGCGTAACAGGCATGCTGCCGTTGCTAGTTGGATTGTCATGTTTGGTCAGCAGTTTTGCGGTGTCAATGTCATCGGTATGAGATCCGTGTCCATGATTTGAAATAATCGTTAACGGATTGGCAGCTTACTATTCGTCCAACATCTTCCTGGCTTCTGGCTTCTCGCAGGGTGCGGCACTAGATTCATCCCTTGTATTCGGTGTACTTAATTGGTTGTTCGCCCTCCCTGCTGTTTTCACCGTGAGTGGTCCCTTCCATGGTTGTTGGAGTTTCCATAAATGTTTAAAATTGAAACACTAGATCGACACTTACGGGCGGAGGAACTTGCTTTTGTTCACGTTTCCCTGCATGGCCATCTGTCTTTTAATCACCGGCTTCTCCTTCTGGAGTACTTCGGAAACAGGGCGTGTAGCTGGCGTCAGTATCGGTATATGTACGCCATCTTTTTGGTTCTAAATACTGCCATTGATATCCACTCCTTCAGACCTCTTTGCGATCTTCTATTCTCCAGGTGAAGGTCCAGTGCCGTTCACGTACTCCGCAGAGGCATTCCCTCTCTATATCCGTGATCTCGGCATGTCCTTTGCCACTGCGACCACTTGGTTCTGGAACTTCGTTTTGTCAATCACTTGGCCTTCGCTCATCTTGACCTTCAAACCACAGGGTGCCTTCGGCTGGTACGCAGCATGGTGCTGTATTCTCTGGGTGCTCGTCCTGCTATTCGTGCGCGAGACGAAAGGCAAGACCCTGGAGGAACTTGACCAAGTTTTCGCTATGGACGTTGGCATGCATGCTGCGTACGGCCTGCGGCAGATACCCTACGGCTTCAAGAAGTTCGTATTGTTCCAGAACCCTGTCCCTGAGCAGCTTTATCAGGTGGAGGGCAATGTACCGAGCACTGTTGGCAACGAGAAGGCGAGGAGGGAGGAGGACCTGGAGAGGGCAAATGTATGATGAGTTGAGCTGTGATGTGCTGATGGCCGACATTTTGCGTCTAAGACGGATGTGTTTGATGGATTTGTTCGCATGCTATCTATCATTTGACATTTGTTGTCGATATCATTTGCACGTGTATTACTATCTGATATTTTGATACAGGCTCTCGAAGCTCAGATTGACTACCCACTTGGGCATGAACAGTAAAAGGCTTCCCGGTATTATACTTCCTTGACGGTCACCGGTCACATGCACCTTGAAGCTTTGGTGATCAACGGTGCACATACGCACATGTGCTATTAGTATCATTTTTCTGTCGAGATAAGTTGGGTCGCTCAGTTTAGATAATTTTACGCAACCTCAGCCATTCTCAGAATAGTGGGTTTCTATTCGGTTGAAACGAGAGATGATGATTGCACGTGACTGTATCAAACTTTGTTTAGACGTCGAGGAGACTATGTATTACCTGGTAATTAATTTGTTTCACTGGGAGGGTCACTCCGCTGATGATGAATTCCCCTTAATGCCGCTTTGATGAGCCACTAGGGGGAGTCGAGATGGAGAAAAAATTGAAGAAGGAGAAGGAAAACGTGTATCTATAGTAAGTGTATGAAAGATACTTATAGACTCGGGACTCGGGAGCGGTCCGTCGACCTTCTAGCAAAACTTCTCCTTCTCTACGTACATGTCTGCTGATTTCATTGACAGCGATGGCTAGCTCCAGTACGTTCATCCCGATAATCCGATAGACGCCCCTCCCGGTGCACGCGTCACTCTTTAGTACGTTCGCGATCATGACTACAAGATCAAAGGCCCACTCGTACGCACTAGTACACCGGAGCAACTCCAACTTCAGAATTCTGGCAAACCATTATCCCACATTGCAAAGAAAGGTCCGACCATCTCCCTATTCTGTTGGACCAGATCCCCTGCCAAAACACTTACCAGGACCACTAACCAAGACCTATCGCTTTTGCCTTATTTCTACTACTCCTACCAAATTATCAGGCAGCTGGGTACGAGACCACTTCCTTCTCTTCGAATTCTTAATCTGCTGAGACAGCATACTTCTATCTGGTGATGGCGTCTTAAAAATGCCGGCCGTGGGTGAAGCTACTCTATAACCGATATCTTCAGGTTCCCGTCCAAACGTTGTTTGCACTGGGCAGTCACAGAACAGGCTAATCTTTCTCATTCTCCGAACGATATGCTCAATATATATAGGGTGGTTTTCGATCTGATCTTACTAGACGAGATACATTCGACACATTCAATATCTAATCCCAGGTGCGATTACCATGGATTCTCGAGGAGATGTGTTAGGCTACTGGGGTCGAAAAATCATCGAAGATTATGATGATGCTCTCTGCAAAAACATTCCCCCACTCACCGCGACTCCTCATCAAGAGACCTCGCAGATACCTGCGCTCCCTAAGCGTGGTTATGGCCCGCTGGGAACAGTTGGAATTCTAGGCGCGGGAGTTGGTGGTCTATACACCGCCCTTATCCTAGATTCGCTGAACATCGACTACGAGATCTTGGAGGCGTCGGACCGCACCGGCGGACGCCTCTTCACCTACAACTTCCCGAATGGTGGTAAATACGACTACTACGTATGTCGTTCGATGCTGCTGCGCCAAAGATGCTGACCATGTAAATTCTTGGATTCCCTGCTAACTAGGATGTTGGCGCCATGAGGTTTCCCCTGCCAACGAAGGACGCTCAAGGCAACTACAAGATTGGTATGATGAGGCGCCTGGGCGAGTTAATCAACTACTCGAAGCTCAACAAGGGTTTATCGAAGCCACCTCTAAGCTCCCAACTTATCGATTATCATGTTACGTCAAAGAGACAAGGGCATTTCCTCTACTTCAACAATCAACGTTATCAAGTCTCTCAGACATCGCGCCCTCCTGACTTCCGTGCCCAAGAAATGGGTGTGAATTCTCAGTACATCGCCGTGGGAGTTGAGAATATTATCCAGGATGTCATTCGACCGTTCGCTAAGGACCTCATTGAAGACTTGGAGCAAAATGTCCATTCGGGCTGGCATAACATAATGAAGCACGATGCATACTCGCTTCGCTCATTCATGTCACTCAAATACACTCCCAGCGCCAGCCTCCAAATTCCGCGCACGCATCTTTCCGCCAATGCTATCAATTGGTGCGAGACATTCGACGATAGCACGGGCGCGTATGATCGCGGTCTCACTGAAGCGGTTCTTCAAGCGCTGGCATTAGCTAGTGTTGAGTCACAGACCCTTGGAGGCGTAGAATGGAAGTGTTTAGAGTAAGCGCACTTCTGTCTTGGAACTCATGCACAGTCTCACACATGCCATTACCGTACCCAGAGGCGGTTCTCAAGTGCTCACCGACTACATGGCGGCATACCTTACTGCTAACGGCACCAAGCCTGTCATCCAGTTCAATAAGAAGGTCACAAGCATCTCTCAGAGTGGAGACATGGCAATGGATGTTTCTGTGAGGGGCGAGTGTAGCCCGCGCACATATTCACACGTTATATCGACTATTCCTCTACCGGGTCTACGGGTGATCGAACTCGGAGGTGCTGGTTTGAATGTGATGCAGAAAAATGCATTGCGTAAACTGCAGTACGGTCCTTCAGTCAAGGTTGGCATGCGCTTTCAATCAGCGTGGTGGACCGAACTTTTCGGTATCATAGGAGGCAAATCATCCACAGACCTTCCTATTCGAACTATCATCTACCCTTCTCACGGGGCTGAATCTAGCACGCCGTCCACAGTGCTGATTGCGAGCTACTGTTTGACAAATGATGCAGAACGCTTGGGAGCGCTCATCAACACCGGTAAGATAGAGTATGAGGAGCAATTGAAGGAACTCGTGCTGCGCAATCTCGCGGAAGTACACAATATGGATTATAGTTTCTTGTTGGATCAGTACGTAGACATGCATGCGTGGGACTGGAGCGACGACCCGCTCGTCATGGGTGAGTCTTTGAATATTGATGTGAGCCAATTGATTTTCACTCTCTGCCACAGGTGCCTTTGCGTTCTTTGGGCCCGGAGATTTTCAAGATTTATACACGTCTCTCACCGTACCCAATGCCAACAAGAGGCTCCATTTCGCTGGAGAGGCCATCAGCATTCGTCACTCGTGAGTGAAAATCAGTTGGGTCGTTTTGATAATTACAACTTGAAGGCAATGTAACTTGCAGGTGGGTCGTCGGTGCACTGGACAGCGCATGGCGTGCAGTGTATGAATACCTGCTCACATCCGGACAGCATGAGAAGATTCAAAGATTCTTCGATCTGTGGGGCCAGAACGAAGAATGGGCAGGTCAATCCAAACATGGAAAGCACGATCCAGCTGATCCGAACACGATGTTGCGAGTTCACATGGGATACACGTATGCTGGTGAAATCACTGGGGAGGTGAAGTTTTGAATAAGTAGTGGTTAGCTTGGTAACATTATCTGAATCTATAACATTACTTGCCTATAGCGTAAGAATTTTATTCGATTGTCAAAGAGATGTTCAGAATATTTCATCCTGACAGAATAAGTATTGTGAAAATTCGAAACGTTACAGGTCAGCTGCGCAATAGGTACTAGTGTAGGATGAGACCGCTAAGCCAAACGGCCACCACACTCGATACCTGTGTATCAGCCAATAGTCTAAAATAGAACCAATATAAATAACAACTAAAAGACTCGCATGGTGTTAGTGACACGATTTGCAAAACGCACAACTCTTGGCTCGCGTCAAATTGAAGGAACCAGGGTCATAAGCTTATTCCCATTCGCGAGCCACCACTTTTCTGACTCCTCGTCCGCATCGTATCCAAATTGGATGTCGCTCTTCGTCTTGTCAGCCCACTGATTCGCATTTCCCGCTAGCACAAGGGTACTCTGCTCCCCGCGTGCAACGCGCAAGCCGTCCTCCATGGCCGCGCGCATGTCGCGATCACGATCCTCTTGCTCTGGCCCGTCGTGTTTGTGAAATATGTACCGGTTTAGACTTGAGGACTTCTGCGTCGCGGTGGCACGATCGTACCGGATAGATTGGTAGGCATAGAGGAGAGGCAAGATCTGCGAGCGGTCCGAGCAATGCGAGAATATGTTGCCTAAGACGGCAGCATCTTCAATCTAGAGAACTCTGATGTCAGCACACATTTTACTGTCGACACTCCTCCTCACCGCCATAGCTAACCCTTGCGCACGGTACGGCTAGGGAGATGTGAGACTTAGTATGCACTATTTTGATCGATAATTCACACAAACCAGCATTGGGTGGCACGAGTCGCCCAACAAGACCAACTTGCCATCCTTGTGAATCCACGAAGGCAGTGGGTCTCGGTCCATCAACTTCCAATCGAGCGTTGACGGAATAAGCGCCAGGAGCTTTTGAACACTGCATCCCGCACCACCAGTTAGCATGACCATACGGTCGGGATTGAAACCGAGTCACTGACGTGGTGCTCCATTGCTTATAGTTCTCCCTCATTTTGTCTACGTTACCTTCAGCGGTCCATGATTCTACGCCTCCTTCAGCTTCATCAGGGTGCACCATGACAAGGTTAAATTCTTTCTTGGCACGCTGTCCAGCTCGAGTGTTAGTTCCCGATGTTAACCACGTTAACCGAATAGTTGGCTTACAATAGTATAGCCAACGATGTGACCTCCGGGGCCCATCCATATAGTCGATTCCATTTTCTCCACCAACGGTTTCAGCTCATCGTCCTGTAGGAGTTTCTCAGCCGGGATGATGGCTCTGTAAGCAGCATCTCCGGTAACCCTGGGTTTATCGGGCCCACCGACAACATACTCCCGAGTAACACTTTTGACTCCGTCGGCGCCAATGATTAGGTCAGCAAATACGACCTCCCCAGAAGCAAGAGTGACACTAGGTTTCGATGGGTCCACGGATATGACGCGACTATTAACACGGATAATACAGTATGCCTCAGTAGCTTCGTAGAGCATGTTGTGTAAATCAGCTCGCTGTTTTAGCCTCGTCAGAAAGAATAGATGCAATAAGGAGAGGACTGACGTGTAAGAGGTAGAAAGGGGAACCGTATTCCTTATCAATCACATCCCCAAGCGGCGTCCACCCTACGACCTCATCGTTGCTCCCTGGAGATCGGCATCAAGCAAGAGCACCAGAACGCTTCAACGCAACTCACATCGTTTAAAGCTCAGAGCCTGAATTTTGACGCCAAATTTCTCAAGATATGGGCCGAGACCCCAGCGCATCAAGAGACGCGAGACGTTAGGACTGGCTTGAACGCCAGCGCCTGCCTCACCAATGGCTGACGCTGCTTCGAGAATGGTGATGTTGTGGCCTGCCTGTGCGAGGCAGTATGCAGCGGCGAGACCTCCCATACCGCATCCTATGACCACGATGTTGAGGGGCAATGAAGCTCGCCTTCCTTTGTATAGATGGTCCGGCTGATGGGTGGAACTGGCCTGAGACATTCAGAAGGTTAGTATATAGCTTCGCTTTGATCGGGCCCACATCATTACTGACTGTTTTAGATTCCTGTGCGTTCATCATATCAATCAAGGAGCAGGACTTGGGAATGATACAGTGGTGATGATAGAGAGGACTGAGAGTGTATAATCATTGATGTGAGTGGATTATTAATACGGGCTGCTAAGGAGTACGAGAATGTACCTTATTTCGTCATATCGATCCAATCATCAGGAGTTTCGCGCCCGTCTTCGTCGCTGGCTAGTCATGTTTCTTCCCTCGTGGGTTTTGTCTCCTGAATTGGAAGCAGGAGTGCTCTCTTGCTTGAAAATGTGAACACAGGTCCTTTGAATCAGAGGGTAAACGAATGATCCTTTCGCAATCACTGACCAAAATTTCCTTCCGGGCGGCCGCTTCCGTGAAGACGCATCACTGAAAGCACCTTGACAGTTAGGGCTTTGTCTGTGTCTAAATGAGGTGTTACCAGACACACCAATTGTATGCCATGTGGACGCACAGCATGTTATCAAAATCTCCAAACTCTCAGGCACACAAGCGTCCACAGAGGGCCCGGAAAATTTTAACTCAGAGCCAGGATGCTTGCAAAGATGATGATGATAGGGGTGGATGAGACAAGACGATTGGTATACGGTCGCCGGACTGTTGGTATTCAATTAGTAAACCATACTCGACAAAGGTAATGCAAGAGACATTGCAGGGAAGAATGAATTACCGCAGTAAATTTTTAGAAATGGGATATTCCCCGTGGGCGAGGCGCAGCGAAGGCAAAATATCCGATCTACGGTCGACTATGAATGGGCTTGTGGTAGGACAAGCCGTACTTCCTTTATGGACTTCTGAATGATGACAAGCGTGTATACCGTGAGTATGTATGGCGCATGAGGTAGATGAACTGTGCCACTGTCACGGCTGCCATGCCCCGGCCTCCGGACAACCTATGCATGGCGTAGAAAATAAGATCGCAGGTTTGAATGAGCTGCACAAGAGATCAGCGCACCTATCCTGGTTTAGGACTCCTGGCAATGCTATGCCCTTCGGGTAGATCATCGGATGTACGGAGATAGATCACATTAAATCTGGATGCTCGAAAACTTAAACATAGATGACCGTGAACAGCTTGCAGACGAGATTGTACATCTCTTTCCCTGTGGGTTTCCGCTGATAGTACTGGATTCAGAAGCTTGTTAGTGCTAATCTGCTGTACCGCTCAAGTCACAAACCTTGAATCTTAACTGCGACACCATTCATTGGATGAATTTATTCTTCCAGATGTAGGGTGTGCAGTAGAGATACCTGTAAGAAGTGACAACTGTCTTCCTTCTGTAACGGTCTGCCTGAGGGAGAGACCACCTTCATATGACTCACGTGAAGCAAACAGCTTGCACCGATAGGCCACCCTGCCGGGCCCCTCCATGAAAATGCGGATGCCTGATCGCGAAAGGCTCTTGCAGATGTTGCCCAAGAAATCATTTTTGACGTCGAGTTTCTGCAGACCCAATGCTATTGATCGACTCGGATTTTCCAATATTCCCATGAATCAACCAACCGTTCTTTTCACACTACCAAAAGCGTTTGAGCGAGTCACGATACGGGAACTTGAGCCAAAGTTTCGTGCTCATATGTCAAGATTATGTGGAGATGACCGTGCGGAGCACGGTCATCTACCATATGCCATAATGAGCATAGATGACATAATGGTGTCGTCCTCAGAATATTTCAGAATAAGTATTGTGAAAATTCAAAATGTTATAGGTCAGCTGTGCAATAGGTACAGTACTACTGTAGGATGGGACTGCTAAGCCAAACGGCCACCATACTCGATATCTGTGTATCAGCCAATAGTCTAGAATAGAACCAATATAAATAACAACTAAAAGACTCGCATGGTGTTAGTGACACGATTTGCAAAACGCACAACTCTTGGCTCGCGTCAAATTGAAGGAACCAGGGTCATAAGCTTATTCCCATTCGCGAGCCACCACTTTTCTGACTCCTCGTCCGCATCGTATCCAAATTGGATGTTGCTCTTCGTCTTATCAGCCCACTGATTCGCATTTCCCGCTAGCATAACAGTGCTCGGCTCGCCGCGTGCAATGCGCAAGCCCTCCTCCATGGCCACGCGCATGTCGCGATCACGAGCCTCTTGGTCTGGCCCGTCGGGTTTGTGAAGTATGTGCCGGTTTAAACTTGAGGACTTCTGCGTCGCGGTGGCACGATCGTACCGGATAGATTGGTAGGCATAGAGGAGAGGCAAGATATCTGAACGGTCCGAGCAGTGCGAGAATATGTTTCCTAGTACGGCAGCATCCTCAATCTAGAGAACTCTGATGTCAGCACTCGTTTTACTGTCGACACTCCTCCTTACCGCCATAGCTAACCCTTGTCCGCGGTATGGCTGGGGGAATATGACACTCAGTATGCGCTATTTTGATTGAGAAATTACACAAACCAGCATTGGGTGGCACGAGTCGCCCAACAAGACCAACTTGCCATCCTTGTGAATCCACGAAGGCAATGGGTCTCGGTCCATCAACTTCCAATCGAGCGTTGACGGAACAAGCGCCAGGAGCTTTTGAACACTGCATCTCGCGCCACTAGTTAGCATGACCATACGGTCGGGATTGAAACGGAGTCACTGACGTGGTGCTCCATTGCTTGTAGTTCTCCCTCATTTTAACCACGTTACCTTCAGCAGTCCATGATTCCACGCCTCCTTCAGCTTCATCAGGGTGCACCATGACAAGGTTAAATTCTTTCTTGGCACGCTGTCCAGCTTGAGCATTAGTTCCCGATATTAACCATGTTAACCGAACAGTGAGCTTACAATAGTATAGCCGATGATCTGACCTCCGGGGCCCATCCATATAGTCGATTCCATTTTCTCCACCAACGGTTTCAGCTCATCATCCTGTAGGAGTTTCTCAGCCGGGATGATGGCTCTGTAAGCAGCATCTCCGGTAACCCTGGGTTTGTCGGGCCCGCCGACAACATACTCCCGAGTAATACTTTTGACTCCGTCGGCGCCAATGATGAGGTCAGCAGATACGACCTCTCCAGAAGCAAGAGTTACACTGGGCTTCGATGGGTCCATGGATACGACGCGACTATTAACGCGGATGTTACAGCATGGCTCTGTGACTTCGTAGAGCATTTTGTGTAAATCAGCTCGCTGTTTTAGCCTCGTCAGAAGGAAAAGATGCAATAACGAGAGGACTGACGTGTAAGAAGTAGAAAGGGGAACCGTATTCCTTATAAATCACATCCCCAAGCGGTGTCCACCCTACGACCTCATCGTTGCTCCCTGGAGATTGGCATCAAGCAAGAGCACCAGAAACTTCAACGCAACTCACATCGTTTGAAGCTCAAAGCCTGAATTTTGACGCCAAATTTCTCAAGATATGGGCCGAGACCCCAGCGCATCAAGAGACGCGAGACGTTAGGACTGGCTTGAACGCCAGCGCCTACTTCACCGATGGCTGACGCCGCTTCGAGGATGGTGATGTTGTGGCCTGCTTGTGCGAGGCAGTATGCAGCGGCGAGACCTCCCATACCGCATCCTATGACTACGATGTTGAGGGGCAATGAAGCTCGCCTTCCTTTGTATAGATGGTCCGGCTGATGGGTCGAACCAGCCTAAGATATCGAGAGGGTCAGTACATAGCTTCGTTTTAACCAAGCCCCACATCATTACTAACTGTTTTAGATTCCTGTGCGTTCATGGTATCAATTAAGGAGTAAGACTTGGGAATGATACAGTGCGGATGATAGAGGTGGTTGAAAGTGTGTAATGATTGATGTGGGCGGACTGTTGATATAGGCTGCTAAGGAGAACGAGAACGTACATTATTCTGTCATATCAATACAATCATCAGGAGTCCGCGCCCGTCTTCGTCGCTGGCTAGTTATTTCTTGTGGGTTCCGTCTCCCGAATTGGAAGCAGCGAGTGTTCTCTTACTTGAAAATGTCAGCACACGTCCTAGAGGTAAATGAATGATCCTTTCGCAGTCACTGACCAAGATTTCCTTCCAGGCGGCCGCTCCCGTGAAGATGCATCACTGAAAGCACAATATTGACAGTCAGGGATTTGTCTGTGTACAGATGATTTGTTATCTGGCGCTCCAATTGTATGTAGTGTAACATCATATTATTAAGATTGTTGACTAAGTATGTCGTGTGAACGCACCGGACTGTCCGATAGAAGTCTGACAGTTACATAAACCCTTTGTTATAATGCTGAGACACTTCTTCGAACATACAATGATAATATAACGTCCCATCATTGGAAAGTTCTCAGTCAGTGACTACAACTCAGAGAGAGACGGGAGGGACTAAGATGTTGATGAGCGAGAAGCTATAAGAGTAAGGAACAAAGACTAAGCTCGCACCGGCAATCGATTAATCAAGTCAATCGGTCTAGACCCTGGGGTTTTGTCTCCTGCTCCGGTTTGATGGAAGAACAACTTCAAAAAGACAACTCACATGTACAGTTACTACCACGAACCACCCCCTACTCAATAACGCCATTTTATTTCCTGCACGAGATGTCAGATAACAGATAAATCAGGTATGTTATATCACAAGTGGGTATTTTATTTGCTGTTTTATTTCTCACTCGACATGTCACATAATGTATATCGAGTTCGGAGTTTTCTATGTGAGAGAGTTGCCGAAATGCCGACTGGGTGAACCACGACACTGCTTGACATCGCGAATGCTGGCGCTGACATGGACCAGCAAGAAACTTACCGGAACCAAGTCTTGAAAGTCCTCACTGAAGAGATGCGAAGGAAATGGTCGAAGAATTGTTCTGCCTTCTGTTGGTCATATGGCCTGCGTGCCAGTGGTCCCGAGCCAGACTTAGCTGCGAAGGGTTGGTCATCCGGTGTCTCTGCATGATAATGCCAAGTGCTTCGAGAGACATTACCATGATAGCGTGCGGCGAATCTGCCATGGTAGTGTGAACGTGTTTCAACGATGTCTGCGCCGGCCTCTGATGTCTACAATTGAAAGATTCAGATGTACTCCGAGTCCGGCTGTGTGTTCAGCGTAGTTGATTTCAAGCTCCGTTATATGCGTGCCGAACGTATCGCATCGTGCCGCATCGGAGGCATATGGTGGTTTTTCACGTCACAGGGCTGCCACTTTCAAGTACGCATGGGAGTTCCAGGATATTGGTTGGTCATGAAGTTCCCATCCGTCACGCACGGTGCAACGCCTAGCTCATTTGTCATTTGGAGTTATCGCCAGCACCGCTAGAGCAACGTGCCACGATGTCTTATCGCAGATGAGTGCCTCCTGTCTCGCTGTTCCATTCAGGCGGATTGCAATGGGTACGAGCTCGACTTGTATCTTGGATGTCCCAGGGGGCAGAATGTCCTTGGATGGGTCTTCTCATCAATAAAATGATGAATCAAGTCGCGTCAGGCATAACGGATCGGGAGTTGAAATGTTGATTCCCGGCAACCCCGACCAATATATAAATGGCCAGGGCGTGCTTTCGATGGCTCCATATTTCCACTTTGTATTCCGTCGTGTGGGCTTTGCGATGCAGAAGCTCATAATATACAAATACTTTAGTTTCGACTTTAGTTGACCGCACCTGCCGACTGCTATTTTCCTGTGTATGGCTTCAAGGCAGCATGGAACAGATGGTCCTTAGTAGCAAGAACGAACAGCCGTTCGATCACTGCTTTCGGCTCAGGATTGGCAACCGTCTCCCAATGAGCCTGGAAGTCCACAACAGCATCAGTACGTGCAAAATCACGATAACATCAATGTCTACCTCAACGCTTGCCCAGCCGCCGACAAGAATAATCTCATTCTCATTCTCCACTGTAGGCCCAAACACGAGCATCTTCTTGGTCAAGTCCGACATCTTACTGAGGATCTCGAACACCTCTGTGCGATGACTGGGATCTTTGAGCGTGAGGAGGAGAACCTCTGTGACAGGCTGCTGTAATGCGATGGGATGGTCGTTGAAAATGACATGATACATCTTAAACGGGCCCCCGAAGCGGGTTTCAGAGCGTCAAGCACAGGACCCATATGAGGGGGCAGCCATCAACGCCTGATGGTGCGCTAGGCTTTCCCAGTCTAACGCCAGGGCAATGATAAGCCCCCTTTCAAAGACTAGCAAAATGTTATAACGTACTGAGGAAGATATACCCTGTAGTTGGGTTCTCGATCTGTGTCCCAGTGTAGACGGGCCTGTCGCGATAACAGCATGATTAAGGCGTCCAATACAACCAGCAATATCTGCCAGCAAGAAAACCACACGCACCTCCGGACACCATCAACCTTTGAAACTACATCGGCCGCAGGGCCTAAAACTGAGATGTCCTTTCGAAACGCCTCTGAAGTGTCGAAGATAATGACTTCAGTCGTTGGGATAGTAGACATGATTGCGGGAAAGTTTCGGGAAACGCCCCTTTATCACCCAAATATATATATGCTGGCTGATCAACGAATTTCCAAATAGACTCGTGTGGACTCCCGATTGTTCCAGGTATCCTACCCACGACTGATTTTGAGAACATGAGATTGGTGTGTACATGGTAACTACTAATTTGGTGCAATACACAAGCGTGTCGATACTTTACGGAATGAGCAGATATATTAATGTCATATGAACTAGACTCGTGATCAGCACGAGATCTACCGCACTTACTCTCAAAGCATACCCGTTCTGGAATCTGGATCGAATTTCATCCAAAGACCCGCCCCAAGGGGATACGCGCATGGGAATTGACATTTACCTACCACACTTCCTTTCTTCATGCGCATGGACACTGGTCAGGCTCCTCGCAGACGTCGCGCCTGGCATATGGCGCTATACAGGACTTAAGAGTGACTATGAGGAGGGAGGTGAGAACTATAATATTAATGATTGCCGCGACGGAAGGTTAAGAATATCGAGGATTTACATCAAATATCCAGTGCAAAGCTTGTTCACACGTGCTCCACCATCAGCTGTTGTTTCGAGTACCCGCGCGGTCTTCCCAACAAATACATAAAGCGCATGTCACTCGGGACGTACCCTGGTCATCCTGCCCTTTCCGAGACAATCTCTGAGCTCAGTCGCGTACGCGAAGTCATTCCAGATCCCCCAGCATTCATATCAACCACCGTCGATTCCGCATGTCTTCCACCCGCACTCCCGACATATTTCACACTTCTCCGATGCTGGGCCTTCGAGACGTAGCCCTATAGCTTCCATGGTGACAGCTGGATGGACAGGACCCAGAGCTAAGTGTACTCGACACTCCTCCACTTATATCTGGAGGCCAAATCATCAGCGCAAACGTCCAAGTTGTCTCCCCAACACTTTGCATATATATTGGCTCCCTCCTTATCTTGCTATTCGTGCGCGAGACGAAAGGCAAGAGCCTAGAGGAGCTCGGCCAAGTTTTCGCTATCCTCGGCACGCACGCTGCATGCAGCCTGAGGCAGATACCCTACGGCTTCAAGTTTGTGTTGATCCAGGACCCTATCCCTGAGCAACTTTATCAGTCAGAGAGCGAGAACGAGGGGCCGGTTTGATTCATTTACGGAGAAGGGTAAAAGATGACTGGGATGGTAAAATGAGAGCGAACACATGCACATGTAACACGGATCAAGCTGAGGGGGCTCACAGGAGAAGACTTACTCGTTCATCACCCAATCACCCAACTCATTCGAAATGTAGTAAGCCGTGTCGCTAGGGGGACGACGTTCAGAATATCTTCCAGATCATAGTAGCCAGCGAGAAATAAGTGGTTATAATAAAGTTGTCAGCACACCTTGGACTCGTTTAATCCCAAAAAAATTAACATACGGTACAAGCGTTGTCACGGTGTCCGTCAGTTTGAACGGAATTGTCAGCGCTTCAAGTTGTACAGTTGGCTTTGCGTTTATGGGCCTCGATCAAAAGTACAGCATTTGGACAGGTTGGATAGGCATTCTTACATAGGCCAATCCGGGAGGACCATACCCTGTCTATAAAGCGGAACCGGAACCACCATATACGTCCTGCAAGGATTTATGCCATGGCATCAACGCGAGAGACATGATCACACACCCCCAGCAATAAAATCGTAATACATGTATTGTGTAGTGCGCAGGCGCTTCTGGAACATGCTGATACGCAAAACAACATCGAAGTGGTTCTCAGGCTCGTCACATGCATGTACCTGGATATTATCTGGGGGCAGCCTAGAGAGTGTATCAAATGCGTATACTCGGTTGATGACCGTTGAATGAATGAATGGCTTCTTGTGTGGGCATTAGAATTCACTTTCAAGTAGCAGAGGTATATCCAAGACCCAGCCGCGTAAACAATGCGTGGTCACCAGTTATCATGCACGCGTCGTAAAAGTGATCGTCGTCATGAGGGGAAAAACCAAAACAGCTTCTGGTCGATTATTCGCAATTGCCCAATAGAGCGCTGTGTGACCCTCGATATTGGATGATTTCAGGATGTTGCAGCTGGGAGGAGGTGCTCTGGCGATGTCGTCTTTGGAGGTAAGTCACAAAACAATAGGGGTGAAATGGTGTGCTATGCCAGACCAAACTAGACTGCAAGTCCGACTCCGACACCGGGAAATGCCGAGTGGGAAATGATTTGTCATTGTTAGTGTGATTGTCTATGTACGATGTTAGTTTGACTTTGGATTTTCGCAGTTTGAGAACTGAGGGATTCGGATGAGAAAAGTGGAAAGGACTTGAGCTGAGAGGTTCCTTTTTAGGAAAGGACCCACCTCATCTCCTCGTACCCACCTTCGTGCACGCGCTCATCATATCAGAAAATGTCTGAAGACGTAGTAATGCAAGATACTGACATTGACCAACAACAACCGCCTTCAAAGAAATTAAAATCTTCAAATTCTTCACCAAAACCTGCTTCTACAATAAAACCAAAATCAAAACCACAACGTCCTCGTTCTCCTTCTCCAACTCCGCCCCCTCCTCCGCCACCCCCTCTACAAACTATCAGACTACAAATAAATCTAGGAGGTCCAGATAATTATGAAGTCGATATTGCTACTTTGGCAAAAACAACAGGTCAACGTCAACCTACTCCACCTCCTCCAAAAGCAGACACATCAGACTCCGAAGGTGAAGACGACGGCGAGCCGAAAAAGAAAAAGGTAAAATATCACATTTCATATAAACACCTCGCTGAGTAAGGCAGCAGAAAAAACATGCTACTTCAGAGTATTACGACGTCAACGACCCTTTCATTGACGACTCCGAGCTGAACATCGATAATCGCACTCATTTCGCTCAAACAAAGCAACAGGGCTTTTACGTCTCTAGTGGCGAAGTTGCTCTTATGAAAGATAGGTATGTGCGGTTTGATTACATCTCCAATGTCCTCATTTCGTGTGCGCAGTAGGACGCCCAAGAAACCTAAATCGAAAAAGGTCCTTGCTGAGGGTGGTGCGACTGCTGGACCTAGCAAGACTGTTGCCAAGGAAGAAGGGACAAAGGAACATCCTATCAGTTTGCTAGGCGAAGACAAGACCAACAAGAAACGCAAGAACTATACAGTCATAGAGGATAACGGGAAGAAGAGGAAAGTCGTCGATCTCGTACGTCACCCAAACAACGTCATATCTTGCGCTCACTTGCACCCAGCGCGACTTTCATCCTGAACTTCAATTAGCCATCGAAGATCTAAAGACTGCCATCTCCAAAGGTACGTGTCTCCACGTACCCTAGCTTATGGTCTGACGTTGTCATAGAATCATGGGACGTCAAGGGCAAGTTCCCACCCTCTATCAAACCCATACTCGCAGATGTCGCGTTGAAAGCTGTCAACCTCGGCGAATACGATGAAGACTTTTTTAATCTTATGCCAGTGTTGTTTCCTTATAACCGCTTCACTATGACTGTACGTCGTATCACCTACCCTTGAACGCGCTCGCTCACTGAATGGCGTCGGCGCACAGAAACTCATCAAACGCACTATATTCGTAGACCACCTCAAGATCTTGACAGATAGACAAGACGAACTGCTTCAACAGCTCACGGGTCTTACAAAGGACGGGTTTTCGAAGGCGCAGGAGGAGTGGGAGAAGAGTGTTGTTGCTTGGGGTGCGTCACTTCCGTCTTTCTTATCCAACTTTCTGTTCTTCCTTTCGTTCATTCCTTTGTCAATTCTTGTGTACTACTCGTAACCGCTTTTTACACTTTTAAACTTCCACTACTCGTACACCTGGCCATCAACGTCTTCCTCATATCATTACTAACACCTCACACAGAACGCCGCAAGGAAAAGGCCAAGAACGAAAGTGAAGCGGGCGCAGCATCAGCATCGACGCCAAGTGCAAGCGCAGACGCCGCACACCACGATGATGGTGCAGGGAGCGGTGTCGATGGTGACAACGTCCGTGCAGACGGCGACAGAACCCTCGCTGATGGTACCGGAACCGATGGTGGAGCCGGTGCAGGCACAGACGGTGGAGGACCAGGCGCAGACGATAACGCCACAGGAACTAATAAAGCGGATGGAACGCGAGACGCACATCCCCCTGCCCAGAAATACAGGTTGACGGAGGCGATGAAGGTGATTGTGTGGCAGCTTGTGATGCTTAGCAATGAGTGCTGTAGACTTGAGAATGAGAAGAAGTGAGTGCAAGTTCTTCTTCTTTCCTTCTCTTCTCTTCTCTTCTCTTCTTTCATTGTTCTTGTGGGGATTTGGGAAGTAGTTGTTAATGTGAACGAATAGTGAATTAGACGGGAGTAATGCGCTTGTTAGCGAACAGGGGTCGAGAAAGATTTTGTATCAGAAGGTGCGTTCCCCATTTTGATTGGTATGAGAGTGCTCATTAGGTGGTGGTAGATCGTAGCCGCATTTCCCAGTGGATGGTTGAATTCGGGTCAATTATCCCGAGAAGGTGTGTTTTCCCCGTTCATACTTAAACCCTATACCCATACTGACAATAAACGCAGTGAGCTCCCTAAAGAAGAAATATGAGAAAGAGACGATGGAGCAAGATAACTGAGTGATGATGGGTTCTCTCGTCTATTTTATTCGGTCATATCATCTTTTAGTTATGAAGGATGTGCGTTTGCGTTTTGTCTGTGGTGGGTATATTATTCGTCTCGCTTACTTCGTCCCTGCTTATTTGATCCCTCGTTGCCTCCCCTCACTTTGCTTTGATCCTCACTTAACGTTTACCGCTGGTCTGCCTGGTTTGTTCCCTTAACTTAAGCTCTTACTATTTACAACATTATCCTCATTTATTGCTTTGTGTTTTATGCGTGCCGCGGGGGTTATACATTTGTGAAACAGCTTAGTAACATAGTGCCTCCTTGATCCGAAATTGCAGTTCTTTATCTTGAACTACGTGCATATATCTGACGTTCGTGTCTACCGGTTTGTGGTGGGATCAAACAAACACAACCTCGCCCACAAACTTTGGACTGCGTGTTATCGTTGATTGATCGACGAGCGCTTCTAGTTGAGACGCCGCCACTCGTGGATCGATTGAAGGTAAGTCCAGCGTCTACTTCGACGTCCCTACAACTTCAAAGCCTTCTCCACACCGCTCTCCAACGTCTCGAAATCCATCCCCAAGCGACTGCGCCACTCTCTCAGATACTCTCACGAGGATACATTGAAGTTCATGATCGGTGGGTGCGAATTTCAGCCTGGTATACAGCAAGTATATTTCTTCTGCTGTGAACAAAATTGAAGAACTTAATACAACGGACGCAGGCAGTGACTGACTCGGATGGAACCAAAATGCTGTAGCAATGTGGTATGGAGCAAACCAATAAATTGGGTTGTGCACAGACGTCCGATTTAGTTCACGACCTCCCACGACACACAAGGTCGACGACTTAACCACGGAGTACGCCCCTCGTCAACTTCAAACGTTGCTGACAGTCTATCCCCCTGTTTAGCCGCAGCGATATGTCAGGACTGCGCGATATAGGAGATCCTACTCAGGCTGTGGGAAGGCACGCGACGCCGGCAGCAGTCAACCCAGCCGACGCTAACATACACGGAGAAAGTGCACATGAAATCAGTGTCGGCAGGTCGCCTTCTTCAAAGATGGTCAACGGGTCGCCACCAGTTCATGGGATCGCACCGTGCAAATTTGGGACGTGAAGAACAAAGCTTTGGTGGGAGGTCCGTTCAAGGGACACAGTGACTATGTGTATTCAGTCGCCATATCGCCAGACGATAGACAAATTGCGAGTGGCGGAGAAGATGGAGCCATCGCCATCTGGGACGTCGATAAGAAGCCGATGGCATTCAAACCGCTGATGAAGCATAGAGGCCAGGTTTGGTCGGTGTGTTTCTCCCCCGATGGCAAGAGACTTGCCAGAGGGTATGATGAAACAGTTATTATATGCGATGCGAAGACTAGCGCTATCCTCTCCACACTCCAGGGCGTGGGTGCGGTGTATTGTGTCGCCTTCAGCCCAGATGGGTTAAAGCTAGCATCCGGAACACAGTGCAAGATTCGGGTTTGGAGCACCGATAATGCCATGGTTCTATTCGACATCAACGCTCACGACGGTTGGGTTCACAGCGTTAAGTGGTCACCTGACGGCCAGCAACTTGTCTCCGCATCAGAAGATAAAACGGTCAAGTTTTGGGACTCGTTGAATGGAACCCAGATCGGTCAACCTTGCTTCGGTCACACCAACGACATCAACTCACTTGCCATCTCTTCTGATGGCTCCTTCATTGCAACTGCCTCCGACGATAAGACCGTGCGCCTGTGGAACATGAAGTCCCATCAGCAGATAGGAGAGCCACTCCAACACACCACATATGTTTGCTGCGTCGCGATTTCTCTTAGCGGAGAACTGCTCGCGAGTGGAGACTTTGATGGGCATCTTCAGCTGTTGTCCATCGAGAACACAATTTCTACAGCATTCGCGATGGATTCCTCATACTTTGTGCATCGCAGTAAGGTGAGGTTGAGCCAGAACCTCCATACGGAGGCTCTTTCGGACGCAAACAAGGTGCGGATGATATTGGTGATTATCTTAATATTTGTAATGATATTCGCAGGTCATTGAGCTCAACCCTTCGTCTCATCTTGGATACGAATTGAAGTATAAAGCGCTTCGTATCGCACATCGTCATGATGATGCATCGGAGGCTTTCACAGTCATGTTCTATAAGATGAATAACGCACACGATCCATGGATACAACGTAAGCCACAAACGACTCAAGCGCCGACTTGAAGACTTACATTTTTTGCAGAGCTAGGTCAGCAACACCGCCGTCAATATGAAGTAGAAAGTGCTATTCGGAAAGTCATCGAAGCCCAACTGAAAAAGGCTCCACTTCGTCTAATCAACACCTCTACTGGACGTTTGTGCGATCAGGGTGTGCGGATCGACGCATTCATAGAGAGTACAGAGTACGAAGAGTTGACTTCATTGGGCATGCATGGGTCCCTCCAAACGGAGCTCATCAAAGAAACGGTCGCGAAGTACTTCAGTTGGGTTATGTTGTCCCATAGGTGGGGAGCCAAGGAGCCACTACTACATGATATTCAAGGCAGGGATATATACGACTTGGATCCGGTCGGAACCATGGTGAAGTTGCAGAAGTTCTGCAAAGTCGCTCACGTTGCAGGACATCGTTGGGCGTGGAGCGACACATGCTGCATCGACCAGTAAAACAATGCTGAGCTCCAAGAATCAGTCATTTCCATGTTTATCTGGTATCGGGACTCAGCGCTCACCATCGTCTACCTATCGGATGTCCCGTCTCTGTCACTCGCAAACAGCACTTGGAACACGCGAGGATGGACCGTTCAGGAGTTCCTCGCTCCTAGAATCATTCTTTTCTACCAAGCAGATTGGACCCCATATCTCGACGACCGCTCATGCAACCACAAGCAGTCTGACTATATCATTGATGAGTTGAAGTGTTCAACTGGTATAAATGCGCGGGCGCTCGTCGACTTCCATCCAGGTACAAGAGATAGCCGAGAGAAACTCCGATGGGCGTCAAACCGTAAAACCACGAGGAGGAAGACATCGCCTACTCTTTGTATGGCATCTTTGATGTCAACCTCCCTGTTATCTACGGGGAGAAGAAACAAAAGGCGCTCGGACGACTCTTGCAGTATATTGTAGCCCATTCGGGCAACGTCACAGCCCTTGATTGGGTAGGACAATCGTCCAACTTCAACAGTTGTCTGCCAGCCGATATTTCCTCATACAAGGGTCTATCATGTACACTGCCACCTCTATCTGAGCACGATTCGCAGATATTGGTCCCCACGCTGCGAAACGATATTGTGGTTGTGGAGTCGGCTTCGAAATTGTATACCTTCCTCGAGAAGTTCAGCGTTCCTCGTTTTTCCGATGCCAGACTGCAATTGCCTTGCATCACATTTCCTCTCACAGAAGTCAGGCTGAGGCTTGGTCAAGACAGGCCAGATGTTCCACTTATGACGTCAAGGCAGATGGGCTACGAGACGTGGTGATCACGACGGAAGACAAGCTTGTTCAATTCTCGCCTGCAATGCGTACTCAGCAGACGTTCCTGCTCATCCATCCGTGGATTCGTGATCTTCTCGAGCTACCTGACTTTGCAGACGAGTCGCAGAGCGTGGGTAATTGGCCTGATGAGCTGGTCACCAGACAGTTGAGGTTGCTCGTTCGCCTTAGTCGCCGTTTCGGCGCACTTTTGCTGGCGCGACAGCGTGGTGGGGAGTATAAGAGAATCGCCTCGGATAACAATATCATCGCACAAGTCAGGGACATGGCTGCTATTAACAGGATAGACGTTAAGATACTGGAGATATTGTAGCTACGAAGAACGGGACATTTTCATCTAATGCATTGACGACGTTTCCACATGAACAGCATCCCTGGAATTTTGTATGGTATCGGTCTCGATATCAGATTGATCATATATTGTCTCGTATACAAACATGTTAATCCCTAAATTAGATGTCCGGGAGATGATGTTCTCCCCGGTGCTGGGAAAACGTATACGTCAGTATGCCAAATATGGAAGAGAGCTGTGACGGATGGACAAGTCCAAGACTGATCACGTCCGAATCAGAAAGGGAAAAAGTCCGAGCTCCCCCTTGCCACGTATGAAACAAAGCCTAAACACATGATTCCTTTATCACGAGCCACTCTGCCACGATACAGTATAAGACGTACCTAGACTTGTATCGTATAGACCGGCGTTCTTGAATTTGATCCTTGTATCTGGTTACTCGAGCGTCTGAAATATTCCCACTTGTGCCGACTCCGAAAGCTATCGCTTCTCACAGTCGTCACAAGAGCCCAGGACTTGAATTTACACATCCGAGTTGTCGCTGGTAGAGGCGTCTGTCTTAGGTACTTGTTCAACTGACGAGAGTGCACCTAGGACACGCTGGAGTACTTTGGCGGGTCACTTGAAGGGAACTTGAACGCCAGTCTTGTTGGTAGAAGATTGGAGATGAGATCTGGGTGCGGCACCGGCTATGCATGCTGTATAAACCTGTTGCGCACATGATGACCTGCTGTGCCACGACGATCAGACTCAACCCTTACTGAACGATTATTGGACGATTAGATTCTTTCTCGTTCTTAGGGAACCCTCGAGACTTCTGGATATCATGATTACCCTAGGGTTTCACCTTGGCGCACAGAAGTTCCCTTGCATTCTGGTGATGGCCGTGCATACTAGCCTGTGCTTTCAATCTCCGTGTTGACTCTCTGATACACGTTGCTCTGAATTTGCACCTGTTCCATTTAGTGCTTGCAGTGTGTGGCAGTGGAACAAATATTGCCTCGAGACTTGCTCGAGGCATGTACCAATAATGGGCTATTGTTTTATATATAAATGATATCGGACCCTTCCTTACCTTACCTCGCTTCACCATGGACAAACGCAAACGCACATTATCGGGGGATTCGAGTCAAGACACCGAAGCAACAGCTCCCGAAAGCTCAGTACGTGGCTTATCAGGATCACTTGGTTCACTCCACTCCAGCTATACTTTCAAGGTTACTGAGGGCGGTGGTAAGAGGCCAAGGATCTCGGTAAGTCCACGAGCATGTGTAATGAGTGTCCTAGAATGCGACTAAAACTGTCATAAGCGCTCGAGGGATTCCCCCAGCAGCAGTCTTGTTCTCCCGAATGAACGTGCATCATCGACCTCGGTAGGTTCTCATACTTGCCCTCCAGTCTCTGTGCTCTCTCTAAATTCTGGTGGTTGCGCAGGTTCAGGTGGCTCCGTCTGTTGTGGAAGTGGAGGCTGTAAAGCACATGCATTCACGTTCGGGACCTGCTGCAACCGTAGAACTTTCTCCTGTTCATTTACAGGGCATATATCTCGAACCCCTCAGGATGTTCGACGCTATTATCGGAGAGATTGCGGATGTATGCAGGCTCTCCTCTCAATCAGAACCGAACTAATCTGGTTCCACAGGTACATCCCTATGCAAAGATAGCACTGGGCGTGTTGTCTCGTACAGCCAAAGTATGTTGTCATTTTCTCACTCCCTATCTCTTACTGTTACTCAGCTATCATTTGCGCAGATTATTCTAGCTCAAGTCGATCATGACACAGCGGTACTCAAACTTCTCGAAAGGTTGTGTGAAGTGTATAGCTTCATGACGCAATACGAGATCCTTCGCAAAATCTCGTCGATGCACGCTACCCTTGGAAATATTTGTCGGCAGACCCGTGAATGTGCCCATTTTATCAAGAATTATTCGGAAACCAAGAAATTTTGTGAGTCTTAACAAGCTACTGCGCTCTGTACCGCCTCGAACTTCTACCATTATCACAGGGAACAGACTTGGAAAGAACGTAGTCTCGGAAACGGAAGATACGATCCAAAGATACAATGACGTGTTCGATACGCTCATGCAAAACTTCCGGGACCAGGATCAGGTCGGTCACGACGTAGCCATACATGTTCACCGTACGGGTAAGGGTTCGGGCATCCTTGTGACTTGACATATATTCATACCTTTCCAAAAGAAATATCGGACCTCAGCGGTATGATTTACGCAGAGGGCGCGGGACTGGATACCAGAAAAGAATGCCTTCAAGGGACTCGCACGGAAATCCTTTCTCAGATCACCGAATGGGTCAACAGCACTGGGGACAATGTTCCGCGCGTGCTGTGGCTATCTGGCCCTGCAGGCAAAGGAAAATCGGCCATCGCCCACACAATTGCTAGGTGGTTCGAAGATGTGGGAGGGCTTGGTTCTTGTTACTGTTTTGACCGCCAGCGAGAAGCAGATCGTCGCCATGAAAAGATCTTTTCCACGATCGCGCGCGACCTGGCTGACCGTGATCCGGAGATGAAGCGGGCATTATCAGATGCAGTTCAGGCCACGAGTTCACTCAAGAAGACGTCAGATATCATCCAGCAGTGGCAGAAGCTTCTTGTCCAACCACTGAAGAAGTCATCTGGGTCAGCTGGGGAACCCATCGTGATCGTGATCGATGCACTGGACGAGAGCGGTGGAATAGAGACACGAAGAGACCTCCTCCGTATTCTAGCTGGCAAATATCAAGACCCCGCCATCCCCAAATTCACGGGCCTCCCAGGCAACTTCCGCTTCATTGTTACCTCTCGCCCGCTTGGTGATATCAAAGACGAGTTTCATGGCGTTCAGCATATTCAACAGATGTCGATGGATGACATTCCAACAGCAATCGCAGAGCGCGACATCCATGCTTACGTATCCAAAGAGTTGAAAGGACTGGATTTCCAGGACAGAAAGTCAGCAGTCCTCGCTGAGAAAGCTAATGGACTTTTCGAGTGGGCGCGGCTTGCCTGCGGATACATCAAAGAGCCTCATGTGGGTTTGTCTGCAATTGATTGCTACAATGCTGTGGTGTCACACGATCCTGCGGAGAGAAGCATGCTGTTGCACAGCATGTATGACCTCATTTTAACAAATATCATGCCCAGGGATACATCTACCCATATGCAGCATTCGCAAAAATCGCGTTCGACGGCGCTAGCAAGATTCCACTCGGTGATGGGACAAATACTAGGCACAGCTGAACCCCTTCCTTTGGCTTCCCTGAATGCCATGAGGCGCTATTTTCCAACGGGAGAGGACAATTTCGACGTGGAGCTTGTAGTAAAAAGCATGGGCTCCCTTCTCAGCGGCACCACCAACCCAGATTCCCCAATCCGACCCCTTCACGCGTCCTTCCGCGATTTCTTAACGAACAAACAATCCAGCGGAGAGTTTTTTATCGACCTGTCAAAGACACAACGCGACCTTGCATTCGCATCACTCCGAGTAATGGAACACGGTCTTCGGTTCAATATCTGCGATTTAAAGTCGTCGTATCTACCCAATAGCGAAGATCCCGGGCTACAAGAACGAGTCAAAAAATGCATCTCCCCGCATCTGTCATATTCATCTCGATTTTGGACGTCGCACGTACGGAGCACAGTTTTCGACAAGGAGCTTGCGAAAGAAGTGACATTGTTGTTCAACCACGAGCGGCTATTTTTCTGGCTCGAGTTGCTCGCCTTGATCAATGCGCTCAGTGGCGCCGTTGCTGCCCTCTCATTTATTCCCCAGTGGCTGAAGGTGAATACATTGCTACTAAGTGCCAGATAAAACGCTCATGCGCAACCACAGGGCCATCCCAAATTCAAAGATGTCTTGTCGACTGCAATGGACGTACAGAAATTCATTCAAGTCTTCGGCGGTATGATTTTACACAGCACACCGCATCTATATGTATCAGCACTCCCATTCACGCCTGCCAACTCTCCGCTATCCAGAAAGCTGTCTGCACGGTTTCCAAATATTCTTCGTGTGGCATCTGGACGTGATATGAACTGGCCGGTTGTTCAGACCGTGCTCAGGGGGCACACTGGTTGGGTTAACTCGGTCTCGTTCTCGCCGGACGGCACTTGCATTGTCACTGGTTCGGAGGATAAGACTGTTCGGCTGTGGGATGCTGCGACGGGGCAGCCAGTCGGTGAGCCCTTGCGGGGGCACACTGATTGGGTTAACTCGGTCTCGTTCTCGCCAGACGGTACTCGCATCGTCACTGGTTCGTATGATAAGACTGTTCGGCTGTGGGATGCTGCGACGGGGCAGCCAGTCGGTGAGCCCTTGCGGGGGCACACTGGTTGGGTTAACTCGGTCTCGTTCTCGCCAGACGGTACTCGCATCGTCACTGGTTCGTATGATAAGACTGTTCAGCTGTGGGATGCTGTGACGGGGCGGCCAGTCGGTGAGCCCTTGTGGGGGCACACTGATTCAGTTTGCTCGGTCTCGTTCTCGCCAGACGGTACTCGCATCGTCACTAGTTCGCAGGATGGGACTGTTCGGCTGTGGGATGCTGCGACGGGGCAGCCAGTCGGTGAGCCCTTGCGGGGGCACACTGATTGGGTTAACTCGGTCTCGTTCTCGCCGGACGGTACTCGCATCGTCAGTGGTTCGTATGATAAGACTGTTCGGCTGTGGGATGCTGCGACAAGGCGGCCAGTCGGTGAGCCCTTGCGGGGGCACACTGGTTGGGTTAACTCGGTCTCGTTCTCGCCGGACGGCATTTGCATTGTCACTGGTTCGGAGGATGGGACTGTTCGGCTGTGGGATGCTGCGACGGGGCAGCCAGTCGGTGAGCCCTTGCGGGGGCACACTGGTTGGGTCAACTCGGTCTCGTTCTCGCCGGACGGCACTCGCATCGTCAGTGGTTCGTATGATAAGACTGTTCGGCTGTGGGATGCTGCGACGGGGCAGCCAGTCGGTGAGCCCTTGCGGGGGCACACTGATTGGGTTAACTCGGTCTCGTTCTCGCCAGACGGTACTCGCATCGTCACTAGTTCGCAGGATGGGACTGTTTGGCTGTGGGATGCTGCGACGGGGCAGCCAGTTGGTGAGCCCTTGTGGGGGCACACTGATTCAGTTTACTCGGTCTCGTTCTCGCCGGACGGCACTCGCATCGTCACTAGTTCGCAGGGTGGGACTGTTCGGCTGTGGGATGCTGCGACAAGGCGGCCAGTCGGTGAGCCCTTGCGGGGGCACACTGATTGGGTTAACTCGGTCTCGTTCTCGCCGGACGGCACTTGCATTTTTTTTTTTTTTTTTTGCTTCAGATTTAGTCCTTTGGGGTCGTAGACCCTATGTTGGACATTGTCTCGTCATTAGCTATCTTTCATCTTTTGGGGGGTTTGGATGCTTTTCATTTATGGTGCAGACATGTACTCTGTCACCGAGGTGAGCAGGCACGAAAGGAAAGCTGCGGGAGGAAGACGTGTTAGTAGGGGAGGTTGGTTATAGGGTCGTAGCTTCGTTGTCTTGTCTGGTTCGTTCTTCGATTTTGCTATGTGGTTCCTCTGTAATCGTGTCTTCTGTGGTTCCCGTCAGTGACAGCTTTGTTGGAGTGTCGATCCTTTCATGGGAGAGTGTATGGTTCGGGTTGGTATGTGCGGTTTGGGTATGTTTCCCTGTGACATTTTTACTGTGGTGTGTTATGTTCTTTTACATATGTTAATTCTCACCAAATATTGGCTTGAATCTTCCAGTGCTGTTGATGTATCGGATGAGGTGTGGGGTGATTTTGTCGGATGTTAAGATGTGGGCTATTGACAGTGCGTCTCGACGTGCGGCGTTTGCGAAGATATGGCGTTCCTTTCGGTATTGGGGGCATTCGAAGATATAGTGGTGAACCGTTTCGTTCGTGTTGGGGCATATTGGGCAGTGCGGGGTGTCGGATTTGTTGATTCGATGGAGGTGATGATTCAGGGGGATGTGTCGAGTACGGAGCTGGATGTACATGCTGGCGTGTCGTTTGGGTAAGCCGTTGATGAGTTTGAGATATTTGGCGGAGGGCATTGATGGGTCGATATCATGAGTTCGAGTGTAGCGTGGTGACTTTGTCCATAGGGTTTTCCAGAGTTCTTTTACCTTTATCTTCTGGGCGGCTCGTAGCGCAGGTGCATTGCATAGGAGTGGCTTATCTCGTAGATATTTGGGTAGCTGACGTTTTGGGCTGCTGTTTACGGGATCTTCTGCAGCTTTCTTGGCTTCGCGGTCTGCTAGCTCATTGCCTGGTATGTTCTCGTGTCCGGGTACCCAACGGATGGTGAGATCAAAGTCTCCTTGTTCGTCCCGTCGTTTCGAAATCGATTTGATCATGTTGCTGAACTGTTCCGGAATGAAGTTGCTGCTGTCCTTGTTTGCTTTGGTTCCGCATACTATGGCTGCTTGGTTGTCGATTAGGATTGATGCTGGGTATGTCACATTTCGTTCTGTGGCTAAGAGGTGAGCTGCTAGCGTTAGGCCCAGTGTTTCGGCTTCGTATACTGTATGTTCTGCATCTGATCCTAGGTGGTAGCGTAAGATTCGCGGTTCCTGTCCTTCTCGTATCAGTATTGCTGCGGCTCCAATCCCTTCCTTGTATCCTGATCCGTCCGAGTATATGCGGATGATGTCCTTGAGTTGTTCATGCTCTTGTTTTGCGGCCTTCTTGTCCTTCGCTATCTGTGTCTTGTATGCTGGTTCTTCTGACGCTCTCGTTTGGTTTGACGAGTTGATCGTTTCGACGTCGTTTGGGAAGATGCGGAAGGTGTGGAGTAGGTTGTGCAATGATGAACGGTGAGTCTGAACGTTGTGTCCTGCTATCCATTGGAGTTTGCTGTATAGCGGATGGGATTGGGGGAGGGTGGCTAGGCGGACGGTGGCTCGGTGACAAATCTTCTGTAGGAGTAGTGGTATTGGTAGGAGATTCGCGTGGGCTTCGAGCGCGTCTGTTGGCGAGGTTCTCATGGCGCCGGTTATACTTAGCGCTGCTATGCGTTGTATGGATGTGAGTCTTTTCGCTATTCCTTTGGAGCCTCTTTGGGTGACATTCACATTGGATCCTCGTCTGAATATCGGTTTGAACCATATGTCTGCGCCGTATGCGAATTTTGGGACTGCCACTGTTAGGTAGAGTTGACGCATTAGTTTGGTTGGGATTCCCATGGTGGTTCTCGAGAGTCGTCGGATCTGTAGGACATATTCAGTTCCTTTCGCTATCGCATACGCTGCATGTTCTTTCCAGGTGAGTTCTTGATCCACAATGATTCCTAGGAAGCGGGTATGGTGCGCTGGTTGGATCGTAACTCCGTTGAGGATGATGGGACTTCGTTCCTTCGTTTTGCTGCGCGTGAAGTCCATGAGTGCAAACTTCGTTGTTTCGAACTTGGAGTTATGTTCTCTTGACCACTGATAGCCTCCGTTTTCTCGTTCAAGCATGTCTCGCAGGATTTCATGCGTCTCCTCGAATGTTTCGGCTGTGGCGATGTAAGCTGTGTCGTCCACAAAGGCTAGTGCAATTTCTTCCCTTCGGTTACCTATTCGTCCTCATGCTACTTCAACTAGGTCGGAGTTGTATATTAAGTAGCATATCATCGATAGCGGGTCGCCCTGGCCTATCCCGTTTGTTACTGGAAACCATTCTGATGTGAAGTCGTCAAATCGTAATTGGGTCCGTCGTCCTGTGAGCATTCGTTCTGTGAATGAGATGAGTTCCATTGGTAGTCGTCGACGTCGCATGTTGTGAATAAGGCGGCTGGTGACTGCATTCGGGAATGCTCCTTCGATATCTAGGAATAGTACTGATGCTACTCGTTTCGTTCGCCATGCATCCTTGATTGTTGCCTCGAGTAGGTGTACTGAGTCGGTAGTTGAACGTCCTGGTCGTCCTCCGAAATGGTTTGCTGGCAAAAGTTGGTGCTTTTCGAGGATGTTGGTGACTTGTTGGGTAACTATGGCTGTCAGTAGCTTACACATGGTGTTGATCAATGCTATGGGACGGTATGCTTTGGGTACGCTATAGTCGGCTTTGCCTGGTTTTCGTAGTACTATGGTTGTGAAGTCGCGCCATGGTTCATAGTACGTTTGGAGCGTGAAAACTGCGTCGAAGATTCGCATTAAGTATGGTATGAGTGTGTTGGCATTTCGTTTGAAGACTATGTTGCAGATCCCGTCTGGTCCTGGGGCTTTGAATGGGCTTGTGTTCTTGATTGCTCGTTCGACGTGTTCTTCCGTGATGCGTTCGAATGGAGTGATGGGTTCTGGGTACTCGAATTCCTCTGGAATGAAGTTGTCCGCCGGAGGTGGGGGGAAGAATGTCTTGGCTAGGAGCGTGCTCTTCTCATCGTTAGATATGGCCTCCATGGTTGTGCCGTCTGCGTTCTTGGATTGTAGGACTGGTATTCGAGTTTTTCCGCCGTCGGTGCTGGGGGTGGTGACGTATTTGTTTGCTATCCAGAGTTCGCGTTGAGTGGTTTCTTCGAGAAATTGAGTCCAGTGTTCTTTCTTGGCCTTGTAGATAGCTTCTGAGACTTGGTTTCTGAATTTGCGGTGTTCCTCATGTGATGGGTGATTTGGTAGCGCTCTGAATTTATAGGATAGGTCACTTAGCTCGTGTTTGCGGTCTAGCATTTGGGACAGTTCCTTGGACCACCACCGCTTTGCGTGAGGATTCGGTTTGGATTTCGGTACGGTTTCGTCAACTACGTCTTGAAGGACTTTTGCGAGGCGTTTTGCTGCGAGTTGGAATTCTTCAAGGTCAACTAGCGGTCTTGGCTCTGGTATTGTTGTCAGTTGTTCCTTGAGTCGCGAGTTGAATTTCTCCCAGTCCACGTCTCGACGGCACTTGCATTGTCACTGGTTCGAAGGATAAGACTGTTCGGCTGTGGGATGCTGTGACAAGGCGGCCAGTCGGTGAGCCCCTGCGGGGGCACACTGGTTGGGTTAACTCGGTCTCGTTCTCGCCGGACGGCACTCGCATCGTCAGTGGTTCGTATGATAAGACTGTTCGGCTGTGGGATGCTGCGACGGGGCAGCCAGTCGGTGAGCCCTTGCGGGGGCACACTGATTGGGTTAACTCGGTCTCGTTCTCGCCAGACGGTACTCGCATCGTCACTAGTTCGCAGGATGGGACTGTTCGGCTGTGGGATGCAGTGACGAGGCAGCCGTCGCAACAGTGCCCCGTGTCACATCCTTCACCATTCTCAGATGAACATCATATGATCGAGGACACCACTACCATGAAATTGAACACTTGGAACAATCACTCCATTCGCTTCTCGTCCAACTCTACCCATGCGCTCTGCGACACCTCTGAGCTAACGGAGGGAGCATCTCATGACGACCGCAGTTCGACCCCCTTTTTCCTGAATGTTGATAGTGGGTGGATGGCAGGGCCCAAACATCGGCTGTTATTCTGGGTACCACCCGCTTCTCGAGACCTGTTCTATAGCCCTGAAACTGCGTTAGTGATTCCCAGAGGAGGTCCTGAGCTTGATTTAAGTCGCATGGCACATGGACAGCACTGGCAGAGGTGCCGAGAGGAGTGAGTCTCTTTAAAGCCCTTTCCGTTTCTCCCACTTACTAAAAGCAACACCTGCAGACCTTAGTACTGTGATGATCATATTTTAGCGATTTTGATATTTTTGGACATTTCAGATATAACTTGCATGTAACGTGTACAGTGGATAATATTTCGTGTTCTATATAGTCTATGCCCAGCATCCAGTCAGAGTACAGGGTTGTCTGAACGAACGACCCATTGTGGAGCTGATTGCATGACTCGCGATGCTTGTGCTGGTTTGCGAGAACATGCAACGCCAGTCAAAGCATGCCGATTCGATCAGAAATGCGGTTGTGCGTGCACCTTGGATTAGGTCGAAATGTATGCATCGGTGCTTCCTGATAACGGACTGACAAGCTCAACAGAAGGGCATGGTTGTTGCAGTCACCTGTGGTCGTTCAAGTTCCCGTTGCACCGAGTACATTCAAAGTGGGCTGAAAACAGGGTTGGACGCAATATGTAGTTCATTGCGTGCACTGTCCAGTACAGCATGTGATCGCGATATCCACGACGAAGATGGTGAGAACGAGAGTAGCGTGAAAACGATGCATGTAAGAATGTGAGGCGTGAAGAAACAGGTGGAGGTGGAAAAGCACCAGGTAAGAACAAGCGAACGGGAGACGAAATCGAGGCCATACGAAGAGTAGGAGCTAACGTCAGAGGTTCTGGCACGATAGGTGATATTGAATTGAGGTGATATTGGACGTAGGTGCACCGGCGTGTCACAACGGGCGTCCTCGTCAAGGAGTTCTTCGATAGTCGGTTTCTAGAGACTCGACAGGAAGAGTCTGAAGACTATAATTGAGTTGCATAAGTTTGCATTGAGCTCGCGCTAAATGAGTGGCTTGATGTGAATCTTCGGATATGAGACTAGGGAAAGCAGACTGCGACTCACGAAGCTGTTGAGAGGGCGTTCATAATACAATTACTACGTGCGTCTTCAACACACCCAGGCACGGAGTCCTTGGTCGTTATCAGTGGATAGTGCGTAGTACATACTATTGTTCATTTCCGTGGCCCACTGTGTTCATCCTGTCTAATACAAAAATATGAGGGCTCAACGTAGCAGTATCTTCACTTCCGCTCCAGAGGTGTGAATGCTGGAGCGATCGTAGTTGGAGGAGAGAATATTGGCATAATTTCTACGAAACTTTGCAAAGCCACGTCAGCCAATTCCGTGCTCCCAGTGCACAAGCTCCAGTTCGCCAAACCTTTTAGATCTGGGCTTGTTTGAGTGCGTCTTTGTATAACCCTTTACCATAAATTCAAACTCATAAATCGGGCCCTTACACTCCCCTGCTCACTAACATTCGTCATCCTCACAAGCCCACTACCCCCACCACCAACCCCGGCACTCACACCACGTACCGCTCCGCCCTTAAGTTTCCCCCGCTCCTCATATACTCCTCTCCACCACCACCTGCACTCCCACTTAAAGCCACAACCGCAGAATACCTCGAAAAATGAGCAAGGAGAATTTAGAGACAAATACGGTAAGGTTTCAAGTCAGCGCTCATTGGGACTACTATCTGACTCTGACCGCAACCCACACTCGCCTCACATACCAACTCAGGTTCCAACAACAAGTTCGTATGTGTCCGAAATGTGAATTCCAAGGCCATTTTGTTTCCCGAAGGTGTGTATGCAAGAGCACACACCTTCGACTGTCGAAATCGCCTCTAGCGCTCATGCATTTGCCACATCACCAATTCTTGATCAACTGAGATCGAAGGTCTCGCAATACCGAACCTAACGACTCGCTGTAGACGAGTTCAGCAAATTATGTCTGTCACGGTGATACATCTTAGGTCTTGATGCTTGTGCCCCTCATAGTCCCAAAGGATAACAACAACGGTTCCAATCTCATCATTCATGGATGATGCAGGAGTGCAGGCCAGTTTATCGCACTTGAAGGTGAGTCATTTCACGACCTACACGCTCTATCTACAGTCATCAGCGGAACGTATCTTTAAAAGTCCCTTCCTAGCGTGCATACTCGCAGGGATTCAATTATATGTTCACCAAACTCAGCGGGATGGGACTCTGCGAATCTGGAGCGTGGGGTGATGCTGTGACCCTGCAAGGCAATCCACAGAGGCTTGCGGACACGATTCGAGAACTGATCGTCGGTTTGTAGATCATCGATACGTCACCTGAAATATCCTTGAATGCGCTGTTCACAAGTTGATGATCATTTCAGTGATTGATCTACTCCCTATTCATCTACATCTCATTGGCCGTATATCTTTCATTTCGAATTCATACTTGTCTCTCGCGCTATGCTCGATTTCATAATCCATAATTGCAGGTGATCTGGAAAACTATTTACCTGCCGAGCCTTGTGCCAGCCTCAGGCGATTCACTCTTCGTGCGTGTTCTTTGTCCTTACGCCTCCAGGGTGATGCATCGAATCCTTCTCAAGTTCTCATGAGCACGATGACGTTTCAAAAACTTGAATGTGACTCCTATGGTGCGCAAGCAACTTTACATATAGAAGACGTGAGGTTAATAATTAGCCATAGATACAAGGACGAGAAATGATTTACAGAACGATGGCCATTACCTATCGATAAAACATGTACTACTCCAAGTCAATATAGATTTCATAACAAGATCAACGCTAGAACTGAGATACTCAAGGGAAATACACAGATTGCCCTAGTAAAAACACGACCGACCGCCTCCATATTCCCCGGTGTCTGCCTGCGTGGCTACTGCTTACTGTTGTTGCATATTGGGATCCGGTGAAGGAAGTTCATGAGTCTTCATCGTATATCAAGGAGTCGTCACTCCCAGGAACACCCGCTGCAGTATAACACTGTGAATTTATGCATCAGACATCCAAGACGCAGTTGGGAATCGACCGGTTGCACCTGTAGACCCCGGGCAAAAGTGACGTCGACGACGGGTGGCGTTACATGATGGGGCGGCCGGGTGAATAGATGTGGTAGGTGGGTTCTGAAGGTGATAGCGGCGGCGACTGGCGGTGGGGTCATAAGTGGTGCAGGCGGTGGTAGAGGAGGGCTCTTCATCAGTGAGTCTTGGTCTCCTGGGACACCCATGGCGCTGTTGAGGTCGTGGTCGGGAAATTTGAGAATGCTGTAATGAACGACGTGAGAAAGAAAGGAAGAAAATACGCTGTGGCACGCACTGGATGCATTCCGTAGAAGAAATTGAATTCTGTATCATAGCCATCTTGCTCTTGCCCCGGGATCTCCGCTTGCATAACGGTCAATCGTGAAAGAGTTGACAGCGGTAGTGAAGTGGTCATCAACATTGTCCAAGCTGAATGCGTAGATATGCCTGATGTGCGAGTTACAAAGATCAGTATCGATGACCAAGCGTAGCCGCGTGACACATACTTCCACAACACGACGCGCAAGAGGGTCGGTATTCGGACAAGCGGCAGCCAGCTCTTTGTTGAGCAGCTTTGCTCCCTAGTGTTGATCCGTGCTGAACAGGGCGAAAACCTGAAACACGCAATGAAGGAGAGAATATACGAGACGAATTTAACGTACCTTGATCAAGCTTAGAAAATGGTTGGCTTCTGAATATTGGTTGGCGAACATGGATGCAACATCGAATGCTGCCCCGGCGTCCCAGACGTGGCCTTTTCCGCAGAGAGCGATGCATTGGGAGATGTAGCCTGTCAATGAGGGCCGAATGCTGATGGACTATGTCACAAATGAAAGCAAGTCTTCAGTCAGAGAGCCATGGTGGGTTAGTATAACTCACCTCGATTGCATCGTCAAGGGCGAGGTCCCAAGCATGTTTTCGGGATATAACGAATGGGCAATGGGCAAGTGAAGTATAGTCATTGGTGTCGGTGTGGATGTCTTGGGTGAGTAACTCTTCGGCGGCCTCCAAGTCCCTACTTATACATGCATCGCAGGCTGTCGTGGTAGCCAGGATCTGCGCGAAGGATGTTCGAATTGCGTTGTTATAGTCAAAAATAGAAACTCGCCTTTCAATTGGCATTCTTTGGTACTGCCCACTGAGATATTTTTATCTTCGCCTCCGCTGAGGATGTGTTTGCCGTCTGCGAAGAAAGTGAAAGATTGCGGCGAGGATGAAGGTTGGAAGATGGCGATGGTTCGCCGATCTGAGAGCCGCCAGAGATGGACATGGCTGTCCCCAGATGCGGAAACAACGAAGGTGCCAACGGGATGAATGGCAATGGCGTTAGTATGTTTAGTATGACCTTCCCGGCCACTGTCATATGGTAGGATCTTCATTATAGCTTCCTGAAAGACGTGTGCTATCGGCGTCCACGTGCGAGTGACAAGTTGTATTTTGTGACTCTCGAAAGATGCGACAGCAAAAATATGAGAGTTCAGCATAGCGATGTCTTCACTTCCGCTCTAGGGGCGTGCGCGTGAATGCTGGAGCAATCGTAGTAGGAGAGAATATGGAGCTCTTAATTAGGTTTCTGCAAAGTTTGGCGCGGTCGTACTGACTTTTGAGACTCCGCAAATTTGCAACTGCAAGCAGTAGTTCAATGCATCCTTGGTCCTCAGGGCGAATGATAGGACTGTTTGCATAATTTTTAGATCTCGCGAAACCTCGCAATGGTGCTAAAGCGTCCTTGCTGCGGTAGTCAATGCTGTACTCCCATCCAAATACTACTATCCCTTGTGCTCATTTCCATATTATTCGTCTCACTTATTTTGGTCCCCACTTATTTTGACTCCTCGTTGCTCACTTTGCGCGCGCTTCGATCTTGCGCGACGCTGTAGAAGTGCTTCCTTGACGCAAAATCACCAACGCTCTTCAAGTTGGTTCATCTATTGACCTCACATATTGAACTACGTGCGTGCATATACCCCACGTCCGCGTCTACAAGTTTGTGGTGGGTTCCAGCTTGTAGACAAGTGTAACCTCGCCTATAAACTTTCGAACACGTGTTGAACAAAACCTTTGATTGATTGACGAGCCTGGGCCCTTCTAGTTAAGACGTTTAGGCACGCCGCCACTCGTGGACTATGGGTTGAACTGGAGATAGTTCCAACGCCTACCCTGCAACTCTGATGTCTTCTCCACACTGCTCCTCAATCGCTCGACATCCACCCCGTCACCCTCAAGCGACCCCGTCACTCTCTCAAACACTCTCACGAATTCCCGAAGGGGACATTTATTATTCCTTCAGTGAGGAAGCGTTGGTGGGCAAAGGAGGAGCGGCTGTCAGGTTGGTGTAGACTGTGCAGCCTGCGTGGACGATGTGTTTGGCTATCGCGGAGCCCATTACTCCTGCTGAGACAATGGCGGTGGTTGATATCAGTATTGAGGTTGTACGTGGGGGTGGATTGGGATCTTTGGTGGTCGTTCTTGGGAGTAGGGCTGGTGAGGTTGTTCTTATTTATGGGTGGGTGTGTCATTAACATTCATTATTCTGTAGTTTACACCGCGGAAGTTCGTACTATTACCGGTTATTTTTGTATCTGGTGGTGTTGCGCGCTCCCCCCCCCCACTTACCCCACCAAAGGCACGCTTTCCCTCCCTGAAACAGTGTGACTCGATGACCTCTTTTACTTCGTATACCTCACGGTGCTCAGCATCGAAGGAGAGGCCTGTTTTATGTTTTTGAGCCTGTCTTCGCCTTCTTGAGCATGCCCGAGTTATAAAACTACAGATTCTATCCCACCATTGCAATTCTGCGAGAATGCCTTCTGGTTTTGCCTTTATATTTTTATTTACTATTGGTATAGTTTTTCTTTTTGAGGGTGTTGCTTTCGTAACTCCTTGAGATGCGCCAACCTCAATTTTATTATCTTCTGTGCAACAGCTTGTCCACGATCACGCTCGAGTGAGGTGTAGTCATGATTATAGAGGTGGTGAGATATGCCCGCCGTTTCTACCGAAAGTGTCAGTCCACTGGTCTATGAAAGAGCCGATACGAGATTTACCTCCCAGTCACCCCACAACACGCATCTCGCTTCCAACATAACAACTTTAACACCATACCCCTCAGCACTTGCACTATCCGAAAGCCTCCTCACAGCCGACGACCCAGTAATTCCCGAGCCAATAATGACAAAGTCGGCATGCGTCAAGAGCTGGGAAACATAGCGGTGATGAGGGTGGATGGGTAGGAGAAGAATGAGCGGCTGGGGTTTGGGAGTGGGAGTCCTGGAGAGAGCTAGATGTGTGCTTGGAGAGTTCGGAAGGTGTGGAAGTTGTTGAGGAATTCAGTTGATGCTAAGCGGATGAGGGAGAGTGTTGGGCATCACGGAAAGGAAGAAAGGAACTGATGCAATTGTGGTGCACTTGCAGTTTGCAAGTTCTATGGTTTCCTGGCAAGTTCGGTGCTGTTCGCTTTCTGTAGCCCCATAAGTTCGTGGACTTTACTCGTCCCATACGTTGTGGACTCTCGTATACACCAAGCCCGTGGCCTGTGTGTATCTGTCATCATCGATATCATCGCAAACTGAGCAAACTGACTCGCCTACCTGCGGCAGCGTCTGCCGTCGTAGGGCTTGGTGTAACAATATCACACTCACAGTAGAGTTGAGCACTTCATCTGGAGGATCGGTACCTTGGTAAGCATTCCTCTTGAAAGGCATTGGGAGAAAAGGATATGCAGCACGGACTTCATAGCAGATGTCGTGGACTTTGTGAGAAGGCAGAGGAAGAGCTGGGGAACGTATACCTGAGAAATCGTCAGTATCTCAGTAGGTATTCGAGCCAAATGAAGAATGATGCACAATGTAGACTGATCCCATCCTCGAACTACGTGCAATGGTATCTGATTTAGAGAGTCCAGGATGCATGGATACGGCGACAATGCTGGACTTTTATATGTCGTCGTTGACAACGTGGATGATGGAGGCGTCTGTCTTGGGTGCCTGACAGGAGTGCACCTAGGACACGCTGGAGTTGGCAGGTGAGAATTGATCATTTGACTCGGAAGGGTGTGCCAATCTGTAGTTCAGGATACTCAAGAGACTGTAGAGCACATGCATTCACTTCCGGGACCTGCGACAACCGTGGTTTCTCATCTTCAAGACGCACAAGGGGATCTCGATGCTGTTGACAAGTTCCAGGACACATATCTCAAACTACTCAGGGTATTCGACACCGTTATCGGAGAGATCGCGAATGTATGGGCCATTTTCTCGATCAGAACCGAGCTAATCCAGTTCCACAGGTACATCCATATGCAAAGATGGCACTGGGCGTGTTATCTTGTGCAGCCAAAGTATGTTTTCAGTTTCTCTCTCTCTCTCCCACTGTACTCAGCAATCATTTGTGCAGATTATTCTAGCTCAAGTGGATCGCGACAAAGCGGTACTTAAACTTCTTGAAAAGTTGTGCGAAGTTTATAACTTCATAACACAAGACGAGATGCTCGGCAAGATCTCGTCGATGCGCGCTATCCTTGGAAAGATTTCTCAGCAGACCCGTGAATGTGCCCATTTTATCAAAAATTATTCTGAGACCAAGAACTTTTGTGAGTCTCAACAAGCTACTGCGCTCTGTACCATCTTAAGCTTCTATCATCATCACAGGGAGCAGACTTGGAAAGAACGTCGTCTCGGAAACAATTGATACGATTCAAAAGTACAATGATGTGTTCGATAGGCTCATGCAAAACTTCCGGGACCAAGTTGCTCACGACGTAGTCATACACGTCCATGACATAGCTATACACGTCCACCGCACGGGTAATGGTTCGGACATCCTTGTGACCTTGACATATATTCATACCTTTTCAGAAGAAATATTGTACCTCAGCGGTATGATTTACGCAGAGGGCACGGGACTAGATACCAGAAAACAATGCCTTCAAGGGACCCGCACAGAAATCCTTTCCCAGATCACCGAATGGGTCAACAGCACTGGGGACAGCGTTCCACGCGTGCTGTGGCTATCTGGCCCTGCAGGCAAGGGAAAATCGGCCATCGCGCACACTATCGCTAAGTGGTTCGAAGACGTCGGAGGGCTTGGTTCGTGTTACTGTTTTGACCGCCAGCGAGAAGCAGATCGTCGCCATGAAAAGATCTTTTCCACGATTGCGCGCGACCTGGCTGACCGTGATCCAGAGATGAAGCGGGCATTATCAGATGCAGTTAAGGCTGCGAGTTCGCTCAAGAAGACGGCGGATATCCTCCAGCAGTGGCAGAAACTTCTTGTCGAACCACTGGAGAAGTCATCTGGGTCAACTGGGGAACCGATCGTGATCGTGATCGATGCACTGGACGAGAGCGGTGGAGTGGAGACACGAAGAGACCTTCTCCGTATTCTAGCTGGCAAACATCAAAACCCCGCCGTTCCAAAAATCACAGACCTCCCACACAACTTCCGCTTCATCGTTACCTCTCGCCTGCTTGATGATATCAATAACGAGTTTCGCGATGTTCAACATATTCAACCGATGTCGATGGATGATATTCCACCAGCAGACGCAAAGCGTGACATCCATGCTTACGTATCCAAGGAGTTGGAAGGGTGGCGTTTTCGGGACGCAGAGTTTGCAGTCCTCGCTGAGAAAGCCGATGGACTTTTCGAGTGGGCGCGTCTCGCCTGCGGATACATCAAAAAGTCCGATATGGGGCTATCTCCAATCGAATGCTACAATTCTGTGGTATCACGTGATGCTGCTGAGAGAAGCAGGCTGTTGCACGACATGTATCTCCTCATTTTAACAAATATCATGCCCAAGGATGCATCTACCCATATGCAGCATCCGCCGAAACTGCGTTCGACGAAGCTAGCGAGATTTCGCTCAGTGATGAGACAAATACTAGGCACAGCTGAACCCCTTCCTTTGGCTTCCCTGAATGCCATGAGGTGCCATTTTCCAACGCGGGAGGACAATTTCGACGTGGAGCTTGTGGTAAAAGGCATGGGCTCCCTTCTCAGCGGCACCACCAACCCAGATTCCCCAATCCGACCCCTTCATGCATCCTTCCGCGATTTCTTAACGGACGAATCATCCAGTGGAGAATTTTTCATCGACCTGTCAAAGACACAACGCGACCTTGCATTCGCATCACTCCGGGTAATGGAACACGGTCTTCGGTTCAATATCTGCGATTTAAAATCGTCGTATCTACCTAATAGCGAAGATCCCGGGCTACAAGATCGCGTCCAAAAATGCATCTCCCCCCACATCTGTCATATTCATCTCGATTTTGGACGTCGCATGTACGAACCACAATCTTTGACAAGGAGCTTGCGAAAGAAGTGAAATTGTTGTTCGACCATGAGCAGCTGTTTTTCTGGCTCGAGTTGCTCGCCCTGATCAATGCGCTCAGCGCTGCAGTTACTGCCCTTCCGCTCATTTCCAGTGGCTGAAAGTGAGTACATTGCTACTGAGTACCAGATAAGACGCTCATGCGCGACTACAGGGCTATCCCGAATTCAAAGATGTCTCGTCGACTGCGATGGACGTACAGAGATTCATTCAGGTCTTCTGGCGGCATGATTTTACACAGCACACCGCATCTATATGTATCAGCACTCCCATTCTTACCTGCCAACTCTCCGCTATCCAAAAAGCTTTCTGCACGGTTTCCGAATATTCTTCGCGTGGTATCTGGACGCGATATGAACTGGCCGGCTGTTCAAGCCGTGCTCAGGGGGCACACTGGTTCAGTTTTGTCGGTCTCGTTCTCGCCGGACGGCACTCGCATCGTCACTGGTTCGATGGATATGACTGTTCGGCTGTGGGATGCTGCAACGGGGCAACCAGTCGGTGAGCCCTTGCGGGGGCACACTGGGCCAGTTTACTCGGTCTCATTCTCGCCGGACGGCACTCGCATAGTCAGTGGTTCTCGGGATAAGACTGTTCGACTGTGGGATGCTGCGACGTGGCAGCTAGTTGGTAGGCCCATGCGGGGGCACACAAAGTCAGTTATCTCAGTGTCATTCTCGCCGGACGGCACTTGCATTGTCACTGCTTCGTAGTCACTTATTTTGATCCCTTCTTGCCTACGTTGCGCGCACTTCGATCCCCTACTTTACTTCGATCCCCACTTGACATTTACTCCCGGTTTAGTTGTTGCCCCCCACGAAGCACTTGGATTAAGCTCTCACTATTGACAGCATTATCCTCATTGCCTTTTTTCTTGGAGGTATTTCGCGCGTGCCATGGAGATTTGTTTGACTTAGAAACGCTTAGAGAGTGCTGCACAATTACAAATGTTGTCAGTTCTTCTATCGACCTCACATCTTGAACTACGTGCATGCATGTCTTACGTCTGTGTCTACAATTTGTAGTTGAGGTTGTGATCGCTCGACAAGTGCAATTTCACCTCCAAACTTTGGAACGCGTGTTGAGCAAAATCTTTGATTGACATGCCCTGACCGAATTGGAGATCAACCCAACGCCTACTTCGACGTCCCCTGCAACTCCAGAGCCTTCTCCACGCCACTCCTCAACGTCTCGACATCTACCCCATCACCCTCAAGCGACCCCGCCACTCTCTCAAACACCCTCGCGAATCCCTTAAAAATATCCGCTTCTCCCCCTCCCACGAATTCTGCGAGCCCTTCCATCTCGGCTACGAATCGGTAGGCTTTGGGGATTCCTTCTGGGACTGTTTGGATGAGTCTGCCCATTAGGGCTGGTTGGGAGATGCTGAGTTCCTTCATTAGGGCGTCGGCTGTTGCTGGTGAGGAGCGGTGGGCAGCTGGAGTAGTTGTTTGATTATCCGGAGGTGTGAATTCTGGGGGTGGACTCACTCAGCATCATCGTCATGAAGAGGCCTATAGATCCTTTCTTCATCATCTGTCACCACCACCAGCCTTCAGTTTCAATCCCGCTCACCCATGTTGCAAGGACGGATGACTCACGGACTCGCAAAGCTTCAAAGAACTCGCATCGCCTACTCCAGCACCCGCGCCTTTCAACAGTGATATTTTGAGTCCGTATTGGGACAGCGCAGCAAACTCTTCCAACACGTCTTCAGATCCTGATTCTGTACAGGCATAAAAAGTGGGATCCCATCCTTCTCGCGGTGGTGTCCCTACTATCCCTGCATCGATGAATCCCATATGGGTCTCTCTAAACAGCCCTCCGATGCGTCTTACCGTTTCGGGGTTCACAGCGTTACAATCGACAAACGCGCGTGGAAGGGGAAGGGGCACGGAATTGGACACCGCAACGACTCTGCGCGCAAACGCAAACGCTTCTCCTGGAGGCACGATGCTCAGTATCCAGTTTGACTTGGATAGGAGGGTTTCGAGGGGGACATTTATCATCCCTGCGTCGAGGGCGCGTTGGTGGGCTGCGGGGGAGCGGCCGTCGAGGTTGGTGTAGATTGTGCAGCCGGCGTGGACGAGGCGTTTGGCTATTGCGGAGCCCATTGCTCCTGCTGAGACGATGGCGATGGTTGACATTAGTATTAAAGTTGTGCGTGGAGGTTGGGTTGGGTTGGGGTCGTTTGTGGGGGGTTGGAATCTTCGGTAGTCGTTTTTGGGAGGAGGGCTGGTGAGGTGGTGGTTAGGATCTTCGATGGTCGTCTCGGGAGCTCCGAGGTTGTTCTTATTTTGGGTTGGTATGTCATTAATATCTATTCATCGTTCCGTGGTTTACACTGCGGAGGTCCGTGCTGTCACATTGACAGCCTACAGCGTGCTCTGGAGTCTGGGAAGTCTAAATATAATATTCTATATAGTGCATTAAGACTCACCACTGCCACATCCTACAACATTCTGGGACCGGGGAATAAGTGATTGTGTCACGTCGACGATGATTAATGATTGATCAGATGACTCGTGGACCATGTGCATGAGCGCTTGAGCCATGTATAAGGAGTACTACAAGCAACGCTGAGCGCTAGGTCAATTGTCATACGCGTAGAACTTAGCTAGTCTCGACCAAGACGTTCTAGGAACACCGGAAACATCCGGATGAGCGCCTGTGTTGAAGTCTTCTCTGTTTCTTACATAAAATATCTAATTTTCGAGACGAGAACAGTCTGTAGCCCAGCGCACTGGGGGCCGTGGGTCCTGTAGTGTCTCTCGAGTCCCTAGGAAGTACCCATGTACTGGGGAATCTAGGCTGCTGGAGCAGAAAACAGTACTTAATTGTCTGATCTCAGAGAGTTAGATTATGTACGTAGTACATGCATGTTATTGTCAACCTAATTGATAGCAATCTTGAGAAGTTGTCGAGAAGCAGGACAAAAGGATGAGTGCCTTGGTTGTGATAACCAGATAATAGATTGCATATGAAATCTCAGATAGTGCTTCATGTAGGGATGCCTATCACTCGGAGCTGGCGATGCAAGTGATACCCTGTGATACCGTTATTATTTAGCCTACGTGACCTTGTAGTAAAACAATACGGTACCGAGTATAGAACAAAGGTGTCATCGATCCTCGGGTTCATTGTACTTTAGCATTTGATGGGCGACTAGGATCTTTACGACACGGGTTAGCCCGACCGCATCACCCCCATTCGAAAGTTTGAAACGTTGAGGCATGCACTGTTGAAGCCTTCTCCTATAAAGAAGGAAATTCGAGGAATGAATAATTTCCTTCTATCAAGGTCTGACCACTGGAGCTCAGGTGGTTGACCAGGTCCACCTTATTACCTGTCCATCTACATTCACCTGCATCGCTGATACTTGGTATGTCAAAGACTTGTGTATCATGTCGATTAAATGCTTCCTGTTGCATGCCAACAACTACATCCCCCCCCTCAGTGGACTGGAAGGCCCGCCCGAAAAATGCTTCAAAAAATGCGCACAATGGATTGTTTTCTGCATGCGCATGTTACATCCTGCATGCCACGCTGGTTATGATCCACATCGTCCTTGTTATATTTTATGCCCGTCACTGGGAACACAATGTAACTTTCTCCTTCACACCAACAAACAATGATTTTTGGCCTGTGGTGCTGAGTGCCTCATTGCAAGCGTTTTATACTGTACGTGTCTACTACTGTTATCCTAATGATACACCAATTATAATACCTGATCCAGATATACACGGCTATTCTGCTCTTCCTTACCCAATGGCTTGCGATTTCGAGGATACTTGTGCGTCGTCTGAAACTAACTGCCATTCATGACATCTCTGGCGCATGGGCCGGCCTTGGCTCTGCACTCAGTAGCGTCTGGCAACAAACCGACATCCCCGCCTCATGGTGGACGACTTCTGCTGTGGCAATCTACCTTGCGAATATAACCATGCTGCATGTCACCTCTTCCACTCTCCTACAATTTCAAACCTTCAATACTTCCATGACGACGTCGGTGCCAACAACACTAGGATGGCTAGATGATTCATCGTACGGCTCTTTTGCGAACCTGGGACTCATTACCTCATCCCTACCAATTGTCAATCATTTGACTGGACTGGCATCTGCAGGATTATCTAACACCACACTCTACGACACCCTCAAAACAGACGCTATAGCAGGAAATGCAACTGTGAACGCAACGACAGTAACATCGCATTGCGGATTGATTCCAAATGTGACATACTCTGCGAATACCAGCACGGCGATCGTTCCATTTGGGCCAGATTCTTCTCGCGTGCTTAATGCAAGCACTCTCTGTCGGTAGTTGTGATTGTGGTGATGTTTTATCATGCTGAAAATGTCTACAGGGCCAGACCAGATACATATAGTTCCATGGGTGGAATATGAAGATCCTTACAATGAAGTCACGGAGGTAAGCGTTCTCTGAGATAGCTCATGCAGACTATAGAAGCTGAGTAACAAATCGACTCTAGCTCAATGGTGTCTACCTTATGGTCTCCACATTACTGGAGATTGAGCCTTCAGTACAAGATGAGGTCGCCGTAAACATGACTTGGGGTACGGTTCATGCTTGTTTGAAATACAGATATGATAACTTAATACGTTCTGCAGCTATCCCTGGCGTTGTCACTCCATACGTCATCCAGGTCTATTTCGTGCAATGTTCGCTATCAGCGAACACTACAAATGGGGTGGTCGACATGCAAACCAACAGTCTACTGAGTTCCACGTCCATATCGCAGCCATCCACGCAATGGGAAATGAATCAATTTGAGTGGTCGAATACTAGTTGGCAAGCCCAGGTGCGTTATACAGCCCCCATTTCGAGGGGCTATGAAAGTTTAATAATTTACCGTTGATTTTAGATCGGCAGTGCTTTGGCTAGCCCGGACAGCAGCAGTGGGATTGTATTTGGCGGTACACCTTTACAAATCACCGAACTTTCTGTTGCGGACGAGTAGGCTAAAAAATTTCCTTGACTGCACTGCTTAAATGTCTCACATACGGTTTGACTTCTAGGTATATCATGTCATTGGTAGGATTGAATCTCACCGATGAATATTCACAATTCCTATATGACGGTGCTCGCCTGATTTCCAATTTCACTTTGAGACCGGATCAATTAGAATTTGCGACTGCAAAAGCAGCTGCACAACTCATCTGGATAGGTAAGGGATACATTGCGTTCGACATTTTCAAGCATCGCCCTGTTCTCGCTCATTCTGTGTCATATGCTCAGCGGGTCAATTGGGCACATCCAATGAAGGAATTGAGCTCGGCAATGGGACGGCATATGTCAACGAGGAGTTAATTGCCCTACGCCTCAATGTAAGTGAACTGCACAGATGCTGTTTTTGATTAACTGATGAAGCATATTGTAGATCAACCTTCTTCCTGTGAGCTCGTCGTGATATATATGCGATAACTATTCATCGAATATGGTTCTAGTTGGCTTTCGCGACATCCGCATCGGTGATCATGCTGGGACTAGCACTACACATGACAAGGGCACTCGATGCATCGCACGACACTCAGGCTGCTATTCCGAACATAGGTGTACTACAACTCTTGTGGTTGGGTCATCGTTCAGCCTCTATCAATGAAGTCCTGGAAGATGTGCAGCATCCGACAGAGACCAATCTGCGGCGAGCAGGCATGATAGATATTTGCCTTGCGAAGACAATGTCCAACGAGGAGGAGCTAGGAGGTTCAACTAATGGTCTCTCCTGGTGAGGTCGACCACCATCATAACGACGAGATGTGATTTGGGTTCAAGAGGGCTGGTAGGCTGCGGCTGCTCATTGATGTTGAGGAATTTCTACGCAACGCGCGTCATGAAGTAACCCCGCCGCCGAGTCACCACAAGGAAGCATTGCTGTGTTCTGCGGAAGGGTCTGTTATGTAAATTAGTAACATTGATGTCGTTGCATTGACCGCGATTCGTGATCCTCTTTGCGTCAGCCTTGAACGTTAACCTTTGAATGCTGGCTGGCGTGGCCTACTAAGCCTTTGGCAGGTTCTAAGTTAATCGCAGTTCGTAAATCGAGGACTATGTTTTGCACCTTCAGACCATCGCCGCACGGTCGATGGTGGTTCGGCATCATTGCCGTCGATGATTTGGCCCATTACACAATGAGCATGACGCATTGGCTGACCCAGTGAGTATATTACGTACGGTACTCCACGCCACTCTGATAGGAGTCAATCAATTAATTGCCGCGTACGCGAACAGTCGCGGCTCGAACTTGGCTTGAACATACGTATAAAAGGCTCGCAAAATATTTACTACAGTCACCATCTTTGATCACCCACAGTTGAAGTTCGCCAATTTTCTTCAAGTTCAAAAGTCCTCCAATTGAATTCTAAAGCCACCACTCGAAGTCGCTTCTCCATCATTCATCATGGGTCACATCTGGTCAGCGTTCGTTCGCGAGACTTTTCCTCCGTCGACGCAGTTTTTCGCGTCTGACGTCCCAGACATGTCCGGAAAGGTTGTTCTTGTCACTGGTGCTAATTCAGGGATAGGCAAAGAGACTGCCAGAGTTTGTCTCCCGCTGACGTATCTGCTTCATGCTGACGTTTTTCATCGTTAGGTCCTCCTCACAAAAAACGCCAAGGTTTACATTGCTTGTCGCGACAAGACCAAGGGTGAAGACGCTATTCGCGACCTAAAGGAGAGCACCGGAAAAGAAGCGTGTTTCTTGCAACTCAACTTGGCAAACTTGAAGTCCGTCAAGGCTTCTGGAGAAGAGTTTCTGCGGTATGCCCACATTGCATTTGTTGAGCGACAAGACAACTGACACCTCCCCAAGGAGAGAACCTATTCTGCACGTTCTATTCAACAACGCGTAAGTGTTGCCTAACTTGTCATCTCATCGTCAGCTCACACATCGCTCAGTGGGGTAATGACTCCTCCTATGGAGATGTTGACGGACGACGGTTATGACTTGCAATTTGGCACAAATGTCCTTGGTCACTTCTACTTCACGAAAATTGTCATGCCTGCTCTTCTAGCGGGTGCTGCGCAGTCACCTGACGGAACTGCGCGCATTGTGAACACGTCTTCTAACGCCCACTGGTTCGGTAGTCTGGACTATAACACGTTCAAGGACTCCCCCGCCAGGAAACAGAAGAGTGCCATGGGTCTCTATGGCCAGAGCAAAATGGCAAGTTTTGTCCCCATTGTGTCAACTCCTCTGCTGAACTCCGGTGTGAAAAGGGCAACGTCTTATTTGCAGCTGAGGTAGCCAGACGATATGGCGACCAGGGTATAGTCTCGACAGCACTCAACCCTGGTGGTGTCAAGACGGAGCTCAGCCGTTATTATGACTCCTTTAGCAAAATGATAGGCGTATGTTATCACATCATTGAACCTTCCGGAAGCTGATCGTTCGATATTTGTAGAACATGGTTTTCCATGATGTATCATTTGGCGCGCTCACGCAGCTATACGCTGGAACCACTGCAGAAGGAGCAAATCTTAATGGAAAGGTTAGTCCTCTTCTCTCTTGACTGAACTCGAACTTATATCCTGGACAGTATCTTGTTCCTTGGGCGCGCATTGGGAACACACACCCAGAAGCACAGGATCCACAGCAGGCTTCGGAGCTATGGAACTGGCTTGAGGAACAAGTCAAGGACATTTAGGTTCGATCGATTCTCAAGTTGATCATATCGATACTATACGGTTCTATAATTGCCTTCAACGTTTCAACGGTCTAGTGGTACATAGGTTTGTGTTAGTATTCATCGTTTGGTTGGGTCGATATTTATGCTCGAGGCAACCACTCGATCTTGAATCGAGTATTCCATTGCATGAAAAATGAGAGTACTGTTCCTGATGATTTTTCTTGTACATACATTGTATTCGTGTACAATAATGGTCCTTATCCTTCTGGACTTCCATCTCGAGCTTTATTCGTTATGATTTCTACCATAATTTATCGTTCAATCAAGATCGACGATAGAGTCCTCGGAACTCATCATAAAATAAAATAAAATCGTTTTGCGACTAGATCACGGTGAAACAAAATCGCATGAAGAAAAAGCAATCGTACTCAAAACCCTCCATACTTCATTCCCTGAAGCCTCGAGGGTGAAAGTAAACACAAACTCCATTACAAAAAAGAGACGATGCAAAGTATTGATGCCAGACTGGGTGAGCAGAAGGATAACAGGCAAGAGCGAGCCACTAAAAGAACCAGTAGAGTACGAGCAGCATTATAGTAATCACAAACTGAATAACTGGAAAGATACATCGCAATGTCTTCAGGAGCTGCATGAACCAAGTAGGCACGGATGTTGGAATCGCGCGTAGACTTTGAGCCCTATGCTTGGGGAGGCGACGGGGGCCATAAGGTGGCAATATCAGAGTGAGCGTGTATTGACGCATGAGGTTCTTGCCCAAACCGATGATGAGTGCCACGCAGAAACTCAGCAAGCTGCCGACGAGGAGGACTCCGCGTGAGAGTGTATAACGCAGTGAAGACATTTGAGATTCTTGCGTAGGGGCATCGGGAGATCCTGGTGGCGGTGCATTGAACGCTAACCCCCAAATTGACCCGGTTATCACTGCCTGGAGAGAAAGAAAACCATGCATCGTTAGAGGATGCAATGATACTGTGGACGATGTGAACTCACTGAGATCAGTGTCCAGTTAAGGATGACGACAAGCATCTCAAGAGAGGTTTCGTTGGCACTCAAAATTTCTTCCTCTTCCGATTCTGGGATCAGTTCGTCAACTTTTTCCGAGTCTGCGAACTGTTGTTTTTCCATGTCGCAAGGTTCATGAGAAGGATGAGACCTGGGAGTAGGGAAGTCGTTAGAACAATGGAGTCGGAGCAAATGGAAAATGGGCTTGCCTGTTATCCATTTCTACTAGGCACGCGGATTGATATTTCTAGTAAGAAAGGGTTGAGGTAAACGTAGGTATTATGTCTGGAGAGGAGTACAGGGAACCGAAGTGACTGCAGTGCGAAACCTATTATAACTTCTAAGGCCAGCCATGCTGAGTGAGCGCCACACAGCTTTTACACAGCTTTCCTAACTATAATAAGACATGCGCCCTAGTATTTTATCGCCGTATCTTATCGATCTAATCACTCCCTTGATCAACAATACATGTCCTATGCGAAGTTGGGATCCTTGGCTTTTTTTCTGATGTTCCTATTATTATTTGCATCAACTGTTTGTGTTCTGATTCCTCCGTATCGTTGTCTTTTCTGCAGTAACAATATAATAATATTGAGTACGAGTACTGAAAGTCATAACAGACGTTATCTTTCAAGACGCCCAAAAGTACAACTGCACACATAATACACACAGCTTACCAGATATTACTATAATGTAGCATCCGTTTTTGCTTTTTTTGATGGCGCAATCGTGGGGATGGCCTGACCACGAACGCCAGTATCAGGGCCACCATCAGGCTCAATGGCCCGTTTGCGCTTTTCTCCGCTCTGTTCCTCAGATGTTGCGGCGGGCTGGCTTTTCTCGCCACTGCGACCTCCACCACGGCTTCCACCTCTGCCACCACGGCCCCCTCCTCTGCCACCCCGACCCCCGCGTCCACCCCCCCGTCCTCGTCCACCTCGTGATGAACCACCTTTTCGGTCTTGAGAACGCGAGAGAGCTGATCGCGCAGCAAAGTTGGCACGATCGATTTGGAATTTTTTCTCTTCTTCCTCTGCGACACGATAACAGGAGTAAGGCACGGATCATATACAATACGGGGAGGGTGACACTACCTTCCGGTATAGACCACTGAACTTCATTGGAATTCACAGTCTTCAGGCTGGTCTTCACGTAGTCGATCTCATCTTCCGTCAAGGCTTTGTCGAATCCGACGAGACCAAAATCATCTCCTTTTGAGAATTGGATGTATGGTACCCGGGCAAAACGCTCTCTCAAAGGAGTCTATTGGCGCAGGAAGTCAGAACCTTGATAGACGAAGTGAAAGCCACCAATTTACCTTCATCTCTGTAAAGTTAGCATCACCACCACAGCCAGTGAACTTCATTGTTGCGCCCCTGATATATGGCACATTTTCACTCTTCACGCTGCCGCCATCTTCCTCCTGCACACGAATCTTGGACCCCATAAACTCGAGCCAGACTTCGGGGTTGGGCTTGTCTTTACCCTTTTGACCCTTCCCCTTTTTCTCGTCCTGCATCTCCTGGAACGCATTGAATCCCTTCCGGCTTGCCATGCTGTCCTTGCGCATTTCGGCGGTTTTGCCAGTAAGACCCTTTTCTTTGATTTTCATATCGCAGTAGGCCTCCCTAGAGTCCATTAGAGAGAAAAACTCAAGAAGAGAGACATCATACTTGGACATGATCAGCAGCTCTGCACCATCCCAAGATGGTTTAGGATCAGCATTTAGGAATGCTTCCGCGGATTTCATCTCTGCAAATTCGACGAAGACCGATCCCTGTGAAAAATATGAGCACGTATGTTTTTTCTTGACTGAGTCTGTGAAGCATGCCTTGAACTGCTTGTTCCCGTCTACACGACGCATTCTGACAGCATTCGTTTCTCCATACTGGTTGAAAAATTCTTCCAACTTTTTCTGCAGATCGGAGGTCTCGTCGCCAAACCCTTTCTGTAGTGCCATGCATGAGCAAATTTGTCGATACCTCTATGATCCAGCTTACCGCGTAGATACTTCTCTCAAACTGACCCTTCGGTGGTTGCACCTCAGTGCGACGCCTCGCATTTTCACCAGCTTCATCTACTTCCAGCTCCATGCTTGTCCGTAAGGCCTTCACTATCCACTCGTGGCCGTTCGACACATACTCTCGCATGCGCTTGAACGAAGAGACAGTTTTGATGGGTACCCAGTGTTCCGCATTTGCGGTGTGGAGGCTCCACATGAACCTGAATCATATCAGCCATGCACGCAGTGCATGATGATCATGCGCACTTATCGAACGGCAGGTTCGAGTCTGCAAAATAGAACTCGACTATGATATCCACGGAGTCGACAATCAGCCATCTGTAGAAAGATGATAGAAAAAAACACATACTCTGCTTGCGAGCATTCTGCAACTTCTCATCTTCACTTCCTTCATGCATTACTGTACCCTCTCCAGGGTTTTTCTCGTCAGAGGCTACTGCAGGCTCCGTAGACATGTGTTATAAACAAAAAATAATTCAAGAAAATTGGGAGGAGTAGAGGAAAGCGCTCGGTTGAACGTTAATAGTTAAACAGATTGGGAGATGAGTCAACAAACCAAGTTGACTCGCTCGAAATTGAGTACTGAGTGTTAACTTGAGCTTCGGCACTGGCAAGGAAGGCTGCTTTGCGTCGATTATATATGTAGTTATGCAAGAGTCACATCAAATAAAATCGGAGATTAGATAAGGCTTGCATGTGTGCGTATGAATCAACAATCATATCACGCGAAGTGTCGGCTGAGCTAGTGTTGCCACTGGACAGAACTATTTTGAAGTAGTTCTATCGGCAGAACCTGGCAGGCTGCAGAGCCATGTTCTGCCAGTGTACGTAGCGGATGGCAGAATCGCAGATGGTATCAGAAGTACTTGTCGGATGGAAGAGCACTATGAATATCGAGTCAATATAATCCCATCATCGATTCAATATTCGTGACCATCAATGATCATATTCCGGAATCCCATGGCATCCTCCGAGTCAGCTGCTGCGGCAGGGTCGACCCCCTCGTCAATACGTATGCTCCAAAATTCCGCAAAGTCAAATCTTCTTCTGGCCATTTCAACATGTCCTTCCCGTCCACATCTCAGTCCGAGCTCGAGGCAACTTAAAACTCTGTGTCCATCATTTGCTCCGCATTGCTATCCAGCAAACTTAGCATCGAGGTTACTAGTGCGAACCTTTCGAGCGTCTCAAATGTGATATCACACGAAGAAGCCGGCCCGGCAAGCGCCTACTTGTCCTTCAATTGCATTCCACTGAGTGAGTTTTCCATAGCAAAACATCCATCCATCCATCCCATCATGCGGCTTCGCACTTTCCATCAATCGACAGCTGGATCCTTCCACCACCCAATTTTGTCACAACTTACAAGCTTTAATTCAAATCTTTGTAACTATTGCCCAGATTATTTCTAACCACACCCTGGAATCCAGCTAGTACTACTTTCAGTTGATTCATTGCACCTTGCATATTACAACCATCGTCAATGAGTGACAATCAATATCATCTCTTATCTCTTGCATGCTTCCTGAATTCTTTGACAGTTCTTGTAGGAATTTGGGCAAGGCTGTCTGAGGTCATTGTCAAGGGTGCTCAATATAACTCTCATGAGCATCTACCCAACCCAAAATGTTTGCAAGGGACTCATGGATCTCCTCAAATACAATCATGGATTCCTGGATGACACACAGAATAATCAACTCATTTGGTTGCATGGCATGGCTGGTGTTGGAAATTCTGCTGTTGGGTTTGCGATAGCTGACAAAATGAGAGTTCTAAGAGTGATAGAAGAGACAGACATCAAAAAGCGGCTAGCAGGGATGTTCTTTTTCTTGTGCAAGCACACCAAATGTTGCATGGCTGGATATTTCTTTGTGACGCTTGTCTACCAGTTTATCACCAATTTTCCAAGCATCCGGAAGGATGTGTGCAGAATTATTTGTGACAATCCTGCTCTACTAGATCCAGATACACCTCTCTGCAACCAGATGGAAGCTTTCTTTCTTCGACCTCTCTGGAAACTCCAATCCAGATTGTGCAGGTGTCCACCTTGTCATTTGTCATTGATACATCAGAACCGAACTTACCGACCTCATTATTTCCCTTGCATGGGCTCTTCATGAGCCTAATCTACCTGTGACACATACTTTGCTCATGAGTTGCTCAGGGTTGCATATTAGCAAAGTCTTTCAGAACAACAAGGTGCACCCGTGAGTGCTGTTAAGGTCATGTGCTCAAGGAGGTCGGATCACAAGGGCTTGGCCTCAGCTTGTACGCTGTGCCCCTTTCCCGAGTATGTGCCCTTAATTTCTGGGGGCTAGAACAGTTGTCCGGAGTTTCTGGGATTTGACTAGGGTGGATAATGGATGTCCAGATCTGAAATGTGAGATAAATCTGACAGACATCCAGATGTTACCTGGGCAAGTGGATAAGACCAAATCCAGATGAAGTCCGGACTAGAAACTAACAGAGGATGGACTACCTTTAAGGTAGAGTTGGAAATGTAGTCTAGGATGCAATCCTAAGACTCAGAATATGACAAGAGACTTATCTCAAGTCTGGAGGACACAGGAATGAGCAGGAACTAAGATGATATTCAAACTGGAGTATTTCTGAGAGTTACAGGAGGTTTATATACTGTAGGTATCATATAGGAATCAGTCAGCAAACATAAAGGCTATGTACGAAGCATATGCAGAGTCTATTAGTAAGTAGGATGGATCACAAATAATGAACACTGGAAATGAAATGTATGTAATGGATCAATAATCAAAAGGGAAACATGGTTAACCGGAGTCCAGAGACTGGGGCAGTCTAAATGGGGTTGGGCACTGATATAGGGTTTGGATTCTGGAAGGGAGATAAAGATAGATCAGATCATTTGAGATCCAGATCTCAGATCCGGATATCCAGAGAAGCAGATTTAGAGTTGAGAGTCTGGAATGGCATATGACAAGTGCATGAGATACCTGTGAGAACTTCTGGGGAGGGTGGCATTGGTGCAGATGTCAACAAAGACATCTGTACTTTCTTACAGCATTCCTTCAAAAAGCTACAAAGTTGCCATCCCGATTTCCACCGGCCATTGATGCTGGAATTGCAAAGCATGTCAGAGTTGTCAGAGTTGTCAGAGTTGTCAGAGACCCAAGAAGTGCCAGATCACCAGCTGCAGACCCACACATGGCAAAAGTGGTTGCTGATCCAAGAAAGGCTGGCCTCAGTCCAGGACACTGTCATGTGGGGGTGTTCCTGGAGAGCATAGGCCATGAGTTCACAAGACTGGCTGCAAACCTGGGGAGGACAAGACTGGCTGCAAACGCCCCATGGCCAAGCATGGCAATCCACTCCTGCAGCATCTTTCTGGGTGACTATGGAAGAATTCTCAAGTACATTGAAACCAATCAACTGTTAAGGTTGTACTCAAGGGATAACTGGATCCAAAGGGCTTCAGCCTCAGCTTGTGCACTGTGCCCCTTACCCGAGTATTGCCCCTTATTTCAGGAAGGCAAGACTAACATGTCTGGAAGGTTGGACAAGTATCGTAACAGATCCAGATGACTTCTGGATGCGGGATAAGTATTGTAGGGCTAATCCAGACGAGTCCAGACTAGAAACTGACGGTAATAGACTGTCAGAGACAGAGGTGGATATGGATAGACTATAGGAATCAATCCTAAGTCTCAGAGGGTGACAAGAGTGGAGATACTCAAGTCCAGAGGACAGGAATGAGTAGAACTAAGATGATATTTGAACTGAGGTACTACAGAAGGTTACAGGAGGTTATATACTATAGGTATCTAACGGAATGATCAATCAGCAGAGTCCGAGGCTATGTACGAAGCATGTGGATAGTCTATTGGTAAGTAGAAACGGATCACAAATCATGAAATGGAAATGAAACATAGGTAGCGGATCAGGGAGCAGGATGGATATACAGATAACCAAAATACCGGAGTTAGGGGGTTACCAAAAGGAGACGAGCGCTGGTTGTGGATTCAGATGAGTTGTGGACCAGACTGGACGAGTGGACAGATTGAATGATGAGATGTTGGAGGGAGATAAGATGTGGATAGGATTGGAGATAAGATGTGGATCTGAGATGAGATAAGGGTCAGATCTGAGATCTGGATATGCAGATATGACATCAACAGGTATGCCATTGTTTCAGAATTGCCTTTACTGCTATCTTTCCAAGTTATCCAGCAGTTCAAAACCTTGCCAGATTTCTTAATGTTGCCGGTGTTCCTAGCATTAGGCCACCACTGTGTTGTTGGCATATCTCCACCAAACAGGGATGTCATCCATGTTATGAACATCTCTATGACTTTCACACACAAAGCACAGTAAAAGTTGATTATCTTCTGATGCTCTCAAGTACACCTGTCAAAACTGGACTATCCATCTTGTGTGCTCCAAATCTATGGGATGACACACTCAACTGTAAATTCTATGCTTTCTGGAATCATCACCTCCTTTCCTGGCTCAAGCAGCAGTGGTGTTTGAAGGGTCTATGGTCTTGTCTTGAAATTAGGGCAGAAACTTGCAAAAATATGCATTTTTCTAATATTTCTCAGCTCACCCACCCAATTGTCCAACAAGCTGATATTGCTTTGTTCCAGGTTCAGTTTTTCTTTTCCATTGTATGAAACCCCTTTGTAATTCTAACTCATCTTCAGTTTTAACCCGACAATGTGCAACCGAGTGAAGGGCGGCAACAGAAGCTTCTGCACCCGTGTCCATCTATCACTAGTAGTCGTTTGCCTTAAGATATCAATATCGAATGTTCAATTGATAGGTATCGAGAACAATAATAGACTCACCACCATGTTGTACAAAATCCGCTGAGCAGAGCCGCTGATATATGACCACAATAGCGTCAATACTGCAGTACGTTCCAGGATATTCTTAACAGCCTTTTTTCGCCTTGCCCATGCCCATTTCTCGGCGCCGACTGCCACATAATGATCCCAATTCGGTGTGCGAAGCCACCACCACCAAAGCGTCACAGCCCAAGGGAAAGGATTATATACCTTGCCTGTGCCGTTTGTGCGTGCCCAGGAGTAACATTGCACTGACACCGAGCGGGACAGTCGTTCTTGAACCTTGGCATTATATGCATCTGTGGGTGAAGCTTTGACGGTGAATGATGAAGCGGAACCGCCGAGGACCGGCTCTATGAGTTGAAGGATATATCCAATCTTGTGACAAATTTGAGTAGAAACACACAAAAAGTACACTGGACTTACTTGAACTTCTTCCATGAACAACGTTGATGCCGGTACTCCGGTATTTGGTCCTGTGGTTAGTACATCAGGCTACAAATTGATGATAATATGACCTTTGTGAACTCACCAGCTAACAAGTAAAAGTTTGGTATGTCAGGAACTGCAGTCCCGAGGTATGCGGTAGGGCCACCATGCGCATCATAATAGCCTTGGATAGTAGCTCCATTCAAGCCTCGAACGTGCATTTGGTATCGGTCCTGTTTCTGCAGTTGGCATCTTGCGAAACATTAGATCTGTGTAAGTAGCACTTACGCTGATGAATCCGGTCGCGTATATGATGACATCAAATGGTAACATTTCACCTAAACTAATGTGAGGAGAGTGATGATCGTTGACAGCCTGTACATACCAGTGTTAGTGATGATGCCATTCTCCACTATGTTAGCAATTCCATCGAAGTTCAGTGTCAAGTTAGGCCGATGGAGAATATCCAGGAAACCACTGTTTGCGACTGCGTGGAATGAAATGAGAAAGGACATATCACAGGTTCAACCACCGCCGACGAACCGGTCCGCCTACAACCTGGAGCTGTGGAGCATGTGAGCACAAAGAAAATTCCTTGACCAGACACGTACGATAATTGGGTATCATACGATCATGGTATCTAGTCGGTGCGTTGTCGAGAATGTATTTCGTCATCGCCTGACAAAAGCATTGGAACGAATGCCCCGAGACTCTCGCAGCCTGCTCACCTCGCGTCGTTTCTTGAGAGCTTTGTCACTCGGGCGCACGATAGAGGGAAAATCGAACTACAATAAACGTTAGCAAACTAAAACCCTGCAATGTAGCTGGTCCGACCCAGAACATGATCCAAGCTCGGTGCAGTCTCATTGCCAAAGGGATGTTGGCAAATATCCATTTCTCGGTGTCCGTGTACGGAATATGTGGCTTAGATGTTTTGTTTAGTTGTTCAATCATCGAACACAGTACAAAGAATCTCACTCGAGTGTTGAACCAGGTCGGAGTGCGGATGAAGTTAACGACTTCGACGAACGGGTCTTCAGATATAGATGGCACAAACTGTGCTCTTGTTGTATGTCACCACCGATTACTTGCGCAGAAGTCATTGTACGACTCACCCGGAAGCGGCATTTCCAATCACTGCAACACGCTTATTCTGCATATCTATTGAGCCTGGCCACTGTGCGGAGTGAAACGAAGTCCCCTGAAAGTTCCGAACTCCAGGGATCTCGTATGGAATCTTTGGAACCTCCAAAACACCAACGGCAGATATCACGATGTGAGCCACACTCGACATTCGCTTGCCTGAAAATATGTCTTCCGCGACGACGGTGTACTGTTGCTTGGCATCATCCCACTCGGCAGATAACACTTTTGTGTTGAACGCAATGTGTGGATATAGGTTATATTTCTTCGCGAGCTTAATCCAGTAGGCTTGAATTTCCGGTTTGAAGGCCATGCGATTTGTTCCAGAGTGGATAGAGGTCTGATGATAAGCTGTACCAATGAACTTGGACATCCGACGAGCATCCCTAGAAGACGCTTTGAGGTGAGCAATATTCTGCAGTTTGCCATAGCCGTTACCCATACAGGATATGTGTTGGCCTGTGCAAAAAATTGTCAGGAGAACCTGTCGCACATCACAACAACGTACCCTCCACGCCCCACCGACTTCAGACCCCTTTTCATATATCTATTGAAATACTCAGCGACCATACCACTCGTTGCATGGATGAACCCACTGTAAAATCGTGAAACCTGAGCTTAGTTTTGAGAGC